ACTGTCGCGCATTTCAACACCTTGATTTGAGACAAGACCATTATCGAGCTTTTGTTCCCTTCAAAAAAAAAGCTGTACCCATGGCTGTGGTAGCGACAATGGCTCAAACCAGCACTTCTCAGCCGAATCTTTGGAAGCCTCGGTATGCGGCCAAGCAACATCAGGAAAAACCACAGCCTGCTCAGCAGTTCACACGATCGAGATCTTTGAGAGAGCCTTTCGACGCTGCAGAACTTACACGCAAGTTGGAAAATTATCGTCAAGAACTCAAGCTGGAAAAGGCACGACGTGAGTTGGCGAATAAGAAGCTGGCAGAAAAGGCAGAAAAGACAGACAAGGCAGACAAACCTCTGAGCTCAGCACAACCGCCGCCAGCCGAAAGGGATGTCAGCAGTACAGTACCAGAATTGAAGTCAGGTGCAGGAGTGAAGCGTGCACAATCCGTGTCTGCGCTCAAGAATCTATCGGTCAACGAACAACCCGAACGTAGAAGATCCATCATCCACCGAAGCCGCAAACAATCAGCCCAAGAAGACGCTCCCATCGAGCCCACCAAGCCTTTTGTCCCTAGAGTGGCAGCCAGACAATTCGCCAACACCACAACCCCTATGAAGGAGAAGAGCGAAACAGCAAAAACATCCTCACACCAAGCACCAGAGCCCAAGCCCAAAGACATCAAAGTGAAAGACACATCCAACAAGCACATCCTCGACTGGAGCGAGCCCGCCATTCACACAAAGCCCGCTTCACCACCTCTCCCCCCAACCTCCGAATTCCCCGATGCAGAAAGAGCTCAGGCACGCATGCACGCTCTCCACGCTTTCCGCGATGCTTCCAAGGCAGGACGTCCCAGACCTCTCAGCACAGCACTAGAGAACATGCGCGAATGGGATGCCGTCGACAATGTCTACTCCAAGCATGCAATTCCCGTCCACGAAGAGCCAGAAGCCACATCAACATATGTCCCTCCCGCCTACCGCCCAGCCCTCAAAGCAGCAGATCGTCACGATTGGGCCCAAGGCAGCCAGTGCGGTGACAGTGCAAGACAATCCCTGCATCTCTTCCGAAAGAAAGATTCTGCGCACGAGGAAGCTGAGATGGCCGGTCTGAAGGCTAGCATGAGACCATCACCAAAGCCGAGACAAAAGAGTCATGGTGATGCTTCTGATCGTCTTGTCGGTGATGCTGTCAAGCAAATCAGAGAAGAACGACGAAGAAGCAGCATCCTGAACATGTTCAGAAGGCATTAAAAGTGTTGCACTGCGATGATCGTTGGAGTTTTACGAATTTTCCTTTGTTATCCAGGGCTTTATATCTTTGCGCCCTTTTTGTCAGCGAACTTTTCATCTATCTCCATTTCGTCTTCTCTTCTCTTCTTCTTGTTTGAGATTCCAGCCTCATACCCTTTTTTTCTTTCCCCTTCTTCTGTCACAAACACTATTGGTTTCTCTTTTTCTTGCTCTACACCACTCGATACATTTCTGTGCAGCGCATTCTTTTGCTTTTGCGAAACTCGATTTTGGGGAAAGGTGGTCCTGTCTTGCATCACGTTTGTCACAAAAAGAATTTCTTTGTCTTCTTTTTCTTAGCGCAGGCCCCAAAAATTCAATTTCTTACCACATCTTTTTCGATCATCCGTAATGTATATATCATCTCACACTCATACCTCTCTACTCGAATGTTTGACGTTCCCAGTATAATCTGTTTTTGAGACACTCGTTTTGATGATGTTGGGGTTTGATGGTCGGGCTGTTTGTTCGAGCTGCGAGGGGCCGCTTTGGTAGTGTAGCTGTCGTTTGCCATACAGCCATCTACTCGATTTCGGATCTGTTGAAGATAATGCTGACATGACAGATACCAATTCTCAAAAATCCGGAGCAGGTGTCTTATGGAAACTCAAAGGCTTGAAAGAGGCTAAGTCGGTCTATCTGGATAGAGATACAACAGTGATCATTACTGCAATCACGAGACACTGGCTTTACACCTTCGCATTGCGACTGCCCTGCCACATTCATCGTTACAACAACTAGACCACAGCTCGAACCTCGAAGCAGACAACAACCCTCACTCAGCTAAGGTCTCTTACTGATAGGCCACCCAGCAAAAGTTAAGGGAAGATAGCTTGTCGACTCTCTGCAACTCGGAAGCATCTTCACTTCCTCTTCAAGAGACCGCCGTCTTATACTCGGCCTCCAAGATCGGTCACTTGTCTCTGCCGACTGGGTCTCTCGTCTCACACCAACTCTTCTCTCGATCTCTCTCCACATAAACCTCCTCAGCCCGCAACGATCTTCACGAACTTCGACAACAACCACGACATAAGAACGTCATCTTCCCATCTACATTCGTAAACGACCTCAGCATCGAAGAATAACATGGATCTTCGCCAATACCTCATAGCGCCGCACGAGCGGCCTCAACAGCATCTGGATCCTTGTCTGCAGCATCAAAGGACAACAACCACTCAGGATCCTCGGCTGACACGCCATGTACCTACGGCCCCAGCTGCTATGCGCGGACGCGAAGCGATCGAAATTCCTGTCACTTTTCCACGATTTCACACGGACAATCAGAACGTAAGATCTTACGACTCTTCCCAGCAGCCAACAATGGCCGTCGAGCAACAGCGACAGCAGCAGCCGCAGCCGCCTCAAGATGAAGCCATCACTCGCGAGCAAGTGATCAGAGGCTTAGCCACTTATCCAGATATCCTTGCCGCTATCATGCGCAGCGGACACATACCTACACAGACTGAACCCGACACCGTGGCTCAACATCAGCATTCCTTCACTACAGCTCCATCTCAGCAACCCGATACTAGCGATCCTGTCCCAACTCTCACTGCGCCATCATACTCGACTCATACCTCTCAGCCAACGCAACCTACGCCTTCAAACGCAAAACTCTGCTTCTGGCACTACCATCTCGGCAACTGCATCAACGATCCCTCGTCACCAACATACAATGGCTCTGAGCGTTGTTGTCCATTCCTGCACTCTACAGATGGTATGCCAGAGATCAAAGTGCAGCCTGGCAAAGAACGTTGGCACAAGGATTTCGGTGAATGTGGGCTCGAACTTTGCAGGTTCAGCAGCAATTACAGGTATAAAGCGAAGAATGTGACGAGGGAGAGCAAGAGAGAGGTTGGACACAAAGCCAGAGCTGCAATCATTGCTCCCTCTGCTGCTATTGCGGTTTTGGACAGACAAGACAACAACGACTCTGTTGATCTGCAGGACAAGTCCCTTGTTGCACATCAGAAGCAGGATACCGACACAACCCCCATCCCCACCAGCCCTCGAGCAGGCCGCTACGCAAAAAGTCACCGTCTACACACACAGAACCGCATCGGCTCGCCAATCCCACCTCCATCAACATTAAAACGCACCGCTTCCATGCTGGTATCAAGCAACACCACATTCACATCCACCTCCACCAAGAAACATAAACACAACCCCTCCTCCTCCTCGACCTCTCCCACCACACCACTCCTCTACTCTTTCTTCCTCTCCACAGCCTCTAACCCCAAACTCCCCATCCTCTCCTCCTCCTCCATGAAAAACCCAAACAAGAAGTTTGCAACTTGCTTCCATTGGTACCATGGCTGCTGTCCAAGGAAAGGCAAGAATTGCGAGTTTCTACACGCGCTCACGGAGCCACCTAGTTTTGTGCAGCCGCCTGTGGGGTATGTTCACGGCAACGATGGACAGGGAACAGATGAGTGGAATGCTGGGGATAGTTGGGATGAAAAGGCAAGAAGCTGTGCAAGGGATTGGTGTCCTGGAGATTGGATGTGGGGCCATGGGGATGAAAAAAGCGAAAGTAAAAGTGAACATGAGCACGAGCAAGTCGAGGGAGAAGAGTCAGACACAGAGGTCGAGATGGACACTAAACTTGACACAGAGATGCAAGATTTTGCATAGAGTGAGCAACAGCACGCACACACACACACAAAAGAAAGGCAAAAGTCCTATTAACATAGAGCAAAAACAAGGCGAAACAATTTGTTTCACTCAGAAGCAGAGCATGGCAAATACCATAACAACACATGCTAACCTCCCGACACAAACCCCACAGCATACCACCGCACATCTCCACATCACCAAACTCCATCTTCAAGCAATCTCCCAACATGCAAGAAAAACGTGGGTCACAGTGTTTTTATAGCACTACACAATACTCTCACACCAAAAGCCAAATGTTTCAACAAAGACGAACATAAAATCCAGATTATATTCCCATGACTACACTCCCATTCAAGAAGCATTTGTTGCAGTCTCAAACAGCTTTTAATATCACTTTATTTGAACTCTTGAGGGGGTGAAACAAAAATACCCCCAAACCCAAAAAGTGTTATGTACATAAAGGAAATATCCAAATTTATATCAAAATGTTTCGATGTGTTTTTTCTAGTCTTTTTTGAGCTTATGCCTTTTTTTGTGATTTTGGTTATCTGGGTATCTCTGCTTTTCATTCCCTACTTTCCTGATGCTGATGCTGATGCTGATGCTAATTTCACCTCCCTTTTGATGCTCTTGGTTTTTTCCATGTAGTATTCTAGACCTGAAGGGGGGGTTTTTCTTCTCGCTTAGTTACACACACCACGTTTCCCGTTCAAAAGACTCGAGATGTATTCGTCAAGTTTTTGGGGGTGGAAGAAAAGTTGGTGTAACTGATATTCAATAAACAGATCGATCAAGTTCTTCAAAAAAAGAGAGAAAAGAGAAGATGGAAAAGATGTCACAAAACTTTACAGGGGGGGTGGATAAAACAGATATTTGGTTCTGTGTATACCAAAATGCAAATGCTGTTGATCGCTAGCCAAAAGAAGAAGAAAAAGGAGAAGACGAGAAGAAAAAAAACACACAAATATTCACACGTTTTCGCTGGTGATACGGAGGAATCGTTAAAAATCATACAATCGAGAAAAAAACACCAATCGTGCAATCAAAAAAAAAAAAAACACCTCTATCCACCCATTCCCCCATTGCCCTTTTTTTTCAAATCAAAGTCCCCTGCTTTACCTTGCTCTCCCTCTGTTCATCCTTCAACCTCTGCATCTCCAAATCCTTGCGATCTTTCTTTTCCATCTCTGCCAATTCCTGTCTCACGGCTTCGACACAAACACTTTCCACATCACCACCCACCCGCCAAGTCCTCAACACCACACCTTCTCTCTCCATGATCTGTTTCGCTTTACTCCATCTCCGCTTCCACAATTCTTCTTTTTTNNTGCTGAGCAAGGGCCCGCCTTCGGGATCCAAGGGTTCGTGGAAGGAGGAGTCGTTCCAGGCGCCGCTGAGTCGGTTGCTGGCGTACGAGGCGGCGGCTGCTGGGTAGTGGGAGAGGTTGCGGCGGGGAGGTGGGGGTTTGGGGCGTGTGGAGGTTGTGGAGGGGGTGGTGGTGGTGGTGGTGGTAGAGGCGGCAGCGCCACCGCGGAGATTGTCCATTGNAGCGTGATGCAGATGAGGATGTCAGAGTGCGTTGCTCGCCGGGAGTGGAGGTGCCGCTGCTTTCAGACGCCCATGTGGGACTGCGTCTGGTGGAGGAAAAGTATGCGGTCGTGGGAGACAGCTTTTGCTTTGCAGAGCNNTGAGGTAGTGGCGTTTCGGCAGAGGAGGTGGTGCTGTTACAGCGGGAGATGGCTCGACGACTTGAGATAGTGGTGAAGGCACGTTCGTGGTATTGACAGTCGTGCTTGGTTTGCGAGGTTTGGGCGGTGCTGGAGGTGAGGACTTTGCTGGAGGAGGGAATATTGCGCTCGTGCCATCCCCTAATGGTGAGCGCAATGCAGCAGGTTTGGGCGGTGGTGGAGGGGTTGCGCGCTTAGCGGGTAAATCTGTGTGAGAGCGGATAGCAGGTCTTCTGGCAAGCGATGTGCTGTAGGCTCTCTTTTGAGGTTCATTCGACAATGGAGAAGTGCTCTCGTCGTCGCTAAAGTCAATGAGGTTGTCCTCCACCGCAGATGCTTGTGGTGCAGGAGGGTCTGTCGGGCGTCGTGGTGGCAAGGTGGGTCTACCCCCAAGCATCTTTGTCGGCTCGACATCTGCACCAAACAGTGACCTCTTGTCCGGCTCGGTATCCTTCAGGGACTCGGCTATGGCTCTGCGGAGCTCCTCGTCGTCGTCCTGGATATCCGAGGGACGGGTCAGTCTCTTGGCTCCGACCAAACTATCAGTCGACATGTTACGAGAATGGCCTCTAGACGATCTATCGCCGCTCAATGGACCCATGGATGGATCGAAAAAGCCCTTGTCAGGTTTCGATGTGACATCTCGGATGAAGATTGCAACCACACGGCCCGGATACTCCAGGACCACATCAGTATACACTTCCAAATCTGCTTCGCCGCTATCACCAACGAGAACAAACTTGCGCTCTGGAAAGTCGCGGAAAAGGCGATCGAGAGTGGCCTTCTTGCGTTCAGCGACTGGCTCGAAAATACCCTGCAGCATACCACTGTATTGCTTCAGATGGAAAGATCCAAGTGGTAGGCCGGCAGCCTTGAAAAAGCCAGTAATCACGGGATAAAGCTGCCAGGGAGAATTCGACACGTAATGCATCTGCACACCCATGTCGGCTAACTTGCAGTACCATTGTCTGACGCCTTCGATGGTCAAGTCTCCAAGATCGCGGATGAAGGCGTTGCGGAAGATTTCTCTTGCACCGCTGGTGATTGCACTGTGCTTGATGGTATCATCGATGTCACTGATCAAGCTAACACCTCTTACAGGCGTGACTTTGACTTCCTCGGTAGCAGATAGATCCTCGGATGCGAGGATGCGGACATGAGTAGGGACAAAGTCTAGGGCGGCTCGCAGATGAAAGTGACCGGCAGCATTCGTCTGGACAGTCCTCTGACGGGAGATCTTGTCGTTATAGAAGAAGGCGCTGACAGATGCGTTTGCCAAGGGGTTGGCCATAAAAGGCCTCAGACGGGCCATGAGATGGTTGTTTGCCGTGACGAGTTGCTCGGACGACATTTTTGCAGGATTTGGCCATGATGAGCGCTTTTGTACGGGATCGATAAAGTCAGAGCCAGCAGTGTTGGACCTTGTTGGCTGGAGAAAGTCGTCAAAGGTTGGGCCTTCCCTGGCACTGGGGGCAGGAGATGGTTCTCTGGAGCGCGTGGTTTCTGCATATTGGCTGGGAGGCTCGCTGAAGCCGCCCCTGCCAGCAATCTCAGCCTCCTTCTCGCCCTTCTTGAGGATCTCGTCTGCCTGCTTTTGTATTGCTTCCTCCTCTTGTCTTGCGGTCGAGTCTCTGTGAGCACCGACCGGGCTGGACGAGCGACTGCTAGCTCGACTGTTGGCAGAACTCGACCTGCCCGAGGGAGCTTGGATGCCGACGAGCTGTCTCGCAAGACCAACCATGAGGCGGTGTTTGCGACTGAGTTGGCCCTTGTGCGGAGTGTAGAGCCATCCACGCACATCGACGTCGACGATAGCCTTGTCTTGTTCGTACTCTTCCCATTGTGACTTCCAGAACTCGGCATCTCCAGCTCCCGCCGTGTCTCGGACATCTCGACCGGTGCCGCCCTGTTGCTGGATGGTGCCTGGGTGGGCGCGGGGCTTTGCTCGGATGTGCTTGGTGGCGTAGCTGGGGAAGATGATCATCTCCTCGTCGCCGCTGCGGACGACGTCGGCGCCGGGGAAGATGCCGGGCTGCTCCTCGCTATCGTTGGCAAAGTCTCTGGACTGGGACCACTGCGATGCGTATGACTGCCTCAGGTCGTTCGCAGCCTTGAGGTAGCCGGCCAGCTTCTTACGACGGCCGCCCGACTCGCGAGGCGCATCGTCTTGGTATCCGCGGTATGACATGTCGTGTAAGCTTCCCGGTGCATGTTTCTCGGCGCGTGACCCCAAGCGCTGACGCAGGTAGGCGAGGATGCCCTTGACCTTGGGCTGCTGCTTCCTGGCCTGTCGACTGACGAGAAAGCGGTATATACGGGACTGGGCAGAATGGCGAAGTCGAGGAAGTGTGTTGTGACGGAGGTTGCGGATGGTGCTTGATCTGTTGGATGGCAGCAGGTAGCTGAGGATGGGCTTCGACTTGACCACTTTGCCTCGGGCCTTGAGGTTGCGCACAAAGTTGGGAGCCACTTTGAAGCCTGCCGTCGCTCGTGCGAGGTGCCACGTCGACTAGTATCTACAAAACACTCTAGATTGTCAAAGAGTGTCCGTGGGAAAGGGTATACGTCATGGCCCACCGACTGTCTGTGCGAGAAAAAACACCTCTGTCCCTGACTATCCCCTTCCTATTCGTCTAGACTCGACAAACCAAGTCCGTTAAACATGGCATTCGTGCTATTTGATTGGCTATGCCGTCATGAATATCTCAAACTCTAGTCAAGCACATACGGATTCGAGCAGCAGCTGTTCCTGCCGGATCTTCATGTTCCGCCTGTCTGCATAGTTCCGGGCACGCTCAGGCACCAAATACAGCCTCAAAAACGTCCTTTTCTTTGCCTAGCATCCCCCTACTAACCTAGCATTATTAGATTGTAGTGTTTCTAACAATTCGGTCGTCGTGTTAATCATCTAAAACAACATAGAGAGCGATGTTCGCCTGATTACTCGATTCTATCATTCGTGATGAGCACGCCGAGAACTGGTTAGGGTGGTCCTGACAGCAAAGACCCTGGGAAACAGCACCTCTCCTAGCTCGAACCTTCTGAAGTTTGTCACACGTGCCATCACGACAGTACACCGCGACCTGAGAATTGGCAAGATCTCAATCCCTGACATGACCCTTGAACACCGTCTCGGTGCGACTGACTCTCATTGTGTTGCTTCACACTAGCTGTCTGCTCTGTCTGGAAAGAGAGAAAGACGAAAGACTTCAACACCTGAGGACAAGCTATACCGAACATCCCCGAAGTAAGCAACCTCGTTCAGCATGTGATGTCGCAACCCACATAGTTCGCTCCCTGCCGGGATCGCCGAACTGGATTTCGCGGTCTGAGCATCCTTCATCGAAGATGTTGTCCTTAGACAAGCATGTAAATGTGGCATGTCACCAGTTTGCTGTGACTCAAGCTTGGTGCGATGTCGCTCCAGCTGGACTTTTGTGAATTCTGGAAATCCTACGGCATAACGGCATCGATCACGCCAATATGCAAACAGCAAGTGGTATACTGCAGTGTCAGATCATCCCGCATGCCACTCTCTGTCACGAATTTGACTTATCGAAACCCACAACCAGACTCCAAAATATACCTCTTCCGAAGAGATCACAAGAGCCTTACTGCAGCAGGCGGCCCGAATACCTTGCTGATATACCTGCTATTATCGCCGGTACGATTAAACTCGGTCCTACAAGTTGATCCCCCTCTTTCAGTCCCGCTTTACTGCACGATGCCTCTAGAGGTAGGTACGCCGAGTACGACCTATAAATGCCGCACTCCATACCTCTTCTTCCTCGTTCTTTCCCGTCTACCACTACAGAACATACTCAACACAAAGCACCAAATTTGGTACGGGCATTGCAAAGACTGAAGTGTCCCGACATGGATCTATCTACGTATCAAGCAGGGGAACCCTCAGGTAACGTCTCATATCACACAAAACATGTATATTGCAGACGGGTGTTCGATCTCATGGACTTGTCATCGCTTTCATGCCGTGTCAGGTCTCTGGGATTGATCTGAGAAATACCGTAATGTTAGGGAGAAGCAGTCTTTGTCAGACAATGATCGCTTCTTCCTAGCATAGAACTTGATCTGGGTAATTCCAGCGAAAGGACTGCTTCTGTTTATCCTCTCTCACTGAGGGTGGGTTGTACTGACGTGACCAGCTTCATTCCTGATCAACCTTCAAGATGACTACTGAAAAGATTACCTTCTTGTCCAACTGGTCCGTAGCTCATTTGCTCTGGATCGTTGTAGAGTATCAGCAGGGTGACTGACTCGTCAACACAGGNCATGCCACTCCTTACCACGCTCCCGTCTACCTTGCTCAAGCCAAGGGCTACTTTGCCGATGAAGGCCTTAAGGTTGCTCTTCTCGAGCCCAACGATCCCAGCGTATGATCCCTCTCTACGTGCCATCACAGCCAAACTCTCAAGCTGACCTCTCCCAGNGATGTCACTGAGATCATCGGCAGCGGCAAAGTCGATCTCGGCTTCAAAGCCATGATCCACACCCTCGCCGGCAAAGCTCGCGGCTTCCCTATCATGTCCATTGGTTCTCTGCTCGATGAACCCTTCACTGGAGTCGTGTACCTCAAATCCTCAGGCATCACTACCGACTTCCACTCTCTCAAGGGTAAACGCATCGGCTACGTTGGCGAATTCGGCAAAATCCAGATTGACGAGTTGACGTCCCACTACGGCATGAAGCCATCCGACTACACTGCCGTACGCTGCGGCATGAATGTCTCCAAAGCCATCATCGACGGCACCATCGATGCCGGAATCGGTCTCGAGAATGTGCAAATGGTCGAACTCGCCGAACATCTTGCTTCCCAAAACAAACCCCGCAGCGACGTGCAAATGCTACGCATCGATGAACTCGCCGAGTTGGGCTGTTGCTGCTTCTGCAGTATCTTGTACATTGGCAATGAAACCTTTATCCGTGAGAATCCAGCTCGAGTATCGGCTTTTATGCGCGCTTGCAAGCGTGCCACCGATTACGTCTTGGCGTCTCCTTCCGAGGCTTACGAGGACTACATTGCCATCAAACCCTCCATGGCCACTGCCCTCAACCGCAAAATCTTCGAGAGGAGCTTTGCCTACTTTTCCAAGGACCTCAAAAATGTACGCAGAGATTGGGACAAGGTCACCGCGTATGGAAAAAGACTCGGTGTCTTGCCTGGAGACTATACACCCAACTACACGAACGAGTTTTTGGACTGGGCATTTGAGCAAGACTCTGCAGATCCTCAGGGCGATCAGAGGAAAATGGTCAAGTTGCAGGAGAGAGTTGCTGCAGAAGGCGGATTCCACCGTTTGGGCGAGATGGAAAAGACTTCTTTGGTCAATGTCGCTCAAGCTTGTTTGCTGTGAAGGTTTTTGTTCTTCGTACAGACATTGTGAAAAAGACTAGAAGTGACCAAGAGGAAACCCCTTTTGCCTGCTATTCACTCCTTGTTTTTTTTTTCTTTTTCTGTGTGTGTATGTTAATCTATATAACCAACCGCCACAATTACCAGCAAGCATATCCACTCACTTTCGCAAAAGGTATCACACATTGAGACGACAAAAGAAGGAGATGCACATGCCAACTCTTTCTGCTCGCCGTCCCACTACCACATTTGTGTGTGTGTGTGTGTGTGTGTAAATGTGACCAGAAAAGCAGGAGCTACAGATTGGGAAAGTGGAAGTCGAGTTTGCTTGTTTGCATTCAATTGTCATGAGTTTATTATGATGCTTGGTGAATCCTCCTCTGTCCGTAGAGACCTGCGCTCCATATAATATACACAGCTAAGAGCTAGGTAAAAGCAATTTCGAAGCGAACCAGTGTAGCGATTCGTTCTTTCAGCGAACCATGGTAAACTCTGGTGAGCACATGTCCAGTCCTTCGATACACGCACTGCGAGCACTCCTTACACTCACTTCTTGGCCCTTGGCTTAGCGGGTGCCCTCTTCTTCGCAGCCGGCTTTGGCTTCTCATCTTCCTCATCATCTTCATCACCACTGTCTGCCTTTTTCTTGCCCTTGCCCTTTGCGGCACCCTTCGCAGCGGGGGCCTTCTTCTTCTTGGGCTTGGCGACGTACTTGTCCTTTGAGATGTCCATGTCTTCTTCTTCCTCGGCGTCATCCTCGGCTGCATCCTTGAGAATGGCTTCGTCTTCCGAGTCGTCCATTGCTTCTTCAAGATCGGGCTTGTCCTTCGCGATCTTCTTGGACGGGTTGACGACGCTGGAAGCTTTCATGAAGGGTAGAGGATGGGATTGTGCATTGTNACCTGTGAAGCAATTGAGTTAGTTGATGTTTTACCATAAACTTAGTGTAGTCGGCGCAAATGATACTCACATCCTGGTAAAGGTGGCCTTGGCCTGTGTTTCGAGCTTAATCTTCTCCTGATCCATGGGGCCCACGCCGAGCTCCAAGATGGCATCAAAGTCGTCCTTGGTAAGGAAGTACTGATCCATGAGGCTGATGACTTCGGGGACTGCTTCTTTACCCTCAACCTCCAGCTTCTTGACAAGGTTTTGCCAGAGTGTGGGAAGGTATTGCTGCCTGATCTCATGTCTATCGCCAGAGGTACGCAGACGCATGTGTCCTTGGATCTCTTTGATTTGACGACCGAATTTGCCGAAAGAACTGTTCTTGCCCAACCATGCAGTAAAGCGTGTTTGTGAGCCGGCTTGAGAACCTGCAACGAAGGAAGCTGGACGAACAAAACTCATGATGGCGTGCGAAGGCATCAAGCTCCACTGCTGCTGAGAGCCGTGGATCATTCTGTCGACGAGATCACCGTCCGAGATACTGTCGGCTGCCTGACTGGACAACTTGAGTGTCTCGAGGTTGGCCATCTTGGCATTGGGAGCGTCAGCGGCGAGGATTGGCTTCGTACCGAGATAGTTCTCCTGTAACATGAGAGGGCTAAACTCGTGGTCGTTGAAGTACAGCTCAATCTTGTCATTGAGTGTGGCCTTGCTGGATGACATGAACATGCCACCCCCAAGAATTTTGCTGGTAATGTCCCATGGCTTCAAGACAACATGCTTCTCCCAAGCCTTTGACATCTCCTTGCCTTTGTTAAAGTCCATGGCAGATTGGTCGAGCTTTGCTGTAGAGATCATGTTGACCACTTGACGGATGTCTGCTCCTGTGCCTTCGATCAAAGCGTTCATAACGTTTGGAGGCATCTTCAGACCCTCACGGTGGGCGATAGTTGCAATACGGGCGCGAATCATGTCGTTACTTGGGCGGCGGAAAGGCATGTCGAAAGTGACAAAATCGAATGGCTTCATCTTGGGAAGCTTGCGGTCGTTGCAGATGAGGATCATGGGCACTTGAGTCTTCTTGCACACGGCAGCGAGAGCACCGACACCACCGCGATCACCAGCAGACATACCGTCGACCTCATCCATGATCAAGACCATCTTCTTCTTGCTTGTTTCAACTTCGCCTGCAGAGAAGTAGCCCATGAGAGAAGTGGTGCTCAGGACTCCTTTGAGACCACTCTCGACCAACTTCTTGCTGCGAGTGTCACTGGCATTGCTTTCGACAATATCGAACCCTTCGAGCTTGGCGACGAGATGTGCTGCTGTAGTCTTTCCGATACCAGGAGGGCCATGAATCATGACGGCTCTGTAAGTACCACTGCCATCCTTTCCAGCCAGTTTGAAGTCTTTGCGAGCGTTCTTGTGAAAGTTACGCAACCAGTTGCTCAGCTTTTCCACTTGGCCTTTGTTGCCACAGATCTGACCCAATTGAGTGGGGGCGTACTTGACAGTCCAGAGTCTGTTGTCGGTGCCGTCGGCGGCGATGCCCTTTGGTGGTTGGGATGTAGGATTGGCGGCAGCCTTTGCACGTTCCGCCTTTTCGATGTCTTCGGCAGCCTTCTTGATCTTCTCGGCTTCCTTCTTCTGTTGCTCTGCAAACTTGGCGCCGGCTACACTATTGCCGCCGTTGGGAGGGAGCTTCTTGATGAGAGCGCAGAGGCCCTGTTCGTCGATGACCTTGATCTTGTGTTCCTTGATGGTTGCGAGCTTCTTTGGACCAGCCTCGGCACCGAGAACGACGTAATCGGTCTTTTTGCTGGGGCCTGTTGTACACTTTCCACCGTAGCGTTTGACCAGATTCTGGCCCTCTTCTCTGGACAGGTGTGTGAGTTGGCCGGTGAAGACAAAGGTCAGACCAGCAAGACAGTTGTCAGCACCTTCGGGAATGTCGAGACCACCGGCGCCAGGGGCGGGGTTATCGTCCTTGGGTCGATTGTACCACTTCTTCTTGCCGCCTTCGTCTTCACTTGGAGGGTCCGGAGCTTGGATCAAGGGAATATCGTCGAGGATTGCCTGGAGCTCTGCACTGTCTTCAACGGGTGTTTCCTTTTCCTTCTTCTTTGCAGGAGCACGAGGTTTCTTGGGTCTGGGCTTCTCATCTTCTTCATCGGTATCCAGATCCTTGGACTTTCTCTTTGCACCTGTCTTGGCCTTGGGTTTTGCTTTGGTTGATGGCTCGACTTCCATGTCATCATCATCGTCTGGGACAACAAACTCGTTGTCCTCCATGTCAACGTCGGCGTCTTCTTCATCTTTGACCTTCTTCGGCTTGGCCTTGGTGGCGGCGGCGCGCTTCTTGGGGGGCATGTCGTCGGTGTCTTGAGCGGCAGGGACTTCTTCCTTGTGCTCTGATTTCAAAGCGTCGTCGAGGTCGTCGTCAGGGAAGTCTCCCGGGTTCAGGTCATCTGTTGAGGGTGGTGGTGTAGATTCTGATTTGATGGGTTTGGCAGGAGACTGTTTGGAAGGAGCAGGTTGTGACTTTGTGGCAGCGGCGGTTCGCTTGGGCTTGTTCTTAGTGGCAAAGTAGGCGGCAGTCGTGGTTTCCTCGCCTGGTGGTGATGCGGCGCGTTTTCTGGAGCGAGTGTCAATCAATTGGGGAAGGAGCAGGTGTGGAAATCAGGCAGACACGCTTACGTTGCTGCCGTTCTCGTCGTCGTCTTTTTGGTGCTGCTCTGTTCGACTATCAGCATGTGATTGACACAAGATAGGAAAGTGTCGAGTCACGCACTCTTCCTCGTCGTCGCTGTCATCGACCACCTTTCTAGCTCTTCCCTTTTTGGCAGGAGCCTTCTTCTCCTCTTTTGCCGGGGGCGTGGCAGACGGCTTGCCACCAAAGAAGCTACGAATATCTGCCGGCATGGTCTATCACTACCCAGAAGCAAGACTTTATTCGAGATGATATAATTGACGGACGTCGATTGCAGCTCTCACACAAGACGCGCTTGCTTGTCGCCGTGTTTCGAAAGCGCGTCATCAATTTATCCCGATTAGGCTGCCTTCCCGCGGGAAACGGAACAAGCCGCGTTGGACTTGGAGAAAGTCCAAGGGCCAGATGCTGGTGAAGCAGCTCGAATAGGGCGATACAGACACAATCACATCAACCATGTCGGCACCACGGATTCGCGCGAGCCTTGCTTCGCATCGCAACACTCTCTTCTCTCTTGCCCAGACTTGCAGTACGCCGACCCACCTTTCCATCCACTCGCGCACCCAAGACTAAACCAACTCCAGCNNACGGCCACAATTCCTTCCGAGCCAAACATCTCCAATTCTCTCGTCTCTGACCCGCGCATTCTCTTCAACTCCTTCAAATCAATCTTGGCTACTTCCTCGCGCCGGCGCGAACAAGAAAGACCGCAAAGGACGACCTCGCGTACCCACCGGTGGTAGCACTCGCGGTACCACCGTCGTCTGGGGCGACTACGGCCTGCGCCTACTCGACCACGACCGTCGCATCAGCGCCGCACAGCTCAAGATTGGCGAAGATGTCATCCGTAAGCGTCTGCGTGGAATGAAGTACCGCCTCTATACACGCATCTCCGCCAACATCGGTGTCTACACTTCCGGCAACGAATCGCGTATGGGAAAGGGAAAGGGTAGTTTCGATTACTGGGCTTCGCGTGTCGCTGTCAGCAAGATCATCTTCGAACTCAAGNNGGGGGAGTTGCACGAGCAAGTTGTCAAGGATGCTTTCAGATTGGCTGGAAACAAGTTGCCTGGACTGTACGAGTTTGTGCGTGCTGGAGACCCGCCAGTCATGGGCATCACAAAGCTTGGTAACGGAGTTACCGAGGAGTCGCTGAGGAGGCCGAGACGTGAGTTACCTCCTCCCAGCATTGATCAGTCCGCCAATCGCATGCCCGAGTCTCCTTCGCCGTAAGGATTGACGGGCATTCTTGTGGCTTCTTATCTCTGCTGGTTGTATATGATATCGGGGACTCATATAGTCTGGGCATCTTTCATCGGCGTTTTCAACGTGGTTTGTACAAATATCCAAAAGAACCTTTTCATGACTTACTTCTTGTCAATTCCCTGTTCTATTGCAGTCGTCGCAAGCCCCAATGGTAGACAAGTAACGAGCGCGCGACATGTTCCTACCGCGACTCCGCTGCTGCGACCAAAGCGACTGGTTACTGAGAAAATCATGGTTGGTCGTCAGGTACCACGCCACGGCATGCATTTTGCCGGCCGGAGTCCACACATGTAGCCCGAATAGTGTTGCAGGGGTGGCAGACAAGATGTCCCGTCGTCAATCTCCAACTTCTACCCTATCATATCCCCCAATCTTGAACATGCCTGACTTGACGTGCAGTAGCTCTCTTACCAGATCTATGGTATGCGTGGAGCCGCTGGTGGCTGGCAAATGCTCAACACATCACATCACATTTGACCACATCGCTTTCTGAGTCCTTACCACATCGTCATTGAGGTTGCAGCGCAGTGATACGAGTGTACTCGATAAGTCCCCAAAGGCGCTGTCGCGTGGAGTCAATGTTCAATGGCCAGAACTTTACAGTTTGCTCTCTCGGCTGCTCAAGCCCGATGCAAGCGGCTGCAAAACGGCGGTCACCACGGCTGTCTTTGACATTGCATACATGTTATATGCGAGTACCCATAGACTAGGTATTGCGGCGTAGCAAAGTGGATATCGAAACTGTTGGCTGTGAGCAGCGCAAGCAGAGGTTGGCAAATTTCCTGGTCGGGAAGCCCCGCTTGTTCCTGTCCAACCAAGTCCTCTTAACCAACCTCTTCCCTTGTTCGACAAGACTTGCATGACACTTGACCATCGCGAAAGAGGCGCACGTCACCGATCTGATGCGCCTTTTGAGTCTCAGCCTAACGGACACTGGCATTCGTAGGGCTCTACAAGTCCGTTTGGAAATCGCGTCGACGGAACAACAAGGCCGTTGGCTAGAAACTCAGCCGTTGGACACAAGCCGAACCTCTTTCCCCCTCCACAAGCAAGGGATATCCTAGGAACCGAACCGCTTGAATAGTCCATGATGCCAATAACCACCGTTGTAGCGCAGGGCAACATTCTGAAAAGATCTGGCGCTTCTTTTCTCTACAATCAATTCCATTCGCTCTATGCTCTCGGGTTGAGACAGTGATTCTGATCTGGACGTGTGGACCTGGCTGTTCCCCCTTCTTCGAAGCACCCCTTTTACGCGTTCGACAACGCGCCTGCATGGACAACTCTTCACGAGCACCCTGTCGGTCGCGTCAACGAACAAAGACGTATCGATCGTGACTTGAATACCTGTCATTGAAGGGTCCGTCCGTGCGTCCTCACCTGGGTTGCATTGCTCGGGTTACACTATCTTCCTATCGTAGAACGTTGGCCTCTATCACGCCCTCCTACGCAACCGCCTGCTGGTCCCTTCACGTGTAGGCAAATCAATCAGTTGACTGCAAATGGTATAAGATGATGTGCGCCTCCTTGCTTTCATTGTTCTCTCACGCGCACCAACAAATCATTCGTGACACATATCCCGGCAACCAGGTTAATGCAGCTGTAAAGGTAAAAAATTCTTCTTTCGACTCACTAACCCCTCCAGCCCCTTTACAGAAGCACCCCATCCCAGGTTTTCCGCGAGCGCCACACAGACTAAGTATTCCACCCCCTCTTGATCCATCCACTACCTTAAACCGTGCTTTCCTGCAGCTAAACCTGCTTGCCGACAGCCTAAGCTGTTCGCGTCTGCACTGATATATATCCAGGTCCCTATTTGCACATTTTTACAGAACCAGGTCTATCACTTTCCTTCACAACAATACACCTCACCACACTCTTTACAATGCGCGTTACTCAGATTCTCGCAGCTCTTGCGCCGATCGGTCTCGTCGCCGCTGGTCCTCTTCATGGTCACTCACGCCATACTCATCTTCATCATCTCCACCATCGCTCTGTTGCCAACGGCACTCTTTCCAACTACACTACCACAGATACTGCCAACTCTACGATCTACGCCGATCACATTTCATACGAGACTTCCACAGTCAATGTTGCTGCTAACTTTGCAGATGGTACTGATGCCAGCTCTGCTAGCTCAGAAGTAGCCTCAAGCACCATCTCAGGATCAAGCAGCATCCTCTCAACTACTGCGCAGTCAGAAACTGCTTCCTCAACTTTGTCACTCACTTCTGATGGTTCGTATGCGAGCGGGTCTCCTTCGAACTCATCATTGGCTTCCTTGAATATCTCTTCCGCCATTCCATCCGACGCATCTGTTTCCATCGTGCTCGCTGTTGCAGCCACCACGCCTACTGCTGTTGGCGCACTTTCTCAGAAGGTTGATACCACCACCAGCGTCTCGGTCGACACTGTCTACAACACGGTCACCGTCAACGGCGCTGTCACCACCGCATCTGCTAGTGAAAAGACCGTCACCGTCACAGACGTGGTTACCAACTATGTCACTGCCACCTTCTCAGCATTGACCCCCTTCAAAGCTCCCGCCATCAAAGTTGCTGCTCTCTCTTCTGGATCTTCTTGCGCCGCTATCAAGACTAGCATTGTCTACCTTCCCGCCAGCCAGTCGCCAACTCTTGTGGCTGGAGGATCTTCTGTCAGCAAAGTGGCTTCTTCCTCCAAGGCTACCAGCCAAACCACCGTCAGGTATGTGTCTCAGTCCGCTTCGAAGTCCAGTTCTTCCTCCCTTAAAAAGTCGAGTACATCTTCCAAAAAGACGAGCACCTCTACCGTGAAACCCGTGTCCACTAAGAAAACAAGCACTGTTGTCAAGGGTTCAAGCACATCAAGCAAGAAAACAAGCACATCTTCCCAGCAGATTATTGCTTCATCTGCTAAAAAGATCCTTAGCACTTCCTCGAGCAAGAAGGTTTCCAGCACTCCATCCAGCAAGAAGGTCTCCAGCACCTCTTCCACAAAGAAAGCTACCACATCTTCTGGCAAGCCAAGCACTTCTTCCAAGCCTACCACTTTGATCTCAATGTCTTCCATGGCTCAGAAGGGTGTCACTACCAAGAGTGTCGTCACCACATCCAGCATCCCGGTTTTGGCTTCTGGCACCAGCTACAAGGCTTCCTCGTCTGCCAAGTCTTCGAGCAAGAGCGCTTCCAGTTCTGCAAAGGCTAGCTCGTCTTCCTGCGCCACTGTCGCACCTCCTGCCTCCACCCAGACCGGTATCGTGTCTGGTTGCACCAAGTGGTACACTGCCAAGTCTGGTGACTACTGCTATGCTATTGCTTCTGCCAATGGCATTTCTACCGATACTTTCATGTCTTGGAACCCTGCTGTCAATGCACCTTCTTGTGACAGCATTTGGTAAGTCTCCAGCACGAAGCTATGTGGATTATCCTCCAAAGACTAACATATCACAGGNGTCGGATACGCATACTGTGTCGCCGCAGGCTGTGGCAGCTCCAGCACCCCCTCCTCAGCTGCCAAATCCTCCATCGCAACCACCAAGACTTCTGCCCAGGGCTCTTCCCCCACCACCGCAGCTTCCACCTCTGCAGCCTCATCCACCGCCATCGCCTCCACCGCCTACAAAATGTACACCGGCGATGGCACTGTCGCCGCCGGCTGGCCCTCGGTCTCGCAATGGATATCCTTTGACGCAATGTTCACCGCCAACATCCCCATCATGCAACAATCCTGCGCAAACAATGGCTGGGGCGCCAACAACTCGCCCACCGAAATCGCCGACATCAAAGCTTCCATCCAAAAAGTTTCTGCTTCGTCAGGAGTGGATCCGAGATTTATTCTCGCCATTGTGATGCAAGAATCCAATGGTTGCGTGCGCGTCGTCACCACCTCTTGGAGTGTGGCTAATCCTGGCTTGATGCAAGATCACGCAGGCTCTGGCACTTGTAACTCTGGCGGCGTGATCCAAAACCCCTGTCCCGCGTCTGAAATCGAGCAAATGATTGTCGACGGCACTACTGGCACGGCTTCTGGCGATGGACTTGTGCAATGTCTGTCTCAAGCTGCTGTCACGGATGACAGCAAGTATTACCGTGCTGCGCGCATTTACAATGGTGGCTTCAACGGCTATCACGCTGACAACCTCAACACTGGATGCTGTACGCTTTGTTATGCTTCCGATGTTGCCAACAGACTTACGGGATGGAGTTCTGGACCCAGTGGATGTCATTTGACGTCGTAAATGCCTTTTGCTCGCTTCTGGACTTTTTCGTTTTGCCATGGGGATCAGGAAAATCCAAGACGCTGGATCTCGTCTTTGTTTTGGCACGGCGTTTGTAAGAGAAGGAATATGAGATACGATACAGGGATTATCGGATCAGGATGCAAAATATAAAGGACTCAAGAAACCGCGAGGAAGAAAAAACACCAACACGAATACCCCCCTTTTTTTCTTTTTGTTTATATAGCTGAAACCCATACACAATACACAATGCACATGTCATGAAAACCTTCACAAGTCCTTTTTTCGTCTTTCTGTTGGTTCTCCTCTTATCGCGACTTTTGATGTAGGATTGATGTGTGGAGGCAAGGAGTATGCAGGTTTTAAGGCACACAAAAGATGAGCAAAGACTATAATTTAGAAAGGCAAATAATAACGTTAGATGGGAATCATCATTTCGGCAAACGAAGACGACAGAAAAGTAGCAGGAGCAATCACCACGTCTCGTCGAACGTGTTGAAATAGTCGACACACACAAGGCATCAATCACCGTCATTCGAAGCCGTTGCAAGCGCGTGGCTACCTCGAGATCCTGATCATCATGATATGACCATACATTCTGCCTCCACGAGCTGTCGAGACGATAAAGTGCTAGCTTCGTCAACGTCTCATATAACTTGCACCCATGATAACCAACTCCGTGGACGATTGGCAAAAATCCCTAAAGATCACCATGTTTGATCGTGCATTTGTCACAACATAAATCTACCCATCTAACCAGATCTCTGGGTTTATGACTGTAAGGTAGGGAAAATTCGAGTGTCAATTTTGATACAGGGTGCTAGTCAGGAAACCCACCATTGCCATGCATGTTCGGATCTGTGATTCTGGTGACCAGCCTCCAGCGGTACTGCCAATCTATATTACGATTGATCTCTACTGGACCCGTACTCGATACCACATCTTCCATCAAGTACGGACTCTCACTCACAACTTGGCAAGAATCTCCGACCTCTGTCTACGGACGTCCTTTTGGACGACTTGCTTATAAAGCTCATTCAAGCGCTTAGTAACCGGCCCCATGCTACCATTGCCAATGACCCTCCCATCAATCTCTCTGACAGGTATATGGCTAGGAAAAGTACCGGTGCAGAAAGCCTCATCCGCTCCATAAGTCTCCGTCAAAGTAAAATCTTGCTCAAACACTGGTATCCCGTTCGCACGGCAGATATCGATGGTTTTGGCGCGCGTGATGCCTTGCATCTGATACGCGCGAGTGGGCGCCCACACCTCGTTATTGCGCACGATGAAAAAGTTTGTCGAGTTGCAAGTCTTGACGAAGCCGTTAGGGTCTAGCATGAGTGCTTCGTCTGCGCCGACTACATTGGCCCCAATGCAGGCTTGAATGTCGGTGGCTTTGGAGATGTGGTTCCACATTTCGTCCTTGACGTCCGGAGTGCCGCGGCGAATGTGCGATGTGATGAGTCTCAAGCCTTTGACTTTGACGCTGGGGTCCACAGACTTGTATTCTGGAATGATGACGACGAGTGGTAGACCGATGTTGACGCTTGGGTTTTGGTAGGGGGTGGATTTTAGTCCTCGGCTTACGACAAGACGAATGTGGATGTCGTTTGCCTGTTGCATGTTGTTTTTGTCAATGGTCTCGTGGATCAATCCCAGAAGTTCCCTTTTGCTGAGTCCAAGATCCATGGCCATGGCCTTTGCGGATTGATATAGGCGGTCGATATGCTCTTTTGCAAATTGCACCCGGCCTTGGACGACTCGCATACCTTCCTAGTTGTTGTCAATATCCCACGCGAGCAGAATCAACCAGCGTTGACCTACCCAAATCCCGTCGCCGACAAGGAAGTTTGAATCAAAGACGGAGACTGTTGCCTCCTTCCGTTTGCACAATCGAAATGCTCCGGTAACGCCATCTCTCATACCAATNNCTTTGCACGGGTCAGTGCAAACTCGAGGGCAACATCAAGTATGGCTTACCAGTACAGATTCGTTCTTGTTGTTTGGTACCACGGCATGAGTAGCTCCTGATCCAACATGTGCCATTTTGCGAAGAAATGCTACGACGACGGAGAACGAATGGTGTTTGAACACTTTGTCGATACCGGTCGTGCGAGAACAGGGCCAGAAGACGTGATTATGATGGCAGGTCCCAGTCACTTGGATGCCATGTATTTGAAGTATGTAGTGCAATTCGGACACGTCCGTGGAGTGAGTCGTCAGGCCTCTCGGACAACACCGTCAACAATCTGATAGACCTTATCGTCGAAGATTGTGGGGTCAAGATTGGCGATTGACGAGCACGCCATACTGCTTGTCCGGACTGGTCCGGGGCGATAACTCCTGTACCACGAATCGAGTTTCGGACTCGTCCGTGGGGCTGTAGATGTCGTGATTGCTGATTGTCAAGTACTGAAGATATGTAATGATGGACAGTCGCAATGCCCATTCCTAAGCCTCTTGAGACCATCGTTAGTGTTGAACATGGACAAGAATAAGTTCTGTTCGTCAGTTGAGGGACATGAGCAACAGAGTGGAGATGTCGTGGACCAGAGCATGGTACAACGCAAGCTGTTGTTCAAGACTGACGCCGTTGTTCTCCCATTGATTGTATTGACGTCGACATTAGCATTCCTCGACAAAGTAAGACCACCGATCCAAACTCACACAGAGCTCGACTGACCCCGATCAGAATGGCATGGCATATGCAGCGGTGTACGGCATGAGAACCGAAACACATCTTCAAGGACAACAGTATAGTTGGCTNNGGGCTCAATCTTCTACCTCGGATATCTGGCCATGGAGTTTCCAACTATCTGGCTGCTTACCAAGGTACCGCTTGGTAGTTACATCGGCGGTACACTGTTCGCATGGGGAGGCTGTGTTTGCTGCATGGCTGCGTGCAACAACTTTGCAGGTCTTGCCACTGTAAGATTCCTGCTCGGCGTCTTCGAGGCGGGTATCCTGCCAGCTCTGTTGCTCGTTAATTCCCTATGGTATACCAAAAGAGAGCAACCTCTGAGGACAGCACTGTGGTACAACACATTTGCAGGAGTAAGTGGAGACGAACTTGCATTCACTGGTCCTCTCACTGACAAGGGGAAGATTTTTGGAGGAATCCTCTGTTTCGCGATCGGCAAGATCAATGGGTCCTTGTCGACCTGGAAGGTACGGAAGCCATATTCAAACGCTTTCGAAAAGTAATACTGATACCAAGTCAGNTATATCTTCTTGATATATGGATCTGTGACTATGGCTGTCGGAGTCCTGGTGTTCTTCGCTTTGCCGAGCGACCCTGGACACGCGTGGTTCTTTACTAAGGAAGAAAAGCATTTGGCCCGTATTCGGGTATCGGAAAATCGAGCGGCAACTCGTGAGAAGGTATCCAAAGGGCGAGCAAGAATGGCTTGAGTGTGGACTAACATGCTACTACAGCGATGGAAGTCCTCGCAGATCAGAGAAGCAGTTACTGATCCAAAGTACTGGTGTGTAGCAATATTTGTCATTGCACAGTCCATCACAAACGCCGGTATAACAAACGTGAGCCGCCAGTAGATGACTCGATGCTCGGACAGAAGTGCTGACTTTGTANNGTTCAATCCACTGATCATCGCCGGATACGGATTCTCGAAGAGCAAAACCACTCTTATGGCAACACCACAAGCCGCTGTCGCATTCGTGGCTCAAGTAATCTGCACGACACTTGCATACTTCGTGCCGAATATTCGCTGCCTCTTGTGGACGCTGTCCTCTTTACCAGCACTGGCGGGTGCCATCATGATTCACAGTACGGAAGCATTCAGCGTCCAAAGAATCAGGCTGACGAGAATCNNAGTGCTCAATACTGGCTCCGAGAGAGATGCTTCGCTCGCCGGGGTATACCTCATGGGGTTCTACAACGTCCCATGGGTCCTCATGCTCAGTCTTCAGTCTTCTAATACTGCAGGCGCCACCAAGAAGAGTTTCATCTCGGTCTCCGTTGCTGTCTTCTACGGTACGTCTCTCGAACTTCTCAAGTTGCTATACATACTCCGCTCGTTCGAGTGCTGATTCGGCTGTGCACTAGCCGTGGGCAATATCATCGGTCCCCAGTTCTTCAGATCCTCACAAGCCCCCACATACGGTTTGGGTATAGGTGCGATGCTTTGCTGCTTTGCGGTGATGGCAGTGACCGGCATCGTATACGGGTCAGTTCAAGAACCAGTTCTTTCCTGCTTCCGCCCTGGTATTGACAAGCTTACAGAGCTCTATGTGTAACGGAGAACAGAAGGAGANGATCGAATTCACGGTCGGCCAGGATCTATGACGGAAATAGACGCCGAGGACTTGACCGATTTCGAGGTCGAAAAATCCTTCCGATACGTATTCTGATTGTCCCGGTGGAGTCATACTGTCTAGTTATCCATTCGCCTTATATTGTAGACTATGTATTCCAGTCCGTCTCATCGCCTGAAAGATTCTGCTCGCCTGGCCAAAGCATGCTCAATACTCACCAGGCAACAATCTCATCAGGGTCGACCAGATAAGGATAGTTGAGCATGAAATCGTCAAAGGTCGCAAGATCAAACGAGCAGTTTGCGTCAAGAACTGACTGCTCAAAGTTGGTGTTCATCCAGTCCATCTCCGAGCCACGTGCTGTCGACTCCCCGGCGTCATGAGAGGAGTTATGGCTCCTGCTTTGATCTCTTCTAGCAAGAACCTGTTCCAGAAGACTGTCGATGAAGTCCGAGTATCTGTTTCTTCCTAAGCCTTTGTCCTGGACATGGGCTATAACAGAGCTGTATATCGATGAGATGGCAGATATACTGGACGAGTCAACACCTGGTAGTTTNNCCTGTCCAGTGTGTCAGTCCTTCTAGTACATGGAGCTTAGAGTGCTTGGGATCCTGGCTCACCAGCATGTATACAGCCATGTTAGCCCAGTCATCAACACATCATGAAGAGTCTTCCAGTCACGGAAGATCATGTTTCGATCCCGCAGCAGAGCCCAGGTCTCTGCTGCAGATCTAGCAGCTTCATGACAAGAAGCCACCATTTCTTGCTCTACAATCGGGAAACTGGGCGAAGGGCGATTCAACATCATGACAACGATGGCGTATTGGACTTTCATGTGGAGGTAAACAGAGTCTTGTAGTGCAGAATACTCTTCAAGCGATCCTCGCCATTGGCTTAGCCTCTGACGTAAGCTGACCACCAGACGTTGTAGGATCGCTGGAGAGAGCGACGTCGCTGGTCGGGCAATGTAAACTGACTCGAGAATGTCTCCAGAAATGGCCCACAGCTTGATCAAATGAACTGCTGGGCCCACACCGAATCTTGAGTGTGGCGAATCCGCAATACCAGATACTGGTTGAATGTCGTCCTCAGCAGTGTGCTGAGGGAATCTGGCGTCTATGGCTTGGTTCCGGATAGAGAGCGTTCGTCCCAGACCAATAGCCACTTTTCTNNGTACACGAAAGGTTAACGTCTAGTCGCGACATATATTGAATGAGTAATACCTTTCCAGACCGTAGATGCACCACCAACACCTGTTTCTCATCTCCAGCTCAGATGGAGTAAGACTCCATGCCGTCCCGTTCCTGTGCAGGCCCATCTCGATTGCGAGGCTCGTTGCATGGCGTACCAGCTGCCAGATATTGATATGATCAGATGCAAGTGGACTGTGTATAGACCACAATGTCAACAGTATCGAAGCTGTAAGTCTCTCGAATCCAGAAAAGCAACCAAAGAACTGCAGCGCAGTCCTGCAGTATTCTTCAGGAGCAAAAATTGAGTTTAGCTGTGCTCCACAACCAGTATCTTGAGCTTCTTTCGCACCGATAGCAAGAGTGATGAAGACCACGAAACGCTGATACTGACTGGAGGTACTTGCACTATCATAAACACTGCTATAGATGGATCGTAAGACCGGATATGTCAAGATCGGCCACCAGACATGTACTCGCTTGACATAGGTGGACATGGCAAAGTCTGCAACATGTTTGGGCGGCAACGAAGCACAAGACTGGCCGAGCTCGAGTGAACAGAGTTGAGACGAGGGCTGAGGAGCAGACGACCATATTGGTAAACGAGAATCCAGATCTAAGCTGCTGAGGAATATTTTGGCGAATCGTGCACCTGCTGCATTGCCCACNNTGGTGTCGTATCAGCCACATCTTCAACTCTTGACATGGAAATGCTTGCCATAATACTGTGCCATGATATCTGCATGACCCAAGCTCAAAGCACCCAGCTCCTGAGAGACCTGATCCCCCGGACTTGTACGCTGCTGATCATTCTCCCAGGCGAGGCCCGATTGCTGCAGCTGGACAGTGACATCAAATCTATGAGCATCATCAAACTCGATGCTGGGTAGAGAACGTGATTGTAATGGTTCGAGTCGCGTTTCTAAAGTTTGAATTTGGTCGAGAAGGTTTTTGACAATTTCATACGAGTAGAACACACGGGTTGTAATGTCGCATTCTTGCTGAGAGTCGTTGCATCTACCACATCGTGGTAGTGCGCCATTACACTGGTATTGGATGAGTGTCTTGATTGTGGGAAGTAAATATGATTGGCAGAAGCACCTTGACCTTACGGCNNTGTAGCAATGGCTACACGCCTTGTACGAGGCAGGCACGATATTGTCCATCACAAGCCCAAAGTTCGAAGTCGCCGGCGGCTGCGTCGAACTTCGGACACGTCCGCGGCAGTCGCTTACGGACATGATTTATGGCCATTTTGATGACCCAGGTCCTACTCCACAAGCATTCATCATATCACTATACTTCCAGACTTTGCCTAGCTGCTGTATCCCTCTTCTACTACGACCCCTTCTCGCGCCCACCATCGACAGAGATGCTTCGAGTGCTCGAGTTGGAAGGTGCGGTCACCATTCGAATCATGTGTAGTTCTGCTGTTTGCGATCGATGATAAATTCTGGTCCTGGAGTCGTCCGGACCGCGCCACCATTGATATTGTCGCCAGAATCTTGAAGTAGTATCATGCTCGTGTCTTCTCCGTTGATGCACTTTGGTGCTCTGTATCCTTACTGGGTTCGACACTTTTCCGGAGATGTTCTGGGCATGAATAGGGTCACCCTCACACCAACACCAAAATCGCGTCAGACTAGACCGAGTGACTCTACGCTATAAACACTTACTGGGATGTCAGTGATGGAGGCAAGGGAGCCACTGTAGGAGCGGAAGACGAACAAGACGAGGCTGTGCAGTTTGCTCGCAAGGCGTTTGATGTCAAAGGTTATGAGATTACTTCAGGCTTGGTGTCGGATTATATTTGTGATACCAACAGCTTTGGTGCCAGTAGTATCTACGATGGGCTATGCTAGAGCTCCAGGCCGAAGGAACTGGTCAATAGGTTCCCAGAAAACAGAGGAGATATCGACAGTCGAACATAGCTGACTTCCAGGACAATGACAAGATTCTATTTAATCTGGTAATATCGTGAGGAAAGTGCCAACAGCGCCAACATATGATGTTCCCAGCTCGGAACGTCAGATGAGCTGATAATATCTTATCCACATATGCAGGTATGTTTACTGCTTAGCGCGAACTCGAGATACGCACTTGGTGCGTACAAGGATCGAATCGGTTCCGCCAACCTCTGCAGAAGCTATTTGAGCTTCAGAGGCTTTTTCAAAAGCTCCAGCGCCCCAAACAACAGATTGTCATGATGCTTACGCGCGACTAGCTGCAGCCCCAAGGGTGCTCCTTCGAAAGAAGTGTCCTCATACGCACGCCTTACAAACTCATCTTCTGGACCAAGGACATTCTCATCCGCATACCTCTCTGCTCCTTTTGCTTTTGCTGTCAGTGGTGTTGGAATGGCAATGCAAGGATAGTCCACCAGACTCCAGATACTGGTATAGGATTTGTAGATCGCCGTGTCGTGGGCTGCTGCAGGACCCACAAACGTGGGCATCAGCACGACATCCACGTCTTGCGATGTCCAGTGAGCGGCCATCTGGCGGCGGTATGCGTCGCGATCGCAACGAAGTTGGGCGAGTTGACCCAGTGTGCTACTGTCGGTGGCATTGTTGATGACGGCGGTGGAAAGGTAGTGTTCCGGCTCGCCTGATGCAGCCAGAGCGGCTCTAAAACCTGTACCGCCGTCCGGCATGATCAGTTTGCGGATGAGTGCAAAGCCTTCTGCTGGATAAGGCGCAAAAGTCTTTACTTCCACGTCCGCGCAGGAGGAGAGTTGGGATCTTGTCCATGAGATTGCGCGTGTGATTGGTGGCATGGGTCTTATCAAGCCGTCCATCTCTAAGATACCGATTTTGAGTCTCTTCTCTGGGATCGGGGTCTGTAGTCCCGTCCACGGAAGTGGTACCAGCAAGGGGTCCACCAAGTATGGTTTCTGTTCGAGCACGCTGTGCATGAAAAGGTTCATATCGCGCATCGAATGGCACATGGGACCCACTGTTGGGATCAAATTCAAGGATGGCGGAAAGACTCCAGGCAACAGGCCTGTAATGGGAAGTGTGTAGACGGTGGGCTTGTAGCCATAAAGACCGCAGAAGGCAGCAGGTACGCGAATGCTACCTCCGAGATCTGTTCCAACACCGAGGATAGAGCCACGAAGGGCCAGTAGGGCAGCCTCGCCGCCTGAAGACCCTCCTGCAGTCAACTGGATATTGAACGGGTTCAGCACACGTCCCAGAGGGTTATCGCTCTCCAGATGCAACAGCCCCTGCGGCTGCATGGTCTTGACGTAGAACACGGCACCCGCATTCCGCAACAAAGCAGCCATATCTGAGTCCTCTGTACTTGTCACGTTCCCCTTCAGGAAGCCGAAACAGGTATTCTGCCCTTTGACCGGTATATGTTCTTTGAGACTGATTGGCACACCGTGAAGAGGTCCGACGGTCGTTCCAGTTCGAGCTAGATGCTCGTCAAGTGCTTGAGCTTGTTTGACAGCGTCTCCAGGGAACCATTGCGTCAAGCAACAAGTAATTTGATGACATATGATCGCACGTCTTGAGAACGCTTCGACAACTTCGACAGCGGTATACTTGCGATCAGCGATTGCGGCAGCTAATCCGAACGCATCATAGTTTTCCGTAATCTCAATCTGCTCAGGGGTCAAAATACCACAAGACCTGGGTATCTGCGTGACGTCGCGGGGCGGACATTCGATGTAGTGTTGCGGTACGCGCAATTCTTCGGGCACTTTGGAATCAAATAGATTCAGCATGGCCCATCGCAGTTCCTCAAAGTCAGGGTTTCCAGCTGGGATTCCTTTGACTTCGATTACAGGCAGTGCTCGAGCTTTGGTCGTAATCATGTCATCGGCTGTATGTGTCGAACAAGGTGTAGCAATAAGTGCCATTGTCGTAGGGATGTATGTAGGGAGATCATGTGCGGTAGTAGAAGATAGCCATCGGAGCAGACAACATGATAGATCAGTGTTATAAGACCCTGATCATCCGGCTATTGCAAGTATGTCTGGCTATCGGCCGGGATCTCCCGACGTGGACATAGAGTTTCAAGATAGCAGAAAGGTGGAGCGGGGTTGCGGGGAGGACGCGGACCTGGGGAAGACGGGGACATGATCCTATCTCTGCTGCACACCACGCTGTCGAGCGAGATGCCAGGGACTGTGGCTTGCGTATCGATGATGGTCAAAGATCAATCGTGAATGCGTGTCTGGTATGTTATCATTGCTTTGCACACTACAAGATAGTTGCGCAGATAGTGTGTTTGAAGGTAAGTGGCTCCGCGCGGTCTCCCCGATACTATGTTCCTTGGGTCATGTCTCGACCAGACAGCACAAGTGGCCGATGAACTCTATCTTTTCGATCATATCAAGCAAAGATAGTGCGAGCCACGGTCTCCGCCCAGGTGAACCGGTAGCCGAATATCCCTAGTACATATAATGGCTATCCACTCTATCCCTTCTCAGACCATTGAGAAGACCATCACATAGCAACAGCTTCGGGACTACTCTATCCACACACGATGTCTGAGCAAGATATAAATCTCCCGGCTAGAATTCCAGGTACCTTTCGATTGGTTGACGTCCATCATACACTCAATGTCAAGCACGCTGGCGCGGGCGACATCATCCTNCTGCCAGCTCCATCACAAGATCCTGAGGATCCACTCAACTGGTCTCCGCGTAGGAAACTACTCTTGACTATATGTGTCATGNNGGGTCGGTCTATCTTACACTCCGCCCAGAACATTCGACTGACGAACGACAGGTATACATTTTTGAAGGGGCTATCAACTTCGGCAGTCTATGCGGTCGCCGTTCCTCTATCCAAGGAGACAGGCCTCGAAGTAAAGACTTTGAACGAGGGCACGGGATACCTGTTTCTTCTTCTCGGTTGGGGTCTACTTNNTTTCTGGCAGCCGTTTGCCCTGAGATATGGCAAACGGACCACATACCTGCTCTCCATTCTTGGTACCATGTGTACTGGTCTGTGGGCGTATGTATCATCCCTTGGAAAAACGCTTTCTTGACTTGCCGACTGACTTCATTTAGCNCCATACATCAGATCTGAAGGCGAATGGCTGGCTAGATGTATCATACAGGGGTTCTTCGGTGCTCCTGTCGAAGGCCTTCCCGAAATTTCTGTCACAGACATTGTATGTATGCATAACGACGTACCACAGCTACAGTACATTGACTCATACACTACTAGNTACTTCACACATCAAAGAGGGCTTTATATGTCGATATACTCCCTCTCTATTGCCGGAGCTAGCTACTTTGGCCCCGTGATCAGCGGGTTTATCTCGCAATATGCTGGTTGGCGATGGGTGTTCTACATCCCTGCAATCCTCCTCGCATTTGCTTTCGTGTTCGTGTTCTTCTTCATGGAAGAGACAAACTACGTCCGCGAATATACTGGCACCACAACCCCAGAAGACATCGAATCCATCCCCATGGACGCCCTGCAGGGAAACAGTGGCGACAAGCAAGACACTGTCCATACAATCGTTTCCAGAACTTCAGCACGAGTTGGCGTGGTACAAGGTCCCAAGAAAAGCTACAGACAAAAGCTGTCTCTCTGGACACCCACNCCCGGCCCCAACATCCTCGCCTCGGTACTCCGAAGCTTCCAACTTCTCAGTTGGCCTGTGATCTTTTATGCTGGATTTTCCTACGGCTCGTACCTTGTGTGGTCGCAGATGCTCAACGGCACCATTTCGATCATCCTTACTGGTGCGCCATATCATTTTAGCACTTCTATGGTCGGCTTGTGTTATTTATCTGGTTGCATTGGAGTCGTGCTCGGTGGTCTCGCCTTTGGAAAAGTCAGTGACTGGCTTGCGTTGAAGCTTGCTCGGCGCAACAATGGAATCATGGAAGCCGAGCACCGGTTGTGGCCTTTTTGCGCCACGATGGTGCTGGTTCCTGCCTCCCTGCTTCTTTGGGGTATAGGAGCCGCTCANCAGTATGTTCTCTCGACTTTTCTTCCGAGAGATTGTAGATCGAGCTGTGACTAACTTTCGTCTTGGATTGTAGGAATACATTGGTTTGCTTTGATCGTCGCATTTGGTCTCGTGGCCTTTGCAGTTGCCTTGAGTGTCTCCATCTCAGTTAACTATATGGTCGACAGCTATCACGATATCAGTGGCGATGCTATCACATCGGTGATGCTCGTTCGCAATACCATGTCCTTTGCGCTTAGCTACNNGGGTAAGTCAAATATCTTCAGCAACGACCATGTGCCAGAGACCCAGACTTACGTGGTTCATAGTGTCACCCCCTGGATCAAGAATCTCGGCACGCAGAAGTGCTTCATCTCTGCTGCTGCGATTAGTCTCGTGACTTCTGCTGTCGCATTCATCTTTCTCAAGTATGGAAAGAGATTCAGGGAACGCAGCGCAGGTTCTTACTACGATCTTGTGGACAAGAGAGCAGGGTGAGTGGTGTCTGGGAATGTGGACATGCAGTCAGTGCGGTAGTCTTGAATGTCCATGCTTGATTATGATGTCGAATGTCAAAGTTGATGATTAAATCCGCGAAATGACCAGTGTCAAGAATCATAGATCTCTCTTTGTTTGCGGTCGCCAGCGAGTCAAAATTCGATGAACATGAGAAATGCCAAGTGAGCTGCCTAAGGCAATCTAATCTCAGCAGAAATACTCTTCCTCTCCTCCTCACTCAATTCAACACCATAGATCTCCTTCAACATCTGAATCCTTTCCTCCTCGGTCTTGCACTCCTTGATGACCCTGCGCTCACTACCTCTCTGCTCTCTTATAGTATCAACAAATAGCGTTACACTGCCCACAACCTTCTCTGTCTCTTCATCATTGAGCATCCTCGTCGCTGTCACATAGCGCGTAAAGAACGAATTGCCATGCGTACTCGTAAACCAACTCATGACCTCATAGTCCTGCGGCAAGAACTCCGTGGTTGTGAAGCAATAGGTGGGTATCCATTTGTTGTCATTGCCATGACTAGGATCGTAGCAAACATCATAGCACCAGAGTTTAGGCGCGGCGTCCCCGCCATAGGATTCGCTGATTGCGCGGTGCTGGATGCGGATTTCTCTGGGTGCAATGCTTGTGGTGGAGAAGCCATCGACCAGGGGATAAGGCACATTTGGGCCCATGGCGCCCATACCCACGTCCACGACATACCACTCTCCGCCGAAGCGAACGAGGTTCAGCATATGGTTGATGCCATCATACGTGTTTGCCTGAGTTTTCCGGACCTCGGGAAACGGGCTCATGGCTCTAGAAACACGGCCAGCGCAATTGCGCACCTGGTACCCAATGGAGCGCAACACGGTGCCAAAGAAACTGTTGTTCTCCATGCAACGGCCCCCACGTCGCTTTTCGACAAACCAATTATACAATTCCGAGAGCTCCAGGGTGACTTTCTTGCTGGCAGAGTAGTGGAGGATGAGATTCTCAAATGGTACGTTACAGGTGTGATGGCGACATAGTGCTTCCAGCAACGGCAGTCCATGTTCCTTTGTTGCGGCAAGCTCGACATGCGACAGTACGGGCGAGTCGAGGTATTTCTGGGGGAGGTCGATTCGTGTGAAGTAATTCTGCAGCTCCTCTTTGGAGTAGCGACGCCGGTTGGGGTCGTTAGGAAGCTGGGTGAGGATTGTGGGAAGTTGTTTCTCAGACATTTCGGTAATGGGAGCAGAACTTTGCGCTGAGTGGAGCAGGATGAATGAACGACTGAGATCTTGAGTGAAATACTTCTTGTAAGGACAAGCTTGATGATGATGTCCGTAGCTACAGGTAAAGATCTCTCGCAATTCCTTTGGGTGTCATCAAGCGACGAGAAGCCTGAAAGTTTGACGAGTCCAGGAACGGCTATCGGGGAGATGGCACTGCGACTGCCGGATGCCGGCTGGAACTACGATGAACGTCCGTGCGATACGCCTAAGCTACCTCAACCTTTTTCACGTTGTCATTCCTTGGAGGTAAACATATCACGGCCGCAGATACTCCTTGTTCGTATCGTGATATGCCTTCCCCACAAATCTCGAACGCTCCAGCCATTTATGTGATGGCGAGCGCCGAGAGGATAAGCGCAATCGGGTGTTCCTTGGTGAATTCTACCAGTGGTGTAATCTGCGGCTTACTGAGAGCTCGTCATCTATCTGCAGAAGTGGGTCATGATATCGATCAGAGTCTGCAAGGCTTCAATGACCAGATCCTCCACCGGCAAAGATCAAGTGGACGCACAGGAAAGAAGGAAACAATACAAGCCGGCGTCGCCTTGAAACCCTATAATTCACGAATCGCAGGCTGTGAACGCGTTCTTCACGCCGAAACGAAGAAATCTAATATTGATACATCATGTCTTCCGAGTCCATTTGCTGGACAGTACAAATGGCAGGCTCCAATTCTAGCACATAATGTTCTCCCATACGGAAGTTCCGCTACCCCCATACGCGTTGTTCTCGAATATAGAAGGGTCAAACATCTCGGATGCAAAGAGCTGATACACCTCAATGTCATCTGCACCCAGCGGCATGGTCATGAATGGGTCCGTCACGGAAGCAGGGTTTGATGGCGCGTCTGGCCACGCTTCTGTTGCCGTAGAACTCCCTTCTGGATTGCCCTCAATCGTATTTGTTGTTCCTGTGCCATGATCGATGAGTTTCAAGAGACCTGCCGACAGAAAGGGAGGATATAATGACATACCACGGTAGTTGCACATAGCTGAGAGTTGATGGATGTACTTCCAGCAGCTGAGGATAAGACTGTTCTCGTAGTCCAGATGCTGAAAGATAGTCTCCGCTTTCTTGAGTAGTTTTTTTGCATGATTGACGGCTGTAACGTCTATGTCGTTGCTATCATGTTGCGACCACAACAGAGACGCACTGATGACAAGCGATGCTGTGAATACTGTTCAACAATATGTGAGAAGTGAACCCTCGGCGAGTATAACAGCTCCAAGACTCACCATAATAAAGAGTAAAATACCACACTCCCAAATTGTTCTTACTTGTTGGATCGGCAGTGATAACCGCGTACGCGATATCGATGGTGCTTTCTGCCGATCGAATGCATTCTCTAGCTTCAGCCATTGCCAGCTGGATAAAGTAAGGTGGACTGTCAATGGCCACAGAGTCTTTCCGGAACAAGTGGCCAATCGTTGCACCAAGTAAGGGTCTGTGAATAAGAATACTCAGATTGTGATACCTCAACGTGAGTATAACACGAAGACGATTCACCTGTGTATTTTCAGCGAGGATGTCTGACTGAGGTTCACACAGCCCAAGGTACGGCGGCAGGCTTGCTGCCCAGATTCGAAGCGTTTTACGGAACTCAACAGAAGCTTGAATTGCGATCAAATCATCCGGATCATTGTCTCTGCACTCGACGTTGGCCGAGTACTGTTTGACCAAGGACTTACTCATCACTTGGTACAATTCGAAAGATACAGCGAGGAAATCGCCAGGTGTATCCACTCCAGTCTCTGTCATACTTGGAGTCCGGTAAAGCCTCGAGGACGGTTGTCGGTTGACTGCCTGTTCGTCGGGAATACTTGCTGGCCTTCCGAAAGCTACACTCAAGACCTTGTCCATGCAGTAGATGACAACCCATGTGCGACGTCGGTACTCTTCTTGGATGGGATCCAAAACTTTACCAGCGGCAACACTATGTAGACCCAGTGCCATAGCCGAACGAGTAAGAAGTCCATGGATGTTCCAAGCTTGCACCGAGCGCTGGGTACCTTGACAATAGAGGACGACCAGGAGGAGATAATGCACGATCTCCAAACTAATGACATGTTTCGACAACTCACCGCACAAGCCAACAGCCCTTCTATAGAAGACCTCGGATTTTTCGAAGCGCTTTTTGGCTGATGGAAAGTTGTCTCGATCAAGCATATTGGCCATTGCAAATATCATGTTCAAAGTCCCAAGCCATGTCCTTCGAGCTCTTGTGAATCCGTTCTCCAGGCATTCAGCGTAAGTATTCCGGGTTGTCTCCTCGTGGATAAAAGGAAAAACCACCCCGACAGTGTTGAAGTACATGTCTAACGAACTGTTCATTTCTGGAAACGGTGGAAGAGAAGTGATCGAGGTGTCCAGGGCAGTTGTAGACAACGCCGTTGAGTGTAGTTGACCATGAGGCAAGTTCGAAACACTGGCATCGTCCACGACACCGAAATTGTCTTTGAGGCCAGGCATCTCTGTACCGGAGTGACGTGCGATAGCTACAGCTCGAAGCAGGAGCTGGGTGAAGTTGATGTTGGAAGCTTCGCCGAAGAACGCTGAAGTGTGTTCTTCTACAAATATCATAGCCATACCATTGGTGGCAGCATCTTCATCCTGTGGCTCTTCCAGACCCGTGACGCGCGTCTGAGTCGGGTCCGCACGAATTGGCATCAAGGGAGGGGCACTTTGATGTGAAGTTCTTGTGGAGTCACATGAACGACTGTCCGCACACGGACTAAGATGGCCCTTGAGCACATCGTTCAGGCGTTGTACTGTGCGCTCCATGTTGGCCATACGATGGTCCAGATCGGACATGTAATCCTTGCGTACAATGACATTGGTGGCAGATTCGCTCGACTCGTACTGGCAGTCAAAGTCAAGTGAGATACAAGACGAGCACGAGGGTCGTTGTCCATCGCACCTGTCACGGGCTTGGGGTCAACACGCAACCTCTCATGATATAGGATATTCACGCAGACCATACCTAGATTTGCGCGTTCGGCATGCATTGCACGCAAGACCAATACGCCGTCGCTTGTTAGCCGCAGAGCCGGGTTCACGTTCTTGGCCTTGGTTCGGTATCTCGCCTGATGATCGGACTGACATATTTCCTTGATCGTGTGAATGAGGCAGATGGGGAAAGCAAGGAAGAAGAAGCCGATGATGTGCTATGCGACTGGTGCGGGGCAAGATAGAGACAGCCGGGATCGCCGGGGAAGCGTCGGGACACTCGTTCCACTCTCCTGTTCAGCCGGCGAAAATCGGCGTTGAGGTTGACGGTGACTTTGACAAGCTTTGCCCTATCTGTCGACTTTTGTTCTCTCCTACACACGGCCTGCTCGTGGACACTAGGTCACGCCTCTCGCAAGCTCCAGATCTCCACAGCATTTTCCCATGTAGGGAAGAAGCAGACCCTAGCCGGTCTTGCCCCGCGTATCTATCACGCGAGTGTACGGTACCACATGGCAATGGTTGTTAAGTATCAGACACTTGCTTGAGCCATCTGCATGATACAATCGCAATCAGCTCCACCACAAGACACCATGATTAGCAAGACCATCGACGAGTTTCACGTCGCCATCGTCGGTTAGTACTTTCTTGGCCTGACTTGTGTCGTTGCACGGCGGCGTGTGGCTCAGAGAGAGAGCCGATGGCATGTAGCCTCTGCGGATGCCATCCTGTCTCCCCCTGAGTATCGCACAGCTCGATGGCGACCCGTGTCGTATTTTCCTATACGCGAATCGTTGTTCTCTGAGCTCACTAACATTTTCTCAAGGTGCTGGTATCGGCGGCCTGGCTCTGGCCATGAGCTTGCACAANAAAGGTGTTTCCTTCACGTTATTTGAAGGCGCAAAAGAGTACTCAGTCGTGNNGGGTAGATCAACTCTCCATTCATTGCCAAGAGAGATCATGTTCTGACTGCATCATAGTGCAGGTATTGGCTTCGCTCCAAATGGAATGCGAACCATGGACCTCATTGAGCCGGAATTTCGTCCTCTTTACGAGAAGATCTGCGTTGGAAACAAGGGCGAAAACAACCAGAATATCTTTTTCGAAGGCTTGCTTCTCCAAGAGGGATTTGGTATGTACAAAGCGTAACTGATTGAATTATCCCAACACTGAGACTGAAATCAATGGACGACAGGACAAGATCAGCCGTGGTTTGGCAAATCCGCCTGGGGCCATCCTAACTTCGATCGCAAATCCGTAGGTCATTGATGTCCTGGAAAGCAGAACTTGATGTTGACTAGATTCAGNGCACACCGAAAAGCACTACTCGAGATCATGACCAGTTTTATTCCTATTGAGAATGTCAGATTCAACAAGTACCTCGAGTCGGTTGAACAACATCCCGACAAAGTCATTCTCAAGTTCGCCGATGGTGAAGTAGCCGAGGCAAGCGTGCTCGCTGGCGCCGATGGTATCAAGAGTATCATCCGAGAGCACGTGCTCAAGCCCTTGTTCCCTCAGGAGATCGCACCAGTATACGCAGATGCCTACTGTTATCGCGCCGTCATACCCATGTCCGAAGCTTACCCCATCCTCGGCGACCTTACTGATGTCGCCAAATTCTTCTTCGGTCACGACCGCAGTGCAGTGACCTACCGCATCACCGGCGGCAAGGAATTCAATTTCTTATTCTGTGTGGCGGACTCAAAACCTTGGACATTGGAGAGGGCTGTGACTGAGAAGACAACACACGAGGTCATGATGGCCGACTTCGAGGGCTCGGGAGTAGATCCTCGCTTCCGCGAATTGCTCGCCAAAGCGCAGCCCATCAAATGGGGATTCTTCCATCACTGGAAAACATCTACTTACTATCGAGGACGTGTTGCCCTTTTGGGAGATGCCGCGCATGCTTCGCTACCTTTTCAAGCTGCTGGTGCTGCCCAAGGATTAGAAGATGCGTTGATTCTATCAAATGTACTCGCGAAAGTCGCAGCCATGCGCGAGACGTCCGAAAACACAACTTTCTTCATCAAAGCAGGCCTCGATGCCTACGACTTGGTGCGACGACCCAGAGCACAAAGACAACTAGAACAAGCTGCCGAGGTCGGAAAGATGATCTTNTTCCAACACGAGGAAGCAGGTTCTGACATGGGCAAGATCCTTCCCAGGCTACAGCAGGGTAGATTCGATTGGCTCTGGTTCCATGACATGAACAAGGATGTTGTCAAGGCTTTGACGAGGATGGAGAAGGGCGGGCAGGAGCGAATGCAAGCGACCGCTAGCTTGTAGGCTCATAATCAGAGGATGCGAACTCATAGCAGATATCATGGCACAGGCACTGGAGCGGCTTTTGTATGACAAATTTATCAGCTTCGACAAAGTTTTCGCCAACCTCACAAGTCTTGAGACATGTATCTTTGCACCACAGATATGCATCGCACGAAGCCCTTCATCCCGACCAATCTAACGTAGAGTAAAGTTTGTCCCCTGATCGAGCTCGTATATTGGATTCATCCCAAAGTACTTCTATGGCTAAAACTCTCAGACATAACCCCATCACTACCAAGTCATGGGCGCTTTCGACTTGTACAACTATACGTAGACAGAATACACACAAAAATTATTGCAAAAGATATCATGGCTTGTTCGTTGCAGACTCGTCATCCTTCAAATGTTCTGAACAGGTGGTGACAGAAAGGTACCGGAGGCGTCGACCACCTCGGTGTGACCTTCTCATCATCATACTTTACGATAGGCGCCAGAACACGAAGGTCGTTTCCGAACACAGAATCTGAGAAACGTACATAGTACTTCTCGTTTTCAATCAGACTGCTCTTCTTACCCCATGACTCCAGGATCTGATAGTACAACGGTGCAACATGAATATCGCTGGACCATGGGGCGAATTGGTACTTGTCTTGGATCTTTTGTACGGTGTTCCGCTGATATAGTCTGACCTCAGGGTCCAGGGTAGCCATATTATAGCCAGTCAAGGCTGCATGTCCGTGATAAGAGCCACCATACTTGGCGCGATCTCGGATTGCACACATGATCGTCAAAGCGGTCAAGATGCCCGTCGACATGTCTGAGATTGGCAAGCTGGGTAGAACGCCTTGGCCTGCGGGACAGTTGAATGCTTGGCCCATGATGTAGGAGCTTCCTGCTGCCGCGTCGGCGACTTGTTGCCATCCTGGTCGCTCTGCATAGTAGCCGTCGGGCCCGTAGCAGTTTTCGTCAACGTACACGATACCCTTGCCGCGCTTCTTGGCTATTTCCAAGGCAGATCCAATGCCAAACCCGCGACGCTTAAATGAGCCGAGGCGGTAGCCTTGGAGGATAACATCGGCTTGCTCGAACAGTGTTAGGAGCTTGGCATGGTCGGTAGGGTCTTCCAGATCTAGGTCGATAGTCGTCTTGCCTGCCATCAGTGAGGAAGGTTGCGCTGGAGTGTAGTCCTTGAGCTTGGAAGAGTTTACTCGAATGACTTCGGCACCCATTGATGTCAATGCAGCACCAGCTGCGGCTCCGGCAATAATGCGGGTCAACTCCACGACTTTGATCCCCGCCAGCGGTCGTCTATCATTGAGTGTAGGTATCGATACTGGAGGCAAGTCTGCAGTGCACGACTGACGAGAGTAGTTGACCAAGGGATGGCGAGCCAGAGACTTTCCCATCTCGGTGTTGAGCCAGCCCTCGGGAGAATGGACAATGTTCCCAGACAAGCCATTCTGGAGCATGAGTTGCTCAATTTCGATTGCACGATATGTACGAACTCGTTGCTGGATCAAGTCATACGCTGCATCGTCCGTACGAACCTCTGCATCAAGTTCTTTGCCGATGCCGATGAGTGCCAGCATTTTCCATGAATCGAGTGATCCATGGAGTTGATACCAGACACCCTTGTCGGCTGTTTCGTAGATTGCCGTGGCACGAAAGACCAGGGAGGAACCAGATCGGCGATCCTTGTCCCACTGAGGGACGGTGGGCATCTTGATCACAGCAGGGCCTGTTTGACCGTCGATGTGGACGAGAGCTGGAGTCGCTGGAAACAGTCCTGCGTGGTTCGTGTCGATGTGAGTGGTGGTGGCGGTGGTGTCACCGCGTAGGTGGAGGATTTCCAGGCCAACAATGCCGACCATGGCATGTAGAACTGCAGTCACAGCCTGAGACTTGATCGGACCTGGGATGCAAGGCAGATCATCGCCTGTGAATTGGACGCCATCGAGGAGAGCCTGGTCCCTTGTAAATCCAGGCGTCCTCGCAGCGAACAGATGTAGAAGACGTCTGCATTCTTCAGGTAGTGGTGAGAAACTTTGCTCCACGTAGGTACCAGGTCCATAGTGTTCGCCACTGTCATGAGTAGCTCCCTTGATCGCCATATTGATTGTCTGTGACCAGAGAAGAGGATGAGGCAGTATGGCACGCAGCACGATTTCGTGAAGTTACTAGGGGTGTTTATGTATCGGCCTCCACGGTTGACAACGACAGGCAACAATGACCTACTTCGATACGCTAGCACAAGGTCCCATCTTAGTGTGGGACCTTGTGCTAGCGTCAAAGTGCCCCTCATCCTCCGGGGAGCTTTCGGAGATATAACCAGTTTACGCTGCTGCGACAACGGCCAATGCCTCCGCAACTAGCTCTTTCCGCGTTCCCGGGCGAATATCATAGTTGGTGTTCGCCCACCTGATAGTGACAGAATGCATATACGCTCGAGGTCAAATATATGGTATCAATAGGTATATGACTTATATCTCCAGCACTCCATATATCAGTCAGTCCGTCAATCAGAACACAAAAGTGATAACATCAGACAACATGTCAAACGATATCCGCACAGTCGTTGTTATCGGATGCGGCGTGATTGGTATGGGATGGGCAGTCCTCTTCCTGTCCCAAGGACTCAAGGTCATCATAACGGATCCTGCAGAAGGTGCTGAAGCGCGGTTCGAGCAATATCTACAAGACGCCTGGCCTCTCATAGCAGCACCGGAGGAGTTTGATAGTCTTTCGAAAAACTACGATTTCGTCCATGATGTGGGTCCGAGATTGAAAGAGGCAGACTTTGTACAAGAGGTGAGATTATGAGAGCTGTTCTGGTGCTTTGTATGGCCGCGGAACCGTAATGCTGATTAGTTCTCCTCACAGAACGGACCCGAACGGGTGGACTGGAAGACAGAGCTCTTCGAGACTCTTGATAAACACACCAGGAAAGGTGTGGTAATTGCTTCTTCTTCCTCAGGTCTACCTTCCAGCAAATTCGTCGGACGGTGCCAGACTGATCCCAGTCGGGTATTGATTGGCCATCCGTTCAACCCTCCGCACCTCATACCACTGGTGGAGGTTGTACCTCATCCGGGCACCAGCCAGACATCTATTCAGACAGCTTTGGGTTTCTATAGATCACTCGGCAAGAAGCCAATTCTTCTCCGCCAAGAGATTCCTGGCTTTGTGTCCAACCGTCTCCAAGCAGCCATCAACAACGAAGCTTACAGCCTCATCAGCCGTGGCATTGTCTCAGCGGAAGACTTGGATGCGGCTGTGACATCGGGTCCTGGGCTTCGATGGGCGCTCACGGGTCCCATTGCCACCAATGCTTTGGGCGGTGGAGGGGGTCCTGAGGGATTCGGCAACCGTATCGAGCGTCTCGGTTCAGCCATCAGGGGCTGGGAGGAGGATATGCTAAAGCATCGATTCGATTGGAACCAAGAGAGCCTCGCCACGCTGCAGGATCAAGCCAAAAAGTCTTTGCAGGATGTGGATTGGCCGAATATGGTAGCGGAGAGGGACGCTGTCCTTTTGAAGTTGCTAAACGTCAAGTCAGATGCTCCATCTATGGCATGGATAGTGTAGCGACTGTTGATACAAAACTGAGACATCCTTTATCTGTCTCGCCAACCGCAATTCTTCCACGTGATTGAGTTCGGCTGAGGACTGAACATGACTGTAATTCTTACTATCTGGAGTTCTGGATGATGTGTATGAGAATGCAAATGGATAATCTAGATAGAGCGAAGTACAATATACATCTGACATGATCACGAGAGCCTGAGTTGTATCGGCAGATCGAACAAGGTAACTGGTTTCGATTCGGATTCTATATTGAGCGTTGAGCCAACGCGTTGACAGTCTCACGATTTAGACAGCCAGTGATCCAACCAGTCAACAAAGCTCTTGAAGCATTGCTCCTTGGCCCATCGCTCGTAAGGGTCAGACAGATTGCCTCGCGTCTTAGTCACGTCAGCACGCGATATGTCGAGCAGCTATCAGGCCAAACTTACCGCAAAACCGTGACTCACGTCTGAGTATATCTGCATGTTGAAGCTCTTCTCACCCTGGGTCAGAATCTCAACTGTTCGGGCACGTTGCTCGGGTTGGAACAACGAGTCTGTGCTGGGTGCAGCGATGTATAAGGGCGNCTTTGGACAACTCAGCGATTGACGTTAAAAGACCATAGATTTTCACTTACCATCAACACCAGAAACGTGACTTTCGTTCATGAAAGAGGGATGAGCCATTGCTCCCACTTTGCAGACGCCGTCTCTGGAAAGTTGTTGACAAACAATGCGCGCACCCCAACTNNGTTCCTTGAGTTAGACTGACATCGGCAAAAATTCCAAGCCTGATACTGACCAGTAACCAACACATGCGAATTTTGCAGCTTTCGACTTTCCGTACTTCTCCATCACGTTCGTGGCCCATCTCGAAGCGACTTCCTCGGAAGATTTTAGATGCTTCTCGCTCCAAGCTTTGAGATCGAAGTTCGGGTCATTGAGTGGTGTCATGGTGTACTTCGATACAGCGTCCTGCGCCAACATTAGTAAGTGCCTTGATCGAAGAGAGATGAAGACTTTGTTTACGCCAAGGAAATAGTCGACACCCAGAGTCAAGTAACCGCAAGAGGCGTAAGCGTCCATCAAAAGGTGACTGTTTGTATGCAAGCCAAAGGCATCGGGAAAATATAGCAAGACATTGCCATTCGCAGTCTTGGGATCGGGTGTAGCGATATATGTGTCTATGCCATTTATCTGCTCGGTCCTCCCTTGCGGCTCCCCCGAGTAGAAAGATCCTTTCAAGCAGCAAAGATCGGCTGGCTTTGCAAGGACCTGATCGCTGCTATTGCTCATACTGTGTCGTCTGTATACGCGATGATAACGTGGAGTTTTCTCCTGTGAGCTGGGTCTTTCATGATCGAGATGAGCCACATGAGAGGTGAAGTTGGGTTCGCGGATGCACCGGAAGCGCCTCGGCATATCCGCCCCTGACTACCCCGCTATGCGGTAAGTGGAGCTCCGCTTATCTTGCCGGCGCGACGCCCAGCTCACGCCTGGTTTATGGGCACGGGCTATCTGATAACGACCGGATCTGGAGCGCAATGTGTCTTGTTGATGGATCGTATCTCGCTAACATGATGACTCACACCCGTTACTTGACGCCAGGGTCTCTCACAACCTATCAGGAACGTTGCAATACCAGTCCTCTCGTCAATCGCGCGCACAAACACACAAAGACATCCACTCCTGTCAGTCGGCAAGATGACGAGATCGTGGCAGGAAGTCGTAGCAGCCAAGATCGGTACTCGAGAAGCATTGATCCAAGTACACAATTCCAACAGCGAAACACCTAAAATCAAAGACCTCACAGCGATAGATGATGCCAGTAGATTGACTCAGCTACTCGCTTCCGGCAGTGTCACAGCGGAGGAAATCATCAAGGCTTACATCAACCAGTATGTCAAAGTCGTGAATTGCATGATACAGAGCAGGCTGAGCTAATCTTTCCTAAGGGCCAGTCATGCACATAGAGAAGTAAGTGAGGTAGTGGGAGTTGTGAACATGGTGAACCACTGACCAACAATTCAGACAAACTGTCTCACAGAAATTTGCTTTGACGACGCCATATTGCAGGCAAGACGTCTCGATGACTACCAACGAGAACATGGGGAGTTGCTGGGCCCTCTTCACGGTGTACCAATCTCTCTCAAAGATCAATTCAACGTCACCGGCTTCGATTCAACCTTGGGCTATGTTGGTCGTGCTTTCCACCCAGCAGAGTCTAATGCACTTCTCGTCGATACCTTACAAGGACTAGGCGCCATAATCATTGCAAAAACGAACTTGCCGCAGAGTATCATGGTAGGTGGAAAGTCTTGCAAGAGATCGAGACAGATGTTGACTGGGCCANNGTGGTGCGAGACTGAAAATCCACTATGGGGATTGACCACTCACCCGATGAACAAGGATTTTACTTCCGGAGGCTCCTCCGGTGGTGAGGCAGCTTTGGCATCACATGGCTCACTCATTGGCTGGGGCACTGATATTGGCGGATCCATCCGTATCCCCAGTCATATGAATGGTCTCTGGGGCTTCAAACCAAGTGTAAAATGTCACATCCATACACATGTCCATACATCCACTGACGCTATTGACAGNAGTGGACGTATGTCGTACCGAGGTGTTGAGGTATCCCAGGAAGGCCAGCAGCATGTACCTTCCGCTGTTGGTCCCATGACAAGATCTCTGAGCTCCATGGTTCACGTTACAAAACTTGTGATTGAAGCAAAGCCCTGGTCTCTAGACTCACAACTACCTCCAATGCCCTGGAGGAGCGATGTTTTCGACACCTTCGCTTCAAAATCACTCGTCATTGGTGTGATGCCTGATGATGGTGTGGTCAAGGTTCACCCACCAATAGCACGTGTGTTTCGCGAGACGGTGGCAAAATTGCAGACTGCCGGTCACGAGATTGTGGAGTGGGACAATTCGTTGAACGGCAAGTGTGTCGCGATCATGGTACGTCTGATCTGACAAGCAGCACGATATGAGCTCACAATTGCANNGGACGCGTACTATACCGCAGACGGGGGCGAAGATATCCGATCTGCTGTACTGCAAAGCGGCGAGCCATTCATACCACACGTACAAGCTCTGATCGATCGCGGTTCGCCAATCACAGTCTACGAATACTGGCAGTTGAACAAGAGGAAGGTGGCCGCTCAACAAGCATACCTCGAAATGTGGAATAGCCTGCAGTCTCCATCAGGACGTTCAGTCGATATACTGCTTGTCCCCACCATGCCACATACCGCTGTACCTCACCGCTGCTGCCGCTGGGTGGGCTACACCAAGCTCTTCAACTTTCTCGATTATCCGGCGTTGTCGTTTCCAGCGGGGAGAGTTGACAAAGAGGTTGACGGCAAGTTGGATCAAGGATATGTTGCTCGCAATGATCATGACTCTTGGAACCAGAAACTATATGATCCCGAGTCGATGCATGGCCATCACATTGGTCTGCAGATCGTCGGGCGCAGATTCGAAGAAGAGAAGGTGTTGGGGGCAGCTCAGCAGATAGAGAGTTTGCTCTAGATGTAGTTTTCTGGTGAGTGACGTGTCATGTTACATGTTCTCAAAAGTCATGGATAGCTGCCACAGGTGTGTATTTTTGAGCAAGATTGTTCGGGATATTTGTGCTTGCTACTTGAATCCTTCTCGCTTGCTGGAATAGTTGATTATCGTTGAATGTTCAAGCTGTCGACCATGAAATCAGGCAGCAGTCTTTTTGAGCAGCGCTTTCTGCTCGAATAATACCATACTCCTCCTCCTGATCTGCTCAATATCGCCAAAGACCTCCTGTGCCAACTCCTTCTTGTTGATCTTGCCCATCGCATTCCGCTTGATCTTCTCTACAATCTCCTGGTCTTGAGGTATCTTGTAGCCCACCAGACGAGCTCTCAAATTATCTCGTAGATCTGCCAGTGTCCAAGGCTCGCCACTGTCCACAAACTTTTTGGATAGAGCGATGACAGCCACAATCTTTTGGCCCCATATCTGGGATGGCAGACCCAAAACCGCAACCTCGCTAACCTGGGGTAGAGACAAGATTTCGCGCTCAATCTCGAGGGCAGACACCTTTTCGCCGCCGGTCTTGATTATGTCAGCACTGCGTCGTCCTTTTATGAAGTATGCCGGTCCTTGAGCCCAAGAGCCTGACGTCCCGTTTCCAGCACCAGGCATGTAACGACGGATGGCTATGTCGCCCGTCTTGAACCATCCATCGTCCGTGAACTCTTTTGCAGTCGCGGATGGATCAGCCCAGTAGCCCCTGAAAACGGTTGGTCCACGCAACTGAAGCTCTCCCTGGCGTTCTTTGCCGGTGACAGAGTCGCATTCTTCGCCGAGCTGTATGACGGTTGCCACGCCGGTCTTGTCATTACTTTCGACAAGGCGGACTTGTACAGAAGGCAGAGGCCAGCCAACGGAGCCATCAAGGCGGTCTTCGTCTCGGAGACCACAAGAGAGTGCCATTCCGACTTCAGTCATGCCGTAACGCTCGAGCAAGATGTTTCCTCCAGAGAGCTCGGTCCATCCATCACGGGTTGGCTTGGGCAGAGCTGCAGAACCGGAAATGTTGAGACGCAGATGTTTGCGAGATATCGCTTCTCTACCAGCTGTCTGGAGGCTGGGGGCCAGAGACGAATGAGCTTCCAGCAAACGAGACCAGATGGTTGGAACCGCGGTGAAGAATGTGATGGGAGGTTTTACGGCGACGGGTGTATCGTTTTCTGTGCCGATGAAAGGCGCCGCAAGTCGCTTCCAGACTTCTTCGACTCTGAATGGATACATGAATTCGATGCAGCTGCCAGCAAGCAGTGGTGTGAGGATAGCGTTTACTGTGCCGTGAATGTGATGGAGTGGTAGAACATGCAGTAGATGATCGGAGGGTGCGTAGTCCCATGCGGTCAGCAGACTCTTTGCTTGAGCGGCCAGAGTAGCATCGGACAACAAGACACCTTTTGGCTTTGCAGTGGTCCCAGAAGTGAAAAGCATCATACCGGCCTCTACAGTAGAGGGCATGTCTTGATCAGATACGACAATCTCTTCGGATTGATTAAGGAGTTCTTCTACCTCAAAGGAGCTAGCTAGCGAAGTGAGGCCCTCGATAATGATCTCCTGAGCCTTTGCTGCGAATTTGTTTGACGTTAGTATGACTACAGCCTGGCTGACATTGATGATATGCCTCAATTCGATCGTGGGGAAAGACAGAGCCAACGGGACAGCGATCGCGTTGCAAGCGAAGATGGCCAACAATGTTACNNTAGATCTGGGCGTCAACGAGCTGGTCTCAGGTGCAAGATCACCAATGGGTGTCTGACCCACGTAGTTGTATCCATTATCCACTAGGAATGCCACACGCTCGCCAGAGAGGTCCCTTTGGCCAATGTTCTGCAACAATTGTTTTTTGACTCGCAGAAAATCGTTCAAAAGTTGACCATAAGTGAACCCCTGTTCAGATGCAGGATTCACGATCGCTGTAGAGGCAGGGTTATGGGCTCGAATAGCCTTGAACAAGACAGATTCGGGAACTTTGACGGCCATTATTGCTTGCAAGGTATTTGTGAACAAATTGACCTGAACTTGGATCTGTTTCTCGATCAATATGTATACCGTCTGACGATGACTTGGTGCTTGCGGTGCTCGCGTAGTGGATTGAGCTTCGGTGGGGAAGAGTTCCGCTCTTTCCCCGAGGACAGCCGTCACAATCTGCTTTACCCCAGCTTATCGCAGAGCGGTCGTGCGATTGAACCCTACAAGCAAAAGCGAGAACCATCTCCCCGCAGAATAGCCGTGATACGAAGCATGTCTTGCTATCACGCCGGGCAGTGACGGGATACACTTGCCAAAGATTTTCCAGATGCGGATGACCTTGAGATTGATCTTTCGATATGACTGCCAACATAAGCCCCTCCATCAGAGCAATCACCACAGACTATAGTGATTACAAGCATAGACGACTACCGACATGACATATAGCGAGGAAGACTATGTGTTTGACGCTGGTTCCCTCGGACACTTGGAAGGTCTTACTATATCTTCCAACCAAACTCCAGCTCTCCATTACTTTGGAGGTCTGCCATATGCTCTGCCGCCGACTGGCTCTTTTCGTTTCAAACCACCTCGCAAACTCCCAGCAAACTATAGCTATGGCACCAGGACATCTCCGGGCCAATTCACCAAAGGCACAAAGGTTTGTCCTCAGCCTCCGAGTCGCATCCCACCTGATGTCTCGCTTTTCGACGAGGATTGCTTGCAACTCAATATCTGGATCCCTGCGGGCGAGTCACCAAAACAGGGTTGGCCGGTGTTTTTCTACTTGCATGGAGGCTTCTTGCAATGGGGCACTGCCAATTGGAAGCCATCTTCTTTAGTACCTTTGCTGGCTGGATCTGCATTCAGAGCTATAGTAGTTCTTCCTGCTTACCGACTCAATGCAATTGGCTTTCTCACCGGCAGAGCGTTTGCCGCAGAAGCTGATATCGCCGAAGGGGCTGTGTTCGGCAACATGGGACTTTGGGATCAACGCACGGCTTTGGAGTGGGTGCATGGCAACATTGCAAACTTTGGCGGTGACCCTCTTGACATTACCGTTGGTGGATATTCGGCAGGCGCATATTCGACATTTCATCAATTGGCGCATGAATTGTACCTTGTCCCGGCCGAACGTCGCATCATCAGGAGAGTGATCATGCTTTCCAATGGTCCAGGAACAAGACCTAAGACACTCAGCGAACACCAAGCCCAATTCGATGAATTCGTCTGCCATCTCGACATGCCCGCCTCTCTTTCCCCAGCCACACAACTCGCAAAGCTGCGTCAACTTCCCTATCAGCAACTCCTAGCCGCTCAAAACAAGATGAAAATCTCCGAGTTCAGACCCATGGCCGACGGCAAGTTTTACCCCAAAGACGTATTCACCAACATCAACAACGGAGACTTTGCGCGCAGAATGAAGGATCGCGGCATCTGTATCCTCGGTGGCGAATGCAGAGACGAACACAACATTTACCGCACCTGGCGCACACCCGAAAACTCCCTCCAAGCATTGCGCACCCGTCTCTGCGCAGAGTACCCCACGGACACGGTGACCAAAATCCTACACCACTATTGCGGCGCCGAAGCAACTCTACCTGCGCACTGCAGAGACTGGCAAGATGCATTCGGCCGCATCTACGCAGACCTGCAAGTCCACAATCTGCAACGCGGCTTCTTGGACGCGCTGTGCAGACACGGTCTCGAGCCCGGCAAACACGTACTCCGATATCGTTTCGACAGACGCTTGCAGTGCATCGACGCAACCATACCCATCGAGTGGGGCGTCACGCATTCCTCGGACGTGCCCATCTGGCTCTGGGGTTCTGATTTCGCGGGCGGCATGACGGAGCAGGAGAAGCGGTGGTTGAACAGCTGGAATCAAGGCTTCGCGGCGTTTGTGAGTGGTGCAGAGGTGCATTGGGGCCCGACCGCGCCCGAGCAAATGAGACGGTGGAGGAGCGATGGCGAAACGGACATCTGGGAGGACGATGGATGGGACAAGGGGCTGGAGATGTGGGAGCTTGTGCACGGCAAATGTTGAATCTGCTTTTCAAGACGGATAATATCATCGAGAACTCTTCTCAAATTGTCGTGCGGCAAGTCTGGGTTTCTTCCACGCAAAGAAGAAGAGAGAGACGAAAAGAAAACTTGTTGGTATCGTCGAGCAAAACTACATACGCATCAAAGGAGAATTGGTGGCAGGAGATGATCCATTCAAAAAAAGTATGTGGAGGCAATCTGCCAGTTCTAGGGAACAGTTGTCCAAAGGTATGTGCTGATCAAGTAGAGTGGTAGCCTTCCTTTATACAAAGGACTAATAAGCAGCAAGCTTTCCTCCGAGGGCAGAAAGATATCCGATCGACCTTTGGTCCACTTGCTGATTGCCGGACCAGTAATCTCGGTGCAGTGATCTACCGCAGGCTTATGCTTTGTCGCTTTGTCACCTGTCAATGGTGGTGAACTGGTAGGCCACCCATAACTATTGGAATACTCCACTTTGTTCTCACATGGTTGGGCAAGAGCCGTTTCATTCGATTGACATGTTTTGATTATTGCTATTCGTGAAGGGTATCTAATCATTTTAATTTTTGTTTCGCAACACATTCAAGCATCTTAGACGACGACCTTGTGGGGAGCGTCCTTCTCCTCGGGCTCGTTGAAGATGTTGACGGGCCATCTGGGCTTGTTGGCAGTGAAGGGGATGTTGTAACGACGACGCTCCTCGTTGCCAATCTTTTCAATCTTCTCAAAGTCGTCCTTGGGCAGCTCAATCTCCTTGAAGTTGTCGCGGATGCGGGATGCAGTGACGGACTTGGGGATGACAGAGTGGCCGCCGACCTGGGCCCAGGCGAGGATGACTTGTGCGGGCGAGGCGTTGAGACGCTCGGCAATCTCCTTGACGGTCTTGTGCTGGATGAGGAGGGGCTCGCCGACCATGTTGTTGCCGAAGGTTGAGTACTCGGTGATGTGGATGCCCTTGTCGCCGCACCACTTGACGAACTCGGTCTGGAGGAGGCGGGGGTGGCGCTCGATCTGGTTGGCGGCGGGGGTGACACCGGTGCCGTCGATCAGGGCCTGGAGGTGCTCCTGTGTGTGGTTGGAGACACCGACGGCGCGGGCCTTCTTCTTGTCGAGCTGGGTCATGGCCTTCCATGTGTCGACGATGGAGACAGAGTCAAGCATCTTGACGTCGCCGTCGTCACGGAGGGGGAACAGGTTCTGGTGGACATCGCCCGACTCGTCGAAAGCGACGGGGAAGTGGACGAGGTACAGGTCGAGGTAGTCGAGGCCGAGCTCGGCAAGGCAGTCGTCGAGGGCGGGAGCGACGTCCTTGGGTCTGTGCTGCGAGTTCCAGAGCTTGGAGGTGATGAATATGTCCTCACGCTTGACGCCCTCGCTGAAGGCTCTCTTGAAGGCGTTGGCAATCTCCTTCTGGTTGCCGTAGACCTTGGCCAGATCAATGTGCTTGTAGCCGGCCTTGAGAGCCTCGTAGACGGCGGCCTCGACTTGGCCGGGCTCGGCCTGCCAGGTACCAAAGCCCAATTGNNACTGTCGTTTGTTGTTAGCACCGTCGCGAAGCTTCAGCTGCTGGTCGAAGACTCACGGGATCGAGGCGCCGGTGTTGAGCTTGACTGTGCGTCCGAGAGACATGATGTGTGATGTGAATGGAGATGGAGAGTGTACAGATGAGAAGAAAAGGGAGATTGTTTGACAAGAGATAGCGAGGAAGGAGGGGCACAGAGGGGCTTTCATATCTTTGGCCCGGTGGGGAAATATGGGGGCGCCCGCTTTCAACCGACGCCCTATTCACCCGACAAAACGTCATTCATCTCTACCGTGCCGAATGCCACACATGTATCTCCGCTTCCCTACCAAAGACTTCCTGCACTTCTGCCGCTCTTGACTTTCTCCGCGAGCTGCGTTGCCACAGTTTCGTTCTTCTCACCGTCGCATCCCGGCTGACGGCTGAGCTTGAAACAATGCGAAGGACCCCATGGAAGAAAGCTGTTGGGCTACACGTACACGTACACTCAGAAGCTCGACGGATTTCCATTCATGTCTGAATCAGCCTGTATGGCCAATGCCCTGCTAATAAAGCTTCTGGTGGGTCTGAAGGAAAAGAATGCCGCACCAGTAGGTCACCGTCATCAAAGGTCTTTTGTTCATCCGTCGTAACCACTCGCATCACCCAAGCTCTCAGCAGCTTCAGCACCTTTTCGGAACATGTTTTTGAGATCTCTGGCCATGTGCTCGGGCTTCTCCCACGCGGCAAAATGACCACCGCTGTCATGCTCGGCCTCAAACACCACCGTTCCCATCTTCCTCACCCACGCCTTTGGAGACGTCTCCATGTCTTTCCAGTTGTACATGACACCCAGCTTGACGTGAGGAACATGACCAGTCGCCGTCACCATAGCACTCGTGTCATCACCGCCCTTTGCATCATGCTTGGCCTCATAGTAGATGCGCACATTGGCTGCAGGACCCGCAGAAGAGAACCAGTATATCGACACCCAAGTCAGAACTTCATCAGCAGTCCAGGGATAGTCATCGGTCCATTCGTGAAGTTTCTCCAGGATCCACGAGAGCAAGAGGACGGGCGAGTCTTGGAGTCCATAGCCGAGTGTTTGTGGTCGAGTGCATTGCTCATGGCTGTAGCCGGCGCCGTCCTCGCGGAACTTGGCCAAGCGTTGTAGAGATGCATACTCTTTGTCGCTGAACGACGACTTGTCATCGAGGGCGGCTGTGAGATCGGTATCCATGGCTGGGGGAGTCATATTGACGTGCGAGGCCTTGCATGCTTCTGGGAACAGATGGCCCATGGTTCGTGTGATCCAGAAACCCCAGTCTCCGCCTTGTGTTGCNNTGCATACTATCAGTCTTTGCTCCGTCATGTGCTAGGAGTTGTGGTAATGCTTGCCATATTGCTTATAACCCAGCTTCAGCATAAGTTTGTGGCAGACCTCAGCATATTGCCTAAGACCAAATCCTCGCTTCTTCACGCCCTCTGAGAAACCAAAGTTGGGAAGCGAAGGCGCAACGACATGGAAAGCAGGTGCGCCGTCCTTGGTATCGGCCAACAGAGGCAATACCTTAGTCACCTCTGTGAAGTTTCCAGNGCCCTGTTCATCATCAGTCGCGGCGTTTTCATCGATTTTTAACGTTCACCAACATCCATGACAAAACAAAAGAGGCACCGCATTCTTGACCGAGCTCTTCTGGTGAATGAAATGTACCTGCAGTTCGCCGAACCCATCGACATCAATGCCAGTGACATGACTGGGGAGCTCGTTCAGTTTTGCTTCGTGTCTGCGCCAGTCGTAGTCGTTTTGCCAGTATTTGAGCAGTTTCCTGACCTCTGGGAGGGACGCGCCGTAATCCCAGCCTGCATCATCGAGCTCGTCTGGGAGATCGACTACAGCGAGTTTCTGGTGCAGACGGTCGAGTTTTGTCTGGGCGACCGAGATGGTATAGGGTTTGATGTCTGACATGTTGCTTCGATGGTATCCTGGAAACTGCTGACCGGTGTCAATTGATTTGGTGGAGACTGCCAGTGAGTGTTTATATATTGTGTTGTCGGAAAGCTTTCAGTGCGGGGCATTGTTGAGCAGTTCATCGTTGCATGCCAAGATGCATGGCCTTGCTTACACAGCATTACCAAGCACTCTCAGGCAGCAATCAATATACGCGTGGAACTCTCGAATGGTGTTTGTCCCTGTTACACACGCGCTAATTTGATGTTTCCTAGCAGCTCGATCCAAGATACTCAATTGACTCTCGAACCCATTGTCAAAACCCTTCTAATGAGTCACACAGCATGACGACAATATACAAGGATCATAAACGGTTTGACCACAGCTCCTTTTGCATTGCTGGAGTTTCTGTCTTGGTGCCATGGTGGAGGTGGGCTATGTCGAGGACATGGATGGAGCATAGTCGTAAAGCTTATGAGAAGAAATCGGGTGTGATATTGCTCGAGAAAGGAGAGTCAGGGCCCTGAATGATCAGTAAAAAGGTCAGGCTGAACGTGCCTAGGAAAGTCTCGCATGCGGATGCTGAATTGCATGTATGCCTAATGAAAGAGCAGCCATACGACTACGCATAACTTCTCTTAATCTCCTCACACACTGCATCAGTGACTTCCTTTGTAGTCGCCTTGCCACCAAGATCACGCGTCAAAATGCCGTTCCCGCATACGTTCTCGACGCAATCGAGCAACCTGTCTGCAGCGGCTTCTTCACCCAACCACCGTAGCATTTCTGCTGCAGTCCAGAATGTGCCTACTGGGTTGGCGATGCCCTNTCCTGTTATGTCGAATGCGGAGCCATGGATGGGTTCAAACATGCTGGGGTTCTGGCGTGTGGGGTCGAGGTTGGAGGTTGGTGCTATGCCGATGGAGCCGGCGAGGGCTGCGGCCAGATCGGAGAGGATGTCTGCGTGCTTTGTGCATCGAGTCAGTACATGAAATCACTGAAGACTAATGATGGGGCTTACAAGGTTCGTGGCGACAATCGTATCCAGCGATTGCGGTTGCAGCACCATACGACAAGTCATTGCGTCCACCAACATCTTATCCACCTTGACATCCGGGAAGTCCTTTGCAACCTCCGCAGCGATCTCGTCCCACATGACCATACCATTTCTCTGCGCATTGCTCTTTGTGACCACAGTGATGTGTTTCTTGTCTCTCTTCTGCGCGACCTCGAACGCAAATTTGAGCAGTCTAGTCACAGCATGGCGGGTGAAAATGCTAACTTCGGTTGCGGTCTCCCAGGGCTGACCCTTGTGGCTGCGACCTCCTTGGCCTGCGTATTCGCCTTCGCTGTTTTCGCGGATGATGACCCAGTCCAGGTCTCCAGTGGTTGCTTTGCGGAGAGGCGACTCGGTGCCGCGAAGAATCTTGGTCGGACGCACATTGGCGTATTGTTGAAAGCCTTGACAGATTGCTAATCGCAAACTCCAGAGTGAGATGTGATCAGGGACATNCTGTGTTCTTGCATCGATATCATGCATTCCCAATGTAAATGTTTGTGTCAAAAGCTTACCTGGAGCACCCACAGCACCAAACAAAATCGCATCATGCTTCTTCAAATCTTCCAATCCATTGTCGGGAATGTATTTGCCAGTCTTCTTGTACGTTTCCGAACTCCAATCGTAGTGTTCAAAGGCTAGAGTAAACGATTTGCTCGCCGCACTGAGAGCCTCGAGCACTTTTACTCCTGCGTCGATGACTTCGGGGCCAATGCCGTCGGCTGGTATGCAGGCGATTCTGTAATTCTTGCTGGACATGTTCTCGTGGGATGGGTCAAATGTGTACTTCTTGTCAAGGTTGCGGAGTTGCTCGCACTTATGTTGACTGCCTTGGAGGGGTAATGTGGAGTTGTGTTGTGCCGCTGACGGACGTGTCTTTCTCCCAGTGAGGGGTAACTTCTTGCTTCTCTCCTTCTACGGTTTGGCGTCCGGCGAGAACTGCGTGCGTTGAAGATGCAATTTTCGAGTCAAGTATGCAAGTCCGGAAAGCGATATGTGGTGTGCACAACATAATGTTGCATTCGACCTACCTCTTTGCTTCGCACTCGTGTTGTGCTCGACTTTGGCCTGAAAGGCTCGCTGTTCAAAGTCGTGGTGCTATGATCGCTGCTCCCTAATGACGCCTGAGCGCTGAAGACTTGCCAATCGAAAGGAATACCAAGCTCGACGCTCAGAGCTTGATCAATTGCCTTGGTGTGCCAGTTCTGAGTGTCTGCATTCCAGCTGCAGCAAAGGAAGGCCACAGGCAGCAGCAGGTAGATTCTTCGCAAAGCGTTCTGGTAGCAATCAACGACTTGCTACCCGTGAGTGTTTCAAGCTTCCAGGATTGAGGCCGCGATCATTTGCAGCAACGTTGCATCTGGTCAAGAGGCTAAAGAAGCGGTCTGCACCTTCGCTGCGATGCACTGCAAGTCCGACCAAGCAGGCAGCAGCGCAATCGACTTGTTTGAGGCACTCGCTCCATCACCACACCATCATACCGAAAAACGTCACATCGCTTGTAATCACCTCAAGCGTTCAGATCATGACAGCTACATCTGTAATGAGTCGTCTGACAAAGACACTTGCATCCTCCCCTTGCTAGTCTGTCGTCTCTCCGCCGCACCTATCCCGCCAATAGTAAACAGATCGACCGGATTGCATGATGTCAAACTCACAACACGATGGAGATGAAGACTCCACGTTGCGCCCCTGCATGAAGCACTTACCACGCAAACAGCATCACGAGGAATGTTCGTCCGGTCGATCGTACCAGCGACTAAGCCCCAAACTGCATGTTCATCGTAAACACGCGGCTCAAGAACAAGCGAGTGGACAATTGAGTTTGAACTGTTCAATGAGATCTGGAAAAACGGTGGAGATTTCTGAGGCTCAGATGATGTTGACACTTTTTCTGTTTCGATTCGGCGCGTCATTATGTCGCGTTCAGCCGCATCGCGAGACCACTTTACGCTCGATCGGGACGTCGTTTGCCACAGCAGTGAAACTACCCTGATGGTGACATTTCGATCACAATCAGGCATTGTTCCATCAATGCAGCTCGATGCTTTGCAGAACAACTGCGCGAAAGACACAAAACATGTCCTTACGATGTTAGGGGGACGATCTTGCAAACATTGGCTCGAAAACAAGTCGCTTCTTGCTATAGGAGATTTTCCAAGCCCAACAAAACAAAGGATCGAACTTGTTGCTTCGAACGCGGGGCTCCTCACGATGATGACACGCTCCAGGAGATCAATCAACGCTGCATTCGGCGAAAGATCAGCTGTATAAGCGTCATGTCTCCACCAGATCTCGATCGGCTCAGGTACGACGCAAGCACGATCTGTGGGGAAAGCTATCCGCTGCATGTTCCACCAGTAGCACGCTCACCTTTACGCTTTTTTTGCATCATCAGGCTCATCTCCTTTCTGACGCAAAGCAGACCGACAAGTTGTTTGTCTTGCATGGCTGACGAGACACCTTCCAGCTAAGCGAGCAAAACGATGGGAGAGAGACGTATAAGTACCTCGTCCTCTGCTGCTTCTACCTCTCCTTCTTCATCAACAACCAAATCACTTCGCTCTTACAGCTTCTCTCACAACCTCACTCCACATCGAACAACTTCCGAACAAAGTCTTTACTTTCTTCAATCTATCAACATGTCTGGAACTTACAAGCCCACTGGTACGACTTTCTCAATCTCGAGTCTACAACACAGAGCAGTTTCACTGACATGCAAACAGAGCACGGCGGTCTCAAGGAGGACGGTACCCCCGACAAGCGCGTCGGCACCGGTCAGTTCGCCCAGGGTCAGGTCGACCCCCATGAGGCTGGCAAGCAGGGCGGTCACTCCTCTGGCGGCAGCTCCGAGGACACTGGCTCTTCTGGCGGCTCTTCCGGCGGCAACGGCCGTGAGTCTCTTCCTCTCTTCCCAAACATATCAGTCCACTAACAAGTATCGCAGAGTTTGCTGGCGGCAAGGTTGACCCCGTCGAGGCTGGTCGCAAGGGTGGCAAGACCTCCAACTAAGTGTGCTCTCTACTGAGAGTCACTTCTCACGATATCATGACCTGGTGCCATCAACCAGTATTGTAATATTATCATGACATAATTCTACCAGAATCTACACCAGATTTACATCATCCTCTTGTGCCTCTCCCATCGTTCTGCGTTCATGATGCCGTCTTTACTCGTTTCTTTCCAACTTTTGTGGCAGAGTTCGAACCCTTCACAATACCATGCAGCGGTACATACTGCAACATGACACAAATTTTTGCGGAATAACGGTGTGGCCAGTGAGACTCACGATATGTGGCACTTTTCCGTAGGTTTTCCTCAAAATATCAGGTACAATTGTGCATCTCTATAGCGACATATATAGCACACTGGAGATTGTTATCTCATGCAAGGTATGCCCACCCTTGTTCTGTCTGTCTATCTGCAGATTTGCTTGTCAAGCACCGTAGCTTCAGAGAAATCCTTGGCCATCTGCACCGGCACCAAGTCCTTCGACGTGCCCTGTGCGAAATCGAAAAACTGACCCACAAAACCATTAACAATCTCCATAGCCCTCACTCCCTCAATCGTTCCCAAAAGCGCACTAATCTCTTTGCTTGCCTTTGGATCAAGCCCCAACGTATCAGCCAGCAAAGGCAAGTCAGTAAAACTGCCATGTTGCGTTCCATTGATCGTAACGGCAAGCTTTGTGCCCGAAACCTTTGGCCTGACTTGCTTCCACGAAGCATCAGTGGTCAAGGTTTTGGCCTGATGGCTCATGATCATGAAGGGGGAAGTCAAGCCTTTGTGCAAGACGTTGCCGAAAAGTGATCCGTCGAGGTTGATGGCTGCGGCTATACGGTGATCGGCCAGCATTGCAGCTGCAGCGGTTGCACCGCCTAGAGAGTGGCCCATGACAAGGATGTTGCTCAATGACTTTGTGTTTGCGATGTCGTGGAAGAGGTATTGTCTGATAGAGCGACTTTGCAGTTGAGTGATGAGGAAAGACACATCCTGCTGGCGAACAAGTACGTCTGCCGCTATCTGCTCGTCGGAGGAAATGTCGGCGGCGAGTGCGACGGTCTTGTCTGGGTACTCCACGATACTCGCATCATAAGCGTGATCCAGGGTGATGACCACAAAGCCATGGCTGGCCAGTGATTGAGCCATTGCGCCGTGAATCAGTCGAGAATTGCCCAAGCCGGGTGAGAAGAGAACGATGGGAAAGCCCTTTGATCTCACGCTGCGATCCTTGCGGTTGAAGGCACACGTGGACAACTCGAAGGAGGCAAATGTGCCGTTTGGGATGCCGAGGGGTGCATACATCTCATCATAGACAATTGCGGTTGCGGGAGTCATGTAGGGGACCATGACGGGCTGGCATTTCTTGGCTGAAGTCGCTGGGTAGTAGGCAGAGACCATGATACGCCTGTGTTCTGGCTTGAGCGCATACGTGTCATTTCTCGAAGTGTCGACAAGTCCCATGGTGGTAGTTGCAACGCCATATTGTCCAAGTGGTGGCTGCACAGTGATGGCAGTCGCCAGAGCTGCAGACGTCAAAAGCAAAGTGAACTTCATGATGGAAAGGTGGAAAGCAGTCGAAAACTGGATATCGAATGCAAGAGGAAGACGAGGTTGGTTGAATAATCACTACAATGTTGTGTCGCAAGACGTGTCTTTATACTCGCGACAAGCTGCGCAGCAAGACCTACCTCGAGTGGCCCCGAGCTTCGACCTTCGCTCGAACACTTCCTATTACGAACTGGTATGGATTCGTCATCTTGTCTAAGCTTGTGTGCCCATGTAAGAAGGGAAGAAGTTGACGACGAGGGAGAAGGATTGGAGCAACCGTGCCCGTGCGCTGCGGAAGCCCATCTCGCGCGAACACTTCCTAATCGGGAATAGTCGGCTTGGCTGTGGCTTTGTCTGCAATGGATCCGCGCCGAAGACTCACACCTTTTCTCGACATCACAATCGTCCGTAGAACCTATTAAAGTCAAAGCCTCCCCTGAACATGTCTCTGTTTGGTCACAATCGCGCGAAACATGCGTCTCGGACCATTAGACCGCCGCCTTGAGAGACGAAGATGCCTGCCGTGTGCGAAAAGTCATCTAAAGGTGGGTCGGCCATATATGTTGATTATTGTCATTTGCTGAGCCTCTCTANNGTGTTTTGGTGGTACACCATGTACCAATTGCTCAAAGCGAAATTATGAATGCGAATATCCTCAGAATAAGGCAGCGGTCATGGGAATACGGCTTTCCCAGCCAAAGTCGACGCAGAGCGAAGACACGATACGTTTCAAGATAACGCGAAAGCCGAGGATTGATCCAAGTAACAGTGTCTTGACGACCTTCCTCACCAAGTTTGTGGGCGAGAACGACTTTACTGGGTGTCCTTCGACATGGTTCATGGATATCCAGACACACTTTGCGACGGACAAGGCAGTGCATCATGCGATCAAGGCATTGAGTGCGTTATATGCTTGCCAGAAAGATGGCACAAGCCGTGTTCAAGATCAGAGACTCGCGTTGGAATCTTATCAGACTGCAGTCCTGTCGGTGAAGCAAGTTGTCAATATGAAAAATGCAAGGATTGAGCAACCGCTGCTGTCAAGCACGTTTCTGCTGGGCCTATTTGAGGTAACGCTACAATTCGACATTGATCACTCTAGCCTCTGACAGATATACAGNTTGATGTACGACCCTACGGGTCAAGGCTGGATCAAACATACAATGTACGGGACCTCGAAGATACTCCAACACTTGGGACCAGAGGCATTTCGCTCGGGCTTGGGTCTCAGCTTCTTCAATCAGATGAGGATGTTCGAAGTCTCTCGCTCTCTCCTCTTTTCAGAGTCGTCTTTTCTTGTTGAGAGGGCCTGGATGGGACCGACTCGCAGCAGCAATGCACAGGACAGTGACACCCACCCCATAGAAGAACTGCTCAACCTGATGATCAGATGCTCTGATCATTGCGCTAAAGCGTTGTCGTACCTCGAAGGCGTGAATAGGTATACAATATCAAGCGACAACATCCGACAATTACGAAAATACTCGCTGGAAGGGTTCGATCTCAGACTTGCTCTATACAAGATAGAGTCCCGTCTCTTGTCACTATCTCCTCTCCTTGCCAAAGACAATCGCACGGTCATTGCCAAGATCTACCTAGCAGCGACCTCGATCTTTCTTTCTGGAGTCTACGATTACAGATCGATATGGTCACAAGCCATAGAAGCCACACCAACACTCTCACAACCCTTGATTGAGCATCACGTAATCACGATACTGGATACGACAGAGTTTGCAATGGCGCAGACCAATCTTTCCAAGTTGCTGTTTTTGTATCCGCTTCGGGTTGCTTGCGCGAGGGTGTGGACGGATGGTCAAAAGGACAGATTAAGAACCATGTTTGGCTTGATACAAAGGTCTTTTGCTGTTGCGCATGTATTTGTGACCGAGATCGAAGAGCTCTGGCAAACTCCGCTATCACATCGATTTTCCTGATCTCCAATCTTGATCTTTTGGAAAATTTCAACCAAGCCAAGCATACATCCAAGGAAAGAAATGATACAACAACCCCTTGACCAACAAAGGCAGATTCTGCCATGGAAATGCGACGTCTGCAGCAACGGGGTCAACGGATACAGCTTTCCAATCGTACGTATCACCACTGTCAGCCACTTCGACCATTGCGGCTGCAAGATCCATGAACGAAACCACCCCCTTGGCTGCTTGCATGGAGACTTTGTGTCCCTTTTGCGAATCAATGCTCAAAGCGCCTGGCTTCACAAACGTCACTGACAGCCAATCCTGCTCTCTACGCAGCAAAGCCTCAGCAGCTATCAAATCATTATAGATGTTTGATTCTGCGCGGAAGAGGAGGTCGAGAGCTAATGCCGGCATTTCTTTTTCGAATGCTGGTTCTGTGGGTACAGCAGACAACACAACCAATATCGGAAATTTTGTCGCTGCAGAAGTGATTCGAAGTGAGCGCAAGGCGGCAATGACTACGCGTGCGGTATCTTGAGCGATGGTATTGCCTGGCACATTTCCACTGACTGCTACTGCGAGAAACACGGCATGGGTGCCTTGGATGCAGTCGGCTATGATGTTTGTATTGCTCAGGTTGCCTTCGTAGACACGAACATTGGGGTTTGCGATGATTCCGGGTTGTAGATTCTCAAGCTTTGTTCTAGAGCGACAGTAGGCGTGGACTTTGTTGGCGGGGTCTTGGGTCAGGACTTTAAGGAGGGATTGGCCTGTGTTGCCTGTTACTCCGAGGACTGCGTAGGTTGGCATGGTGGATATTGAGTCAAGATCTATGCCAAAGAAGAGCTGTGATGTATTCAGAGATGATCAAAGTGCAGCTCCAGGACAGTCCTGACATGGCATCTCGTGCATGTGTGATGTCGTGGTTGCGGAGCGGAGGTTGTGCTTTCAGAATCCGATGATCGCTCGGCAAACCTTGGTTTCATGCGCGACGGCATTTCGTTTTTGGCATACCCGTTTCTCGAATGAAGGTGTAATCATACATGTAGGCAGACATACACTGATTCGCTTCCATCCTCTAGTCAAAGCACCCGGGAACGATAATGTTGACGTTCGAGTAACTACCACGCGTCGCCATCATGACGAGAAAGTCCTTGCTGTGTATATCACCCTGATCCGACAATAGAATCTCTTGCAAACATGGTCGCTCCTTGCCTCTTCCAACTTAGTCCATTTGGTTAATTCAGAAGATAATAGCGATATGGCATGTACGAAAGATTTTTGCGCACATGTGAATCGAAATCATGGCGCGACACCGTCGGTATATTAAGCCTTTGGCAGAGTTGCATTACGATCAGTCGCAACTGGCGTCGTCCAGATCGTTCATCATCCAGACCACGTCTCTCTCTCTATGGACATGACACTGGCACGAAAGGCGTCGCGTATCGAACAGCTACTTGTGCGGCAGGCTTGTACACGAGGAGGGTGTTCACGTTGGTTAACGTCGATTCTGCTTACCTACTCGAGCTCCTCCTTCGGCCATCAGACTTTGCCGAAGGTCACGTGGTCTCAACGTTGCCGACGATACCTTGCCAAGAGGCCGGAACTGAGGCGCTGTTATCGCTGTGGACAGCAGGAGAGAGAAGTCTGGAGGCATGGGACAATTCCGGCCACCAAGAACATCAAGATCATGAGGTGAATGCAAGGCAGGTCACACGACGCGAGTTACAAGTCAACAAGGCTGCAAACGCCTCCTCAGCATGCTGTATCAAACTTGCCAAAAAGCGCTCCCATGTAGGCATGTTGTCGCCACTGTACACCAGTTCGACCTCGTCAACCACAGAGCCTCAGTAAGTGGATACAGGCCGGAATACCTGCGGCCTCTGTTGAATTCTGTCCTTATCAGCGGTATTGGGCCGGCCACCAGATTAAAAAGGCTTTGCCTCGCCCACATGTTCCAAAATTCCTTTTCATCACTCGGAAACCAAAACCTGAACTTCTGCAAGTTTTCTGATACCAATCATGCCTGGCATTATCACTCAGTTCTCTTCTCTCTCTGTTCCTCATGACCCTTCGGAGCTTTCTCCTGGCTCTGACCCTTTCCTCATTACTGCCCAAAATGGCTATCTCCCCACCCATCTGCCCCTTCGCAGGCTCCCTGCAGCCTTTGATGCATTGAGCGACATCCTTGATGATATGCCTATTCTCAAAGAAGATGGCACTGCCGGCTTGCTTGCTACCTTCAAGCTTGGGCCACTCATTGACTCTGGAGCTCTGCCCGACCTTACTGCCGAGATTGACAACCTTGTTGTTCCTGGCACTGGTGAGATTGATATGGCTGCTATCACTGCTGCTTTCCGCGACTACTCGTGAGTGTTCATGTTGTCAGTGTATCCGTATCTGTGTTGANNTGACTATAGCTTCGTCGCTTCGTCTTACTTGCTTGAGCCTTGCTGGAAGATCTACAGCAACAACACTGATGATGGTTATGGACTTGGTCGTCAGGTACGTAAGTCAGAATGCAGACTGCTCGCACGAATGCAGATCTCCATGGTCCCACCGATGGTCTAGATACCATTCTGTGGTGCAACAGTCACTGTAGCATACCACCCTCTAAACGTGAAGCATACTGACTGTGATAGNGTCCTGCCCATATGCATTGCTGGACCACTTGTCAAGTGTGCTGAGATGTAAGCCGACTTCGAGTTGATGCCTTTTGACAATACTAACAGTGTTCAGNNCCTTGACATCCCTGCCTTCATGTCGTACGCTGCATCCTATGCGTTGTACAACTACTACCTCGTTGATCCTTCCAAGGGTCATGACGACTACTCGAACCTTCGTCTCATCCGTGCTTTCGAGAAGGGTCTCGATCCAAAGTCCTCTGAAGCAGGTTTCATTCTTACTCATATTCATATGGTTGCTCAGACCGGCAAATTGATTGAAGGCGCCGCCAATGTCGTGCAAGCTGTCTCTGCAGCACGCAACGAGCAGAACGACGAGAATGCCATCGCCGACGCGAAAGTCGGACTGCAGTCTATCCTTCAGGCCATGACCATCATCGAGGCTAACATGGAAAAGATGTGGGCCAACTCTCTACCAAAAGACTACATGACCTACCGCACCTTCATCTACGGCATCACCAACCAATCCATGTTCCCCGACGGCGTAATCTATGAGGGTCAATACGATGATAAGCCCCAATTCTTCCGCGGCGAATCCGGCGCAAACGACAGCATCATCCCTCTTCTGGACCACCTTTGTCAAATCCCCATGCCCGAAAACCCACTCACCAAAATCCTTGTCGAGTTCCGTCAATACAGACCCAAGCCCCACCGTGAATTTCTCACCAACATCCGCGAAAAAGCTGCCGGAGTCCAAGTCCGCGATTTCCTGACCCACTCTGGCGATTTTGGCGTTGTGGTCTTGTATCTGCGTGTTTTGGACCATGTCCGCAGTTTCCGCTGGCGCCATTGGCAGTTTACTCGCGAGTACATCATCAAACGTACTTCGCATCCTGTAGCCACTGGTGGCAGCCCCATCATCACTTGGTTGCCCAATCAGTTGTCGGCGGTTATGCAGTTGATGGAGGATGTATGTAAAGGCTCTGGTCTTTGGGCCGTTCTTGCCGAAGGAGTTTGGAGTGGCGGCGGTGCTGAAGGATCCTTGACCAAGAAGGAGTTTGACTTGATCAAGGATATTATGGATAATGCGGTGGATCAGAAGAGGAAGTTGGCAAAGGAGGTCGCCAAGTATTGTCAAGATAGAGGTGTTGACGCTACAGCGATTTGAGGGTTTCTGGATTTTTTTGCGGGATCATTCTTGCTGGGCAGGGGGAGGTTTTTTTGCTTCGTTGGTTTTTTTTTCCCCCGCTCAACTATGGCTTCTCTATTCGTCTTCTTCAGTTATGAGCATTGTCAATTTAGTCATTGACCTACAACTGCGATGCTATTCGACATGGAGATGAACAGAAGTGGATCTGGAAGACACTTATCGCGAAAACCTTGCTTATGTTTGTACTCAATAACAACAAGCGAAACAACGGATAGAGTGATCGATTATGGGGACATTCCGGAAAGAAGAGCTCGAGCCATAGTCGCAGCTCCTTTCATCATCCCCTCTGGAACTTCACCGACCATGGCGAAATAGTTGTCTGTATCGAAAATGTCCTCGACAATGTGCCAGTCGTGAACTTTGCCATCGTCAATCTCAAAGTCCACTTGCAACCCGTCGGCCTTCACGCGGTCGACAAAGACAACAGCGTCATCCAATAGCGTGTCATTCGAGCCTATACCCACCCAAACTTTTCTCGGTAGGATATCCGCCCAAGACTGCTTGTTTGGCCGTGGTCGGGAAAAGTTGATGATGTGCGACACTGTACTGTCAAGCTCGCGCGGCATAACTTGCTCACCAGCCGTGATGAGCAAATCGCGAACCAGATAATCGGCATCCTTGTTGCGGACAAACGAGCCATCCTTGGAGCAACGCAGGTCAATCCAGGGAGCAACTAGGAATGCACCAGCTTCAGGCTTCGGCAGCGATTTCTCATTTGCCAGTACGCAGAGCAAGTTCAATATCAAATGCGCTCCGGCAGAGTCCCCTAGCATGGCAATCTTCGAGTGATTGACGTTTTGGTCTCTGAGCAGGTAGTGGTATGCCGCTTTTGCTTGGTTGACCTGGGTGGGGTATTGTGCTTCTGGCGTCAAAGAGTAGTCGAGAGCAAACACCGCAACGGATATGCCCTTCTTGTCTGCAACCTCGGCGATACGCAAGAATGGTGCGATAGCGGAAGCTGGATGACCGATTTGATAGGCTCCACCATGGACATAGAAGATCACTAGATCAACCTCAGAAGCCGGAGTAGGCTTTCCAGGGCAACCCTCGCAGATCCAGCGGCCATAGAAGTTGGCTGTAGACACTTCTTGGTAGAGCTCTGATATGGTGTTGGCGAAGCGTCGCGACAACGGGAATTTGGGCTCGGGCTCTTTTGTCAAATTTCTCAGCATACTGATTGGCAGAAAAGTTTGTGCNNTCTGTGCTGTTTGTCAGCGGTCAAGAGTACCTCGATATATAACTTAGACGCACGTCCGAAGGAAAGAGCAGATGAAGTCAGCTGTGAAGCTCAGATTATTGGTACTCCAGACAACTCTTCGCAATAACACTCGAAGACATGTCAAAGGTAGGATAGGTAGAAGGACCACGCATTGTAGCTTGTCCAGAAGAGTCGGTGGCCCGATGCTTGGGTTGGGGTCGAATGTTGACGCCATGCTGGTAATGGTCTCTCACCACTGCTGTTCAGTTGACAATGCTATGGTCAGTGGATATCGAGGGATTGAAGTTTGCTTGGACCAAAACTTCCATAGGCCAACGTAAAGGCTTTTGTACGAGTGAATGTCCAACTCCTCTGACCTGCTGTCAGCTAGACCCCTCTAATTCTAATGCCTCGGCTTAGCTCGACCGTTATAAGCCTCTTCGAAGCCTATATGCGTGCAGCTTACTTCTCGAAATCAGAGGACCAGGGACCTGACAAGATGCGGGGAAGCTGCTTATCATAGTGGAATCCGCTACAAGCACACCGAGATGGAGAAGAGGTGATGACAGACACTCGCGCTCGAAGTTGCTAGTGATGACCGTTATTAAGCTCAGAGCGCCCTACGCGGAGTAGGCGGAAAGAGAAGAGATCCCAGTCCAGTCGTTTTTGTGTCCGGATTATGTAGCAAGCACTACTTTGTTACTGATGAGAATCCTCTTAGATCTAGACCTCTTCTCTTGATGCATGCTTCCGATCCGCAGAAGTTACAAAGATTGGGCAAAGATCATGCGACAAGTCAGAGTAGCGAATTCGGACATATTCTGCGCAACCAACATGAGCCCCGTCGATCCAAAGATACCACCGAAAAAAATGGTGAGGCGGCATGTACAATCCGGGTTGGACCATGTGCGTCCATCGACACGAAGTTCGTAGAACTTAGTAGACTCGCGCAGAAGAAAAGCTTCCTCGGTGTAGACTTAAGCAATAGCCCCCAGAACATAGAGCGTATAATCAATCTTGATGTCTGGGTTCACAGTGATGAAGCTGGCTGTGACACAATACAGAACCGTGATCATAGCAGTAGTCCTGGTGCTCAGATCCCCGCGCGCCGAGTTTGCATAAGGTGCCAAGGTCTGTCTGCGGTACTTTGCACAGAGGGACTGATCGTACGCAGATCAGAGCCACGTCCAGGGAGAGGTGACGGAGTGTAGTGGTCGAACACTGCTGCGGTGGACATGGTTAGATTGTTCTCGCGCTTCGAGAATAATCACTCTAAATGCCAAGACCCGTTAAGAACGCATCGGCAATAACGCGCGGACAAACACTTTCCCGATCGTTGGCGTCAACAACAGCATTTCTCTTCTCGGATTCAATTCTATCTCTTATCGTCCACACCTAATGCCGGATCTGACAGATGACGCCGACAAGGGACCTGGAATCTCACAAGCAGAGCGCGCTGGTGAGAATGCTGGCGAGCCACCCTCAAAGAGACGACGACGCGAGTCGGGAGAGCGGCAGCAACGTGAGATTGGTCTGATGAGACAGAGCGATGGCGCGAATGTACCAAGCTTTGTAGGCAGCTCGAGTGGCATTCACTTTGTTCGATCGGTATACAACGCTTTGGAAAAGTCCCGTGTGCACATACCGCCTCAGACACCAGACCAAAATATCGTACCCGGGGAAGAGGATCAGCTGGATGAAGCAGTACCTTACAGCTCGAAGAACCTCTGGGCACTGGATGAATCAGAGACAGCCAATTCTGGATTTTCTGCCTTCGATTTTGATGATCTACAAATGTGGAGCGAGAGCTACTTCGAGAATTGGCACACTGCTTATCCTTTTGTTCATGCACCTACAATCCTTGAATATCTGGAGCAACATGTTGGACCAGCCACTCTACCAGAGTTGTGTAAGCAGCGAAGCCCAAGCTTCACGATCATACGCTCGATCATGTCAATCTCTCTTGCCGACCGTAGGCAGTCGGGACGCACGTTTGAGAAGCCGCTGCCTGCATCCCTTGTCTTCCTTTCCTTCAGAGAAGCCATGGACAGTGTGCAAGATATGCTGTTCAAGCCATCTTCAATCGATGCGCTGCAAGCAGTGGTCTCGGTACAGCTTTTTCTGGTGTCCATGCTACGTCTCAATGGAGCATCGAGACTTGGTGGTATGATTGTGCGGATGGCATTTCAGCTAGGATTGCACAGGTGTCCCGCGAGATATGCAGGCTTCGATCGCGAACAAGCTGAACTCCGCCGTCGGCTGTTCTGGACAATATACTGTATCGATCGCTATCTCAGTCAGTCCTTGGGTCTGCCTCTGACTATTCGTGATGATGACGTGGATGTCTGTCACTTCGACGATGAGAGACATCCATCTGATGGTCGTCGGCAAGCAGCTATGGATGACCGGCTCAGAACGCTAAGCTTTCTCACCAAACATGCTTCGATCAAAGGACAGATCGTGGAGCTCCGCAACAAGTCCATTCATCAACGGACCGGCAACCGGGATCTTGCTACACTAATCGGATCTCGTATCGGCAAGTGGGCCAACGATCTCCAGTATATCCTAGATGCCGCTGACCATGATGAACCTGGTCGATTCAGCACGTTGCAGGAGGTGGTCCTCCTAGTTTCACAACATGAACTCGTCATATCTCTCAATCGACCTCTACTGGCGCTCGAGAAGCACACACCAGAGTATATGGCGGCTCTGCAGACTTGTATCCGTGCCTCTGATACTATAATCACCACTCTTCATAAGTATGTCTTTTTCCGACTCGTTCAGAGGGGTGAAGGACCATCTACAGCACCTTTGTTATGGCCCTCACTGACTTGGTGTGTGTGGATGAGTGCATTCATCGTGCTTCACGCAGCGATCGAGGGAGAGATGCCAAGACACATTGCGAGAAACCTTGCAGATAATAGCGTGGAGATTCTCAGGCATCTCGCTCTACGAGGAAGTGTTTGGCCAAATGTCAGTGCGTTTGCTATCGATGACCTGTTTCTGAGACTGCTTCTCGACTCTACTGCTACAACGCCACAGTCACCGCCACTCGAAGCCAATCATGTCGAGCCGCGCAACGACACCAGTTCTCAGAAGACTGGTGGACCAAGTACGCGTCGTCCTCTCCGTGACAATCCGCGCCTGTTCAACCGCTTCAACACAGCGAGTCAACAGAACAACCATCCCAATAACGCCGCGGATTTGGAAGGACAATCTTTCTCATCATCTGAACCACAGCTGTATATTCCTTGGCTACCTGAGGCCGATGCAGCTGCAGCCACTAGTGACAATATCTTCGAGCAGTTCGACATTCCTTTCTGGATAGGCGATGATCAATACTCTTCAGTCTTGAACTTCGATCTCTAGCCATTGCAGGATGCGAAGAAGATTCATACTGAATGGCCACAGGCATGGAAAAAGCCAATTTTGTTGGAATTGCACACTTCAGAAGTATGTCCTTGGATGCAACGTGCTGAGTCTTTTGGCTTTGCTTGTGGATTGCTCTGTTTGAATTGCCTGACTCTCCTCCAAAGCACCTAGGTTGCTCGCGCGAGAAGTGTCTTGCCAGCTTTGCAATGCTGAACAAGGCGTCTTTGTGTCCAACGGTCGCTGATGTGATGCGGCAGTTGCGAGATGAACTTGCAGAGGATCATGGTTGAACGTATTTGCTGCCCCGGCACCTGCTCCCTCTAAGGCTCGATATCTAGCGGGTAGCATTGACGGCGACGTTGTTGAGCCTGATGTTTGGTCTGCTCGAGTTTCCGGAGTGTTCCGTGCTGCATATGCAGTCTTCTGGCGCTTCCTCTCTGGCTCTGTTCGGAGGTGTTCCTGCTTATGTCGCACACCGTTGGAGAGATCAGCATCAATTGATACTGCATGAGTTGCGATTTTGTATCGCATCCAATCTTGTTGGTGGTCCGATGTGTCCAAGGGATATCTTTGCCATTCTTCGACTTTTGCTTTCCGAACCTCGTTGAACTCCAGGTCCCGAGACCTTTCGGTCATGGTAGCGGATGCTTCGCAATTAGCTCCCGAAGAGTGGATGGTGGTAAGAGCCTGTAGTAATGCAGCCTCCGTTTGAGCCAGTCGGTCTTCAATACTCGCAATGTACCCCGATGGAAGGCCTCNTAATGATAAATCATCAGCTCTGTCTTGAGAGAGGATAAAGTAAAGATCAAAAGCATACCTCTTGCTAGTGCCTGGATATGTACACGTCTGGCTGGCGTGAACACATTGAGAGCAGGTCGGACTATGACAGATCAGTCTTTCATTCTAAACGAAGATCGAAGCGATTGTGTATTTACATCCTACGGTCACACTAAAACAGACTGCATAAGAACAATTGATTAGAAGAATAAAATCGCGACACCCACCTACCTTGCGCTTCTTGGTGCGACAAATCTCGCATGCGATTTGCGAGAAAGTGGTCATGAGCCTGTCAGATCTATCGAAATTCGAGCTTGAGATATATTTGAGGCGAGAGGTCCGCCCGTTGGCTGGAAAATTGAGGATGTTGCATTTTGAGTAGCGGAGGTGTTGGTGGGGTTTTGTTTCTCCGATCCCGACGTGCACCTCCCTGTGTCGTCTTTGCGATACCTCTCAGACGCCTTCAGATCGCGACAGTGCACAAGACTTAGATCCACCCCGAGTATAATCATACAAAATCGATGTTCCCTGTGCACTATTGGAGCAAGTGATGTCTCGATGGCACACTCGATGGCCTTGAGAGGCGGCGCACGACAGCTTTGTTACTGCAAGAGGCTTGCTTATCCTTTGACGCAACGTTACTCATACAGCGCACGACAACCCATCTCTCTGCAAACTTTGAATGATTGCATCCTTGGACGGAGCTCCACAGTATACAGGTGCTGCTGATGTCACAAGTGACCTGGTCACTCATATAAGGAAACATCGACCACCTGGCCAATTGTTTTGACCACTTTTGTCCACGAAAATGGCCAGTTGCTCCGGTCTGTCAGCGACCGGAGCCATCTCCTCGCAAAACTTCGCAGAGCCTCATGACGAGTTTTATCAAGCCATCAAAAAATGCCGTCCTCTACTCCATCGTTTGGCGAGATCGAATACTGGAATAATCGCTTTACCAAAGAAGACCAATTCGACTGGCTGGCCGATTTTGCACTTCTGGAACCTTGGTTGAAGAAAGCTATTGCTGAAACATCTGGGCATGGTGAAGTTTTGCACATCGGGTGTGGATCTTCTGCGCTATCGACACAGCTACGGGGACTGGTGGACTCACCACAGCAGATCCATAATGTGGACTACTCGCCCGTGGTGATAGAACGCAATCGACAGCGCGAAAGTGAGATGCTACGATCCCTAGCGTCTGGGATCGAGCCCTGTCGTTGGTCGACACTAGACCTATTGTCTGCATCGAAAATCCTGGACCTTGGAAAATCTGGAGACAAGTATGATGTTATCATCGACAAATCCACTTCGGACGCCATCTCCTGCGCTGAGGACGTCGCAGTCGAATTACCATATCGCATAAACACCATCAACAAGGACCCATCTCCAGCTCAGAAGTGGGAAAGATTATACCCTCTACATATACTAGCTATCCATCTAGCCTATCTAGCGAGACCTGGTTGCCGATGGGTCGTACTTAGCTACTCTGATTCTCGCTTTTCGTCCTGGGAGGATGCAACACCATCTGGTCTTCCAGCATCGAATCTGCTATGGGAGATGAAAAAACACGAGAAGATTGAGCAGCCGCCTGATCCTGAGGATATGGTACATAGGCCGCCGACTTTGCATCACCTGTATATCCTCCAACGTACAGATGTGGTACTGGATCAAGATACTTGACCAGCCTTACACCACGAAGAATCGGGCCCTTCTGACTCAAGTGGGCTCAATGCATTTGCTCGAAACGATTTTGGTGCTTCGAGGGCTGGGACCTTTTGAATCCGCGACACCCGGCGGTATCTGGTCTTGCGCAGGCGCTTGTAGCCAAGATCCGTCGACCGCGATAGACCAGAATGTTCTCTGAGCGTGCAAGTCCTTGACAGGTGCATCAAAGATCTTCTCACGAGATACTTCGTGTCTAGGTCGTGTGGCTTGAGCTGTCAGAGACTCAGAGTAGTCTGGAAGAACATTCGTATGGCTCGTGTATATCAAGCAGCTGCGAATCAGAACCCTCGGAGTCATGTCCGAAGTCTACCTGGAGTCAAGCGATATGTGGTGATGAGATGGCAGGAAGAAAATCTTGGCCCGGGTCGATGCCCATGTTCCTTGTCTATCGAGACTGTCGGTCTCACCTATGCAGGAAAGTGATGATGTACGTGCCATCAAGCTGCACACCGGAGATCAAAGATGGCTGGACACCGGTCGTGGTTCGCCAAGAAAGCCTTGGTGCCTATCAAGCCCAACATCCTCCTCACGTAGGTCTGTGAGTTGTCTGTGAGTTTGGTTCACCGGCGTTGCGGGCGCAACCCTTGATCAAGCACAGCATACATGACTTCGAGATCCTGTCATGGTTTCAGATAGGAGCCATCCATATGACTTTACGGCCGAATGACACCATGCACGTCCAACAATGTCAACTGCCAAGGACGAAGGATTCACTAGCTTGCCGGATCATCGTTGTATGGAAGAAGGATTACCACCATGCATTTCCAACAACGTCATGCCTTCTGCCGGAAGACCTGACAAAAGCGAGCCATGTACCCATGATTCCGTACAACCTGTATCCGCAAGACCAACAGTTCAATCATGCTTTCACTCACATCCACCGCACTGCTCATTGCGCTATCCAGCACCTCAGTCTTGNGCGACATCTTGTTCATCTTTCACACCCTCCCGAGAGCCTTATACCCAGCCTGCTATTAGGACCTTCATCGTCAGCAAAGGCGTGACCTGCGATTCCACTACTGGTGATTGCCGCGTGCCCATCGGTGGTTACGTGACCGACACCCGCTCCTTAAACATCACAATCTCCTCCCCAGACTCCATCTACGACCGCATTGGCGAGACGGTCAACTTCAAGTTCAACGACACCATCACAGCATGGGTTGGTGGTGCATCTAGCCCAGGCTCACCGCAAACATGGGCCATCACCAACGGCACTTCTGGATATGTGGGCTTTACTCCCAACCACCGATGCGCGGCTGGCACACTGACGGGCTGCGATGATGCTGCTGTCGAAGGCATCGAGGTCGAGGCGTGTTCGCCTTACTCTACAGCCGATGGTTTGTCTGGCACGTTTGCCGCCATCGTATTGGATCGAAGCAGTGTAGAGGCGTTCACGTGCAATCCGGCCAACACCACTGCTGCGAAGGATGGAAACAACTCAAACAGTTGCTCTGCTGCTGATTCGCAGCCTGATACGGGAGATGCAACTCGATTGGGAAGTGTGTCGATGATGCTGCTTGTTAGTGCTTTGGGTGTTGCCGTTCTTGGGTTCGAAAGTCTTTGAGAAGACTGGATGAGCCTGTGGTTGAAGATCCATCTTGCCGTCGTCCACTAAAGAGTAGATCTGCGGCTGCTTATTCTGTTCTAGCCAGCGACATAATAGTTGTACAATACACGATAAGTCAGCCGCCAATAGATCAAGATTCGAAGTGCTTTTGCAGTGTACTATGATCATGTCGCGAGCTAAGGAACATTCCATAATTCCTGTGCCGTGCATAGGTATTGCATGGTCCCATGTTTGTTGAGCCATTGGCAAAACCTCGGAGTCTTATCTGCCAATCGGAAGCGCGCAACGATTCCAGGTATCCCGCTCATGGGACTCATGCTACTGGGCAGATGCACCTTCTCCTCATGCGCGCTGTAGCGACGCCAGCCACGATTAACAAGGTAGTCGCGAACAGCGGCCCAGACCCCAATGACTATTTTCTGGTTCTGGTCGTGAAAGGGCGGCTTCGAAATCTGGTCACACAAACTTGGGGCAGCTGAAGAAAACACACAAAAGTCAGATCTCTGCGGTGGACTCTCACTACAACTACTTCTTCGGTGGCGCTACTTGGTGCTTACTTACCCAAGCTATGGCCATGATAGACGCTCCCCAATGCTTGAGAGACACAACCATTTACCATAAACAGCTGTACTTGAGAGGAAGCTCCAAGGTCTTTGTGGCATGTATAAATACTTCTCATCCCACTATACTCACCATGATACCAAATCGTTCTTGTCTTACCACATTGTTGCAGCATCAGTATGGATGCGATACCCTACATCGATGTCACACCTCCTTACTTTGCTTTACACGACATATCCACCTTATCACCCTCACCAGGCAACACATTCGAAGGCATCATCTGCACATTTACCCGCGAACAACCCTCCGGCCTCCAAATTACTCACTTCGACGCTGCAGAAATTGGCAGACATCTCGCTATCCTCGGCTCTTTGGTGGCTGCACGCGCAAACCCAATCAAACAAAAACACTACTATCTCGCATTATATGCTCGACTGCATATCAATGAGATTCGTACTGCGCAGCCTACTTTGAAGGGGAAAGGTTTCATTGCCGAGCCAGTGAAGTGGGCGAAGAGGCAGGTTACGGTTGACATGGAAGCTGTCACACTGAGTGGGGAACAATTTGCCACACTGGAGGTTCGATATGCGATCCTGACGCAAGAGACATTGCTGCGAGTCACTAGACCTCCGGACCCGACACGTATTTCGGGAAGTTCTTGGGATCGCTCCCAGCCATCGCCATACGCGCAGCCTATAATGCTGCGTCAAATACGCAGATCCAAAGATGGGGCTTCGGCGACACTGTCGCTGTACAATGTCTCCCGTATGGCTGGCCATTTTGACCCACATCCTACAGCTCCAATCGCTATCCTCGCTAGTAACGCACTTGCTCTGCTTGGCATGTTTCTTGATGGTCCCTTCCTGTGCGAGGATCTCGAGGTTGTGTGCAAGCGACTAGCAGTTGCGGGAGAGGTGCTTGAGATTGAACTACGATGCGTGATTGAAGGAGAATCCGGTGAAGTTTTGGGCGCGACTCACGTTGTTGAGCTGATTGATGAGCAGAAGAAGAATGTGGGAACTATCTTTGGTCGCATCAAGTGTTACACTGTTGAGAAGTCGCATCTGTAAGCTTGAAGCACTTTTGATGTAGAACCCAAGAATGTTAGCGCATGATCTGATCTATACACTTCGACCCGTGAGAGATATTCCTCTTATGGCGACATGCAATGCAACATGAGAGCAGCAGCCATCGAGACTTGGCGCATCGTTCTGATGCAGACCCTCTGGCATGAGCATGATATGCACATCATTATTCAGGTAATCAATAGAAATGCCGCTTGGTTTGGGTCAAACTGAGCGGAGAAACCCGCTTTCTCGATCATGTCGGATATAAGAATAGTATCAAATCATCTCGATTCGAAAGCTTGCCGTCTCTGGACACCTACTCGGCTCTTCTATTTGTCTCTTTAAGTGCGACCTTTTAACATCATCAATCTGAGTGAAAAGTGAAGTGGTGTCTGGCATATAAACACGAGAATGGTTGCCGATAAGATAGATATCGGACCTTCTCTATAGATTGACAGAATATATGCAACATCAAGCTAAGCTCAGGCAGCTAGGAAAATGTGCCAGATGTAAGAAGCTAACAAAAGAGATCAGGTTGTCGGAGACTAGTCAGAAGCGAAGAACGAGAGAAGAGACAAGCAAAAAGAGAAGAGAAGAGAAGGAAAAAGAAGGGAAGAGAAGAGAAGGGAAGAGAAGAGAAGAGAAGCGAAGACAAGATGGAAGCAACAGAAGCAGACATTCAGTTTGCAAGCCACAGAAGAAAAGAAACAAGAGGATAGCTATGGTAAGCGCGGAACACCCGTATCGATCGTCTTGACCGTCCTAGCCTACGTCCAGGAACACAGCACCAATGACGTCTCAACGATGAGCGAGCAGCCACCAGTCTCCTTGGTGTTCTTAACACAAGACGCATCACCAAGAATCGGACATTTCAGCGATCCCACGACATCCCCCTCCTTCGCCCCATACTCATCCTGCGTTTCGGCATAAGAGCAAGTATCACCGTAAATGCGGATGGTGGCAATACTCGCAGGCATCTTTGGACTTTTTGCTGAGCCGACGAAGGCTTCATTTTGGCTCACTTCATTGATACCTGAGGAGTGGCAGACCTTCCAGCCTGCTCCTTGGGGTCGCTCATAACCAGCGAGACCAGTGTTCGTTTTTATGATTTGGTGATTGGGACCGTATTGGAGTGAGGTGTAGAAAAAGACTTCGAACTGTCCGGCATAGGTCTCGCCGCCGGAGGTGTAGGTAGGTGGTGTGCTTGTAGGCTTGGGGGTGGGTTTGATGTTGGCGACGGATTTGGGGCCTTGGTGGAGGGTTTTGGTGTTGGCGATGACTCTGGCGTTTTGGTTGAGGTCTTTGATTGTGCTACAGAACCTGTGCTGACATAGTCAGAATCAGCATATGGCGCAGGTTGATATCCGGAGCCACAGCCAGCGTCCCCGTTTGCACAAGGATCATAGTCATCGTTGGGACAGCTGAAGTGTTTGTAGACTGATCCATCTGTGAAAGAACCACCGGCAGACAAGCCGAGACGACCAATTCCAGCTTGACGGCCTCGAATGAGAGGTCTTGTGCTTTGGAAGTTCGTGACTGGAGGCTCTTCGGCGAAGAACCTTCTGACCAACGTTCTGTACATGTCTCTCACTGTACTCCATACGTGAGATACTCTACTTGTTGGGGCATTTGTCTGTACTTGCTTGTCCGATACTGTCTGGACGGACGATGCTTCATATCCTATGGCCTCAAGCGGCAGAGGGACGAGAGTTTCGTTTCCGAGGTCTCGTTTCACAGGGTTTCCGCCAGGCACATCGGAACATCTCAGGTTGATGCCATCGTCACCAAGGTCGCTCCTAGGAGTGCCGTATCCGAATGGTATGCCATAGATGTCGTTACTTACCCAAGCGCCTGAGTTCGGATTGTAGATCTTGAGTCCAGGCGAAGGGTGTTCACAGTATTGGGGTGGAAGGTTCATCAACTGATCGTTCTGACCAGGAACACGTTTCACAACTCTCGAAGTCAAGCGGCTGTTGAACCATGGATCCCATAGTTGTCCATTCGCGTTTCTACGCGGCAGGTCGCTGTTATAGGCTTGGTTGGCAAGGGTAAAACCGACACCTAGTTAACTCATCAGCGGATTGGACATTCTCGCGGGCAGGCTAGATACCGTATGGTTGAGCGCATAGATTATGGTTTGGTGAGTCAAGTAGATAACCCGCATCGTCGTTAGTCGTGGGGGTGTTAACAAAGTCGACACCTATCAAATATCAGCTCTGCCTACAATTTGAATGACGAAAGCTCGCTTGCGTACAGTATTTCAGACCGTCTGCGAGTCGGAAGTAGTTATACGCTGCGTTACCTGGCGTGTTGGTGAGGCCGAGCGCGTTGTAAACAGCTTGACCAGCAGTCCTATAAAAGCTTGAGAGATCATTTCCAGCAGCACCGTTTTCCACATGATATATCAATCTGTTGACTGATCGTGTACCCATAGGATTGGTCCTTGACTTGCTCTTGGTTGGGTGACCGCTTCCGAAAGGATATTCCTCGATCTGACATCCGACCAGACCCCAGCCAGGCTGCGCGCCCCTAAGGCCGTTCTGAATCTCCTGAGCGGCCTGGAAACTCACTGAGCCTTGCCATCCGAACTTTCCATACTGCCAAATTTCGGTATCATGGAAGTCGGCGCCAGCGCCGTAGGTGAGGACATCTGTTCTGCCTCTCGCAGTGATAGCAGATCGGGCGTTCGCACAGACGTTGGGAAAACCGTTGTTTGGATCTCCATTGCACGTGTAGGTCGTGTGACAACGGCCATTGGCCGGAGGATTGGCCTTGAAGTAAGGCACAGCAGGGTAGGGAGGACATGGTTTCTGGACTGGAGCTCGACCGAATAGTCCAGATAATCCAGAACGTTTTGAAAGCTCCTGCCAAGTGTCGTCACTCGAGCAGCAGGTCTTGGCTGCATCGATGAGATCTTGAGCTGCTTCCGGATCATCGTCAACCATTCTTTGGCAAGAGGAGATTGCATCGTCTCCACCAAACAAATCGAAAGTCTTTGAGTCGAAATCGCAACTGACAGTTCCCGTACCAACATCGTAAAAGGGAAGTTACCGTTCGCGCAGACTCCTGTTGATGAGCTCAGTGAAGCATCACATTGGTCTTCTTCTTCCTCGCAATCCTCATCTCCTTCCTCGCACTCATCAGGATCGTCTTCGGGATCCTCAGGATCACCTGGCGGGAGCGGAGGGTCAGGATCATTGCTGTCAGGGAAGTCTGTGTTCTGATGACCATGACAATTGATAAGACATGGGCCACCGCNAAAGACTTTGCACCGTGTGCCACACCCAAACAGGCTTTTGCATCTTGGAGAGGGCTTTCCGGTATGGATACTGACGATGATTGGNNTACTATGGGAGTGGTTGATGATTCCGTTGTCTTAGTCGGCGTCGTTCTGGGAGTAGGAGTACTGAAAGAGTAAGGGTATGGTGGTGGNAGTGATGGTTCGCGTATTGACAGGATGGGAAACTCCAGTTTTGTTTTGCGGATTCGGATCATCTGTGATGACGAACGGTGTAGGCTGTATGCTTTGAGTGATGTAGACCACCGTCACGTTAGGGTCCTTAGCAGTCGGGTTGGGGAATGGAACTTCCCAGAATGGGATGGCTGTAGTGGTAACAGCAGGTATACTGAGGGTTGTTCTTTGAATGGTTCGTGTGACAGTCTTCGTCGTCGTTGTTTTGCCATCTGATCCCTTGAAAGTCAGTGTGGTGGCCCATGCGACATCCAATGAGGTTGTGAATGGTGGGAACGAAATTGTCGTCGTGGTAGAGAGCTGATAAGGAGGAAGGATAAAAGTGCAAGGTGGTTCGCACTGAATGGTAGGGGTGTCTTCGCCCCAAACACTAGGGTCGATATACACATAGGTGTCATTGCCGTCTTGCGTGACTCCGTCGCCGTTGCCGGGGATGAAGCCGCCAATGTTTGCACCAGTATCACCCAATGGTGTCCAGACGGATACTTCAGTAGTGTACTGTTCCTGAGTGTTGTTCGAAAGTACAGGAGGAATTCCACCTAGGGGACTTGCAACCTCTACAGCACCTTTTGTGAACAGGTTCATGATCCAGACTCCCTCCGAGAAGCTGGTTTCTACCAAACGCTGTTGACAAGACTCGGTTTTCAAACATCCCTGCTTGAAGTTGTCAAAGAAACTGTACAGGCCAGCACCATAGATGAAAACATCAGTAGAATTGATGATTCTCAAAGCATAGGCCTCCTCGCAGTTCTCTCGTGGGCCGTCACACATTGGGTATGTGGGATCTTCCATGAAACGACCAATGGTGAAAGGCTTACTGGCCTGAGGCTTCGGTTGGAAGTATGGCGTTTCGGTCTGAATACAGCCAAGATATATATCACGTGCTCCAACAAGTTGATACTGGTAGAGCACGTTGTGTTCCACTGATGTGCCATAGAGCCAAGTTGGTCCTTGTGACTCAATCAAAAAGCCGCGTCCAGCATAGACATCTAGCTGAGTCGATGTTGTTGTGTTTCCTTCCACAGGCAGGTCCAGATCGTGATCCGCGGTCCAACCCCAGACATTTTCGAAGTAACCAGAGGACTGTTTGGTTATATGCATCAACATCGAGGCTGCGATACATTTGGAATTCGGGCTAGAAGCACCCTTAGGACAATCGCTGAAACGAAGATCCGACCCTTGGGCGCCACCAACACGGAAGTGACAATCCCACATACCAGCTGTCACAAGTTAGTGCCGCACCTATGTTTCACATACAATTCACTTACCAGAGCCTTGTTTAGAGGCTTTGACGTTCCACTCAACCAGGATTGCTCCAGCTGTGGCGCCTTGGACAGTAAAAAGCATATCAGAAAGCTCAACGCTACCCGAGTCTCCAGACTTGCCCACACGAACCATGACTTGGGGTTTTGACTCATCCTCAAAGTATGAACCAGTCGCCATGATCTGCGACCAAGCCGAACCAACAATCTTGGAGCCGACAGGAACATTTACAGTGCCTTTGACCGTGTAAACGCCTGCAGGGAAAAAGACAACAGAGCCGACTGAACTCGCAAGAACAGAGTTGATGGCAGATGTCTGATCACCCGTCGCGTCGTTGGAAACACCATGGTTCAGCACGTTGACGACATCGCCGGATCCTAAGGATCCGTACTGAGGTCTCGAAACAGAGAACAGCTTGTTAACGGAATTCAATGATGCGGGACGCTTAGGAACCGGGTTGATGTATCCGTGGGTATTCTCGCCTGTGCCGTCAATATTCTGGTAACGATGTCCCATTGCCCAACCATTTACTGTCAACGAATCGCCCTGTTTGACTTCCAAGAGTGAATCGGCGTGGCCTGAGTAGAACACAATCTGATGAGAGTTTGGACCATCAACGAGCAAATTGTCGAGGTATAATGCCGGGTATGGCCCGCCAGCAGTCAGCGGAATCGCGTACGGAACACTGTTGAAATGAGAGTCGATGATAGACATTGAGCCAGTCCCCTGGCCATCGATTCCGCCAAAGTTGGAGCAGTCCAGGGCTTGGTAGCAGTTGTTGACGGTGATGCCTTGCCAGGTAAATCCCCAGTTCCAGATGGAGGAGACCGCGGTGAGACAGCTGTTGAAAACAAGGTTGCGTGCGGTCATCTGTTGGGATCCAGCACGGTACCCGATGTTTCCATAATTGAAGGTGAGATCGCTGACGAAGCCACCGGACCCATTCTCCTGGAAAATACCAACAGCCTTTGTACCTTCATTACCAGAATTCACGACTTGTCCGGAGACGGGCATGTTGAAGACGATGTTTTGAAGCGAAGTCGCTTGAGCCACCTGCCAGTGAATGCCGCATGGAACATAAGTCTGGTCTCCTTGAGTGATATTGTTTGGCATTTGAGTCAGATCGATGATGAAGTTGCGAATCTGTCGATAAAACTGGTTCTGATTAATGTACCATTCATTTCCGTTACCCTTGGGAATGTAAACGTCCGTATCAATTAAAGCAATCCCTGAGAAGTTGGAAGAGCCCTTGATCGTTGGAGGGTCTTGAGGATGACCAACGAACTGGGTGTAGTAATANNTCTCGTCTCGAGTCAGTAAGAGCAGCCAAAGTTTGCGGTGTACGACTAACTGGATGATGGGTGTGGTCACCATGTACGTGCCAGGGGGGAAATAGACCAAGGCTCCCAAAGCACTGGTAGAACCACATTCCTCGCCACAGCGGTCGCCGTCGCTAATAGCTCGGTTGATGGCAGCAGTATCATCAGTGATGCCATCACCGACCGCTCCGTATTCTGTCACGTCGCGGAAGAACTTATAGCCCGAAGGTGCGAATGGCATCTGNNGAAGAGTCAGTATACTGTGCTGTATCGTTTGGACTGGGATCCAAACCTGTCCCTGATCACCAAGTTCTGCCAACCAGTATCCGGAAGCACGGCGACGCAATATGCTATCCAGGGTATGATCCAGTGTATCTGTGTGGTTGCTAATCGTGCTGTTCAAATCATTGAAGACGGAGGTCACAGGTCCGTTCAAGACACCTTTATCTGGTGCAGCACCAAAAGTGTTTCCCTCGTTGTTCACCATGTAGGCTGGTGGCTTCGATGGCAGGCCAGGGGGCATGCCTGGAAGCTCCTTCAGCTGACCCCATACAGAGGGCAGCCACGGGAGGACGAGATAAAAGCCTCTCATGACGACGAATCAATTGGGATGACAGGGCCGCTGGCAGCGATCGCCCTTCCTGGAATATATACCAGAGAAGATTGCTGTATCGCTCTCATACCAGAATACTCCGCAAAGGCATTCAGTAGTTTTTTCTTGCGAGATTACATGATCCTGTCATAGCCGCCGGTAGAATGAAGCATGCAATGGTAATATCGTTAGGTATGGTAAGTGGTATTATTAGCAATGCTCTGAAACACGGATCACTCATCGTGTAGCGACCACAATCTCATCATAGCAGTGCCACATGGCCTGTGATTCTCCAACATACATGTGACCATGTGAAGGATCCCGCTACAATATATCGAACAGTGCCTAAGACTAAGGGCTTGCTGTGATAGCAGCTCTGTCCTGATCGTGGCATGCATGCATGCGTGTGGCGCCACCAGGACCAGGCTCATGAGGCAGCACGATTGCCGAGAAGCTCACCAGTAGCGATTATGTCTGATCGTGATGTTGAAATTTGATAGATGGTGACTTGTGTCGATGGTGTACCTCGGTCGGCGACGAGCTTCGCTCCTTCCTACTTGGGTTGGCGTAGCGTCAGTGATTCGCTTCTCACGCTTTAGCATATACAGCAACGAATCCTTCGAACAAGCGCAGGAGTCTGCGGTATATAGCGCCAAGCCAAGGGCTTTGGACACGTTAGTGGTGTTGGGAGTCTGTAGGATCGCGAGTCGCGACTTTCAGATTGATATCGAGGCACGTGCATTTAGTCGGTTCCGAGGACGGACCGGGTCAGTCGGGACAGCGGGAAGCGAATCTCTTGGCGGACAATTCTCCTTGTTGGCATGGTCAATGCGTGGTGCTAATATACACAACTGCCCAACTCCAAAACTCATCAAGCTAAACCAAGCCCCCATCTCCACACGAACGACATGACTGATTAGGTGGGGATTTATCATGTCACAATCGCTTGATTGATCGTAATGCGTGCGCTTAGCACCCTGGCACTCTGAATCCGACAATGGAGATCCGGCCAGAACGTCTCGGGTGTCGCTCTCTTGAGCATCGATCATCGACCATCTCGGACGATCAAAGAAGATTCACAAGTTTACAGCTGGAGCTGCATCTGGCTTACTCAACCAGCGTATCTTCGCGTGGCCGCGTAGAAGATCTACTTGCCCTAGTCACTCCGCCCAAATTCGACCTTCGTCTCAGAAAACTTGGGAGCATTGGCCATCCTATAGAGTTCGCAGATTATGGAAACAAAGGACAGGATTCACACTGGACAACGTTTGACGCAAAATCCTGACATTCATCTGACTATGATATCTGCATTCCAACTGGATGTCTGACCTGCTTGAGCAAGTTTGTGGACAGTGCACCCAGTTCATGTATTCTAGCAAAGAACTGGACAAGTTCTAGCAGCAGTAACCGGGGAGTTGAGTAACGCTGTTGGCGAGGAATCCCCATGGAGGCTGGCAACCTCCTTGGTCCTTGTTGAACTGATAAGCCTTGCCNNTGGAAACAGTCAGCTCACAACAAGTTCGTCTGGGAACATCAATTAGTCTACCATCTTTGCATTGACAAACAGCGTAGCTGATACAGCATCTAGGTGCTTGNNGCTGTCGAGGTGTCAGTCGGGGCAAAGGCCACTTTTGGGACTCGAGATTGGCTCACAATGGATAACAACCACTGTCGCCACGAGCGTCGAGTTCAGGTGCAACTTCAACAGAAACATCGACCTCGGGGATGACACTAGCGAGGACCAGAGGCAAGAGGCCAGCGAAGATTATAGAAAGTCTCATCTTGATTGATTGTCAGGGAAGGATGTTGACGGGCGATAGCTGGCGGATGATGGATGATCAAGAACGATGACGGCCCAACGTGGTTTTATAACTCTTGCTACCTTGGACTTGACCGCTCTTACCAACTCAGGCAGGTGCAAGTCGGAGAATAGAGACTTGAACTATCACAGCCAAGAGAGTTTGAGAGTCTTCGGCAGTGTAGCCATGATAGCCGGCAGTATGCACACACGATGCCACATGTACAGCCATCAATCAGTTTTGACGAATCGTTAAACGGTCGACCCCACAGTTTACGCGAAGGATCCTGACTTATTGCTGTTATATTGTCTCTGGTTAATATACTTCGTATAACCACAAGCCCTCGTGGCTGGATTATGCCAAGATGCTTGAACAAGCTTAGTCATTCGCTAAGTTATATAAGCTCCTGCCAAATTCGCAAGTTGGTCGCCGAACTCATTTATCTTTTGATCCATTCTGCAGACATCCGCTATGTCTCTTGAGCCCATCAATGCCGATCTGCGCGAATCCTTCGAGCTTCACCGGTCTCGCGTTCTGCAGCTAAGACGAAATTGCCTCGCGAGATTATTCGAAATCCTCGAGATATCAACCGACACTACTGATCCAGAGGAGCTGGATATCATTCGCGCCGAGGAATGGCCCAACAACACCGTTGATCGCTTGACCGCACCCATTGCAAGCAGCGCGGACCTTTATGCCCAGGTCACGGATGGCACGAAACCGCCTCTACCAGAAGAGGAACGCCTGCAGATGTTCACCGAAATTGAATCAATCCTTCGAGACCGTGCTACTACAGATACTGATCCTGTGACTCTTCCTGAAGACTTCAAACAACTCTGTGCGCTCACGGACTCGCTACAAGGACCCGCTTTGCCAATCACCAATTCTCAGATTCCTCGTGCATTCAATGGCTTGCGAACACCCTTGGCGTCGCTCAAACATCCTTTTCTCTCGCCTGAACAGTCCAAGGATTCGACCGGTCTGTGGACTTTGGATTACGAGACTTCTGTGGTCTTGGACATGGGCGATGTGTCAGGTGGTGTTGGTGGTGGTTCCTGGCTGTGTTGGTGCAAGGAAAATGGCACGGATGCTTGGACTTGGAGATGGGCCACACGTGTTGGTAATGTACAACCACCTGTCGTGTATGAGGATGTCAAAGACTTGTTAGACAACTACTGCAAGCGATACGTGGACGCTGTTGCCTCGTCCTACGACGGTGATATCGGTCAGAACGAACTGTTGTAAGGACTCGATTAATCTCCTCCAGCGTAAAGAAAGTCTCTTTTGCATTCACGAAGGCCGGGTGATGATAGCTAGACCAGTAGTCAGTCATCAGCCTAATATTGATGCTATCGAGTTTCAAAAGCCAAAAGAGATTTGCAAAGCCTCCATCTATGGAGAATTGCAATATTGATTACGCGAGCCTGTGACCTTGAAATTCGCAATCCTACTCACTCAACGATAGGAGAGGCCCTCCAAGCTCCGAGATGAGACCCCGATTAATTCCAATGTTCCTTTTGGTAAGCTGTCCGGCTCAGCTTTCTGAGGTCCATATCGGCCTTGGGTTTGGCCTCCATCCTTCGTTCTCCCTTTCAGCATGCTTGCGATGATGTTTCAAGGACGGATCACGCCCCTCATCTTATCGTGAATCGCCATGTCGTCGTTATTACACAGCATCCAGCCTCAACCTGATCATGATCATCTCCACACCACACTCACAAACTTTCTGTCTCGCGGACAAATCATAATCGAGGACATACCGACGCTATCTCTTCTCTTGAAGTCCAGATGTTCGAATCAAGCACTACAGTTGCTGATATGGGCTGCTCGCACAGGTTCATCATCAGCACTCTGTTGTGTTCTTCTGCACAATCTGAGCGGATCTCAGGCGCAAAAACGCATTCTTGGCTTCTTGATCTTTGCTACTGTGGGCTTGTATCACTTCTTTAAGGATCAGGATCTGTCAGCCATAATATATGCAGTAGAAATGGGTCGTTGCTTGACTATTCTACTTCTGATATGGCTCATGCATCGAAGCAAACATTTCCAGCACAGCTTCTCCGAGTCCCTTTGCTTTGACATGATCCTCATCGTCTCTTTCCAACTGGGATGTCGAGACGCAAATTGGATCATTGTCAGTCTTCTCCGTTATACAGACATGATACTTGATGTATGGTATCAGCTAGCTAACAAGCGCAAGGGTTTAGTAAGTACATGCAATTGCATATTCTGAAGGGGTTCTTCTAGCTAATCTTATCAGCCTATAATTCTCATTACAAATCTGTTTCGACTTATCTTTCGTTGCTTTGGGTGCTTGAGCCTGGTCTTTCTGATCGGTTACTCTACTTATCCCAATTCAGAGCTTGCTGCTGGTGGTAATTGGAATCTGCGCTTCTTAACGGCAAACACGCGACGTTTTCTTCGCGGTCACGAGTCGACATTTATTGTCACCAATGATACATTTCCAAGGTATGTCCCATATCATTGTAGGGTTGGACACAGATTAAATCTTGATAGATACGCGCTCGTACCAGACATTCCTCAGAGTTTATATCTGCAAGGCGCTGGCTTTCTCTATACAGACAACTGGATATGGGATGAGACCATGCGCTTGTATCGACCGCTCAATGAGACAGAATCTCTACCGAACAGTGCTTTGAGAGTGACACTCAGAGACTCTATCAGATATACTGGTATGTGGCCTGCAACTCATATGGCCAGTCCTATCTGATCACCTAGCAATAGCACCCTGGACATTTCGCCGCATCCCGACATACAAGGACACTCGNNGACTCACCTTCTGCACAACGACCTCATCCATGTGCATAGTGAGGCGAGCGGAAGATATCTAGCTGTCGAGGTGGGTACAGTAAGCATCATCGACCGCTTGGGTTTTGCCGGCAGCGCAGTAGACGGAGACCAAGATGGTACACGCTGGACAGTCAGGTAAGCTCAGAGACGTACAACTTCCGATTCAACATGACTAACCAACTCCGACAGCACGATATCAGAGGCTAATGCATCTTCAATATGGGCTCTAGAATATGCTCCTGAGAGCTCACAAAAGTTCAGATTGTGGAACACGGCTGCAAACTGTTACTTGTCTACATCTTATCGCTCGTTTCCAGATTGGGATGGTATGTATGCGAATGATACTGTGCTGCGAGGGCTGAATCTAGAGCTCGAGACTACTTGCTTGAGCGATGTTACAACCTCAGCATCGACATGGGAGATCGTTGATGGTAAATCTTCCATTCTTCCACAGTATCCAACGTGACTACGCTGACTTGATGGCTAGGTTATCAAGAGTTTGTGACCACGCCGCCCGCTGAGAACCCTAGCTTGCTATGGTTCAGATGGCTATGGAGTCAAATGTCGTACCGATACGAGCTCTTCACAGCAAGAGTCGCGCTGTAAGTCAAGGACCTGTCCCAGTTAGATTTTGAACTGACCAATCCTGATAGCAAGGAGTTTCGTCAAAGACATGGATACCTGCAAGACACACCTGTTTTCCTGCTTGATCGTGAGCCATTCTTGAGGACACACACATGGTTATCGACTTGTGCAGCCAGATCGTTTGTGCTGTTCTATCTCACTCGAGCGATTCTAAATAGACGTGGGATTCGCAGATACGACGTGGGTGGTAAAAAAAGACACAGGAGTGCAGGTTTTGTCATCGCTTGGCTTGGGATTGATGACCATGTCGTTCCTATGGCACATGGCTTTCGGGAGAGCAGAGATTTCGTTGTATACTGCTTGTCTGCTTCTTATCTTGCTGCAGCCTACTCTTCGTCAGTCGCTTTCGTTCCAAGCATTTCTCCATCACATGACAATGGGTGTAGCTGGATATCGAGGGAATGCACACGGAAAGGATGAAGAGGCGGATTCCAAAGACGTTACTCGGTAACCTGAAGTTGGTATTCGGCCGGTCACGCAGCTAGTCTACACTCTCGGAACTAGGTCACAAGGTGTTGTGCAATGATGAGCTGGTTGTGTTTGCCATCTTCAATATGGCGTCCTTATCGCAGAACTCAACCACTTTCTTGACCTTAGGTCCATCCTCATTAAAGTACAAAATCCATGCCTGCTCGACGGGAAACGACTCTCCACTAAGAGTATGCACATCTGCAAGAGATGTAAATGCAGCCCTGCGGGCCTCAGTATCAACGACCAGATTGGAGATGACGTTAGTCTTGAAAGTCAACACTCTGATGTCCTTGGCAAACATCTCTTGAAAGCTCGTGGTGTCGAGAGAAAGGTCTACTGGCAGGCCAAAAGCCTTGGGTACGGACGCCGGGAGCATATGGCGGGTACAGTCGGTCGTAACGTCCCGGTTGATGATGGAGGCATCCTTGCAAGCTGCACCTTCTTCAAAGGCCGACAAAAAGGCTCGAGTTGTAGTGTCAATGCGCTCCCTAAGATCGCTGAGAGAAAAAGTCAAGGCCATGGCTAATTGCGTCCAAAGGAGGGTGTATTTGCGTAGTGGTACCGCAATTTAGGACGGAAGTGTGTCGTAAGGTGATGTGAGATCGCGAAAATCCACGTCGGGCTCCACAGCCTCTTATATTCGATCTTCGAACCTCAAGCGCCACCTGCGACAACGATGATGATAGGATTGTGCTTTGAAGCTAGCGCCATCGTCCTAAAACCTTCTTGCAGAGATGAGGGCGAATCGCATCACACTAGAGATTGACGCTATGCTCCAATGCCACTGCCACCGTGATAGGTTGATAAAGGGATGGCGCAAGCTCCGGCACAGGCATGCTCTGCTAGGGTTCTCGGCAACTCGAACCAATTCCGAGCGTGGTCTGACAGTTGACCCGGCTCTGATAGCCTTTGCCAGCTCTCGTCTTAGCTGCGTCGTTTGACATCTCGACGATGTTTGACGAATGCGGTAAGTCTTATCCCGGCTCTCGACAAGGTGTGATATGACTTCTCCGTGTTGCTCTAAGCTCTGAGGTCACGATTCTACGACTGAGTTCGGTATTTCTCTATAGGCCTAGACCTTCCACCAGACTACGTTATCGCAGGACATGTTGCGGACATATCCCGAACCTTATGTCCGCTCGGAGTTAGTCGACCTGTCTAACTCCTCCATACTAAGGTAATGACTATAACGGTAGAGTGCTAAGGTCTTTATATCAAGACTTGATCTATGACACATGTATTTGCGAAAAACTAGATAACGAGGCGATGGGGTGTGGTATCACGGTATAGTTTGTAAATAAATGGCTCTAGTTGTTTTTCCATATTAGTGAATGCTTAGCACGACCAACAATTTAAGAACATCATCTATCTTGTATTTGTATAGTTATCAATTTACCTGGAGTAGAATGGCATACGAACATTGGAAGTGCAAGCTTTGATGGTCGTTGTTACCATAGTACGCGCAGACTGCCAAGGTTGTCATCTGCAGGGCGTCGGGAAAGAATGCGCCTCAGACTCCAGCGCTTTATATCGAGTATGTTGCCACGAGCTCTGCGACATACAGATCAAAACTCTTGCAGAATCCCTTTCAATTACGGTTTCGAGCTATTGTCGGCCCGATGTATTCATTAATGTCCTGGTCCCGACGAGTTATGAGTCTCCTAGGGTACTCAAGCATGCGCTCCGAACGATTTTTCTCGTGATCCTTGGCTTACACTCCCACAGACAAAGTACTGGCTCCATAGGTCGTATTTCCAAAGCCCACAGATCGACCGCAAAAGGTAGTGCGCCCTGTGTCAAGATAGACTATGCAGCGCTCAAAGGCAAAGATCAAAAATTACTGCCATTCGAACCTGCGACCAGAATCAGCGTCACAGCATCACCGGATCCGAACTGGACATATGGCAAAGGCACTGGCGAAACAAAATCTGCAGATGAGCATGCGCATATTGAGATTGACCCTTTCGGACCAGGACGACCAATGCTGCATAACTATACCTTACTGGTTTCAAGCATAGCACCACGTCCTATTGGCTTGATCAGTACTGTATCCAAAGATGGAAAACAGAATCTGGCACCATTCAGCTATTTCCAAGTCGTCGACCACGATCCACCAATCTTTGTTGTTGGGTTTTCTGGCCGCGCGTCTCGTCCGAAAGATACATTGCAGAACCTCAAGGACACGGGTGAGTGCACATTTAATCTCGTGTCGGAGGATATGATCGAAGCTGTGAATGCAACATCCATTGATGCACCTCGAGGCCTCTCTGAGTGGTCCTTTTCGGGCCTCACAAAGACTGCCAGTACTACCGTCACGCCTCCACGTGTCAAAGAGTCTGTCGTCTCTATCGAAGGCAAGCTGTCCGAGATCGTCGAGTACAAGACTTCGCGACCGGCGGTTGGCGGTGCACCTGGCACTTTAGCTATCATCGAAGCCACTAGATTTTGGGTCAAGGCCAATGCCATCGACGACAAGCGCAGTCACGTCGATTTGAGTCACTTTCGGCCTGTGGGTCAACTGGGAGGCGTGTCCTACGCTCGCATGACTGATACCTTCGAGTTGCCAAGGACCAATTGGGCAAGATCGGGCTTAAAAGGAACGGAATGGGCAAAGCACGAGAACTTGTGATTAGAGAGGTGCTTCGAACGAAGTAGAATGGCTACTGGTGAGACTACGAGCGCGTTCAAGTAGTAGGGATGACATGAGTCGAACTATACTTGTTGAATCGCTTGTCGTATGAATTTGACAGAGCAAACAAGCTTAAAGTAGAAGAGCATCCACAGAAAAGGCGTCCGCAAATACAGTCGAGACCCTCAGCCTAGCTGTATCGACTCATCGTACCAGACGAGATTTGTGCTGAGATGCGTGCGGCTAATATACGACATAAGTGACATGGAACCAAACACACTTAAGCAGGAGTGAAACATATTCCATGATCAACATTATCTCAAGTTGGAGCTCTAGTCCAATAATTTTATTCAGCAGTCAAGTCTAGTTTTGGCCATGATGACCAAGACTGCTCTTCCAAATCTTTTCCAAACTTCATAGTTTCCCATCATCAAAAAGTTTACTTGGGAGCCTTGTTTCTCTGCAGGCGCAAGCAGGAGGCAATGTTGTAGAAGATATCAACATTGTTGTAGACACCTCCGAAAGCACTCTGGCAAGGGCCCTGAGCAAAGACAGGGACATCAGTAAGCGAGTGCACACCCTGATCCGCAGAGACTGGAAGCGTGCCGTTGACGACAAAGCCAGTGACAGCATCAATGTAGTTGACGTAGTAGTCGTTAGACGAGAAGCCAGTGATGTTGAGAGCAGGGATTCTAGGTCCATTCTTGTGAACACGGTAGTTCTCGCGGTGGTCAGGGAAAGTGGCAAGACCAGACTGCAGAGTATAGCGAGGGTCCCAGTTGACGGGGAAATCGACGCCAGCAGAGTAGACAAGGTTTTGGTCGCTGCCGATGGGAGCAGAGCGGTTGGCAACCATGTACTGGGACAGACCAGATTGCTCGTATGTGCCGACTGCATCACGCTTCTTGCGATCGCTGGATTGAGCATCCATGTACTTGGTGTCAACGCCACCGGTGACATCAAAACCGTGACCGTGGTCAGCAGTAACAATGACAAGGGTGTTGTCGAGTTCGCCAATCTCTTCTAGGTGCTTGAGAGTAGCCTTGACTGTGTCGTCGAGTTCGAGGAGTTCACCGAGAGCACGGTCGTAGTCGAGGACGTGCATCTGCTTGTCGATGGATGCGGCTTCGGACATGAGGAAGAAGCCCTTGTCGGGGTTGCGCTTGTGCAGGATGTCGATGGCCTTGAGAGTCATCTCCTTCAAACCGGGCTGGTCGGTTGCGGCACCGCTGCTGCCGTCAGGAGCAGTCTTGGGAATCTGGGTGTTGTTCTTGTAGACATTTCTGTCAAGCCATTTGGCCATGTTGGAGACGGAGAAGATACCAAGAGTGCGCTCAGTGTTGGGGGCGGCCTTCAGAGCAGTGTTGTTTTGTATAAGGTTGTAGCCCTTGTTTTGGAACTCCTTGTAGTAGTCCTTGCCTTGGAAGGACTTGCTGCTCGGAATGAACTGCTCAGCACCACCACCGAAAAGAACATCTGGTCCGTTCCATGAGGGCCAGGTGTAGTTGGTGATGCCGTTGAGGAATGAATCAACAACGTTGCCGTACTGGCCACGATTACGAGTGTGAGCAGTCAAAGCTCCAGGAGTAGCATCGGCAATGAAGGCAGTAGAAACGATACCAACACCACCACCACGAACTTCGTGGAACAACTCGGCAATGGTCTGGACCTTGGGATCATCGAGAGGGTTGGGAGAGGAGTCGGCATAAACGCCAAGAGCGTTGACGGTACTCTTGTGGCCAGTGTAGAGAGCAGTGGCCGAGTTGGCAGAGTCAGTGATGAACGAATCGATTGAGTGAGTCATTTGGTGTCCCAAGACCGGGAACTTGTCCATGGCCATACGAGATTGGTACTTGCCGTTGACGCTTTGGTGGGCAATCAGACGAGCAGCGGTGATCATATTAGTGGTCATGCCGTCACCAATGAACATGATGACGTTCTTGGCCTTTTGCGAGATCTTGTCGTCGCGAACAGTCCAGTTAGCCTGAGTGATGCTACCGTTGCCATATGTGAGAGTGGCAATGTAGTTGCCAGGCTCGTACAGAGCAACCTGTCTATATGCCTTTGAGGCGACCTTCACCATCGAAGGTGTCTTAGCAGCCTGGGCGAAAAGATCTTCGTACCAAGTGAAGTTCCATCTTTCAAGAGCAGGCTCGGCGACCTTGAAGTATGAAGTAGCGCTCTTACAGTCCTTTTGCTTGCCGTCTTTGGCGATTGTGAAGGTGAACTTTTCGTCAGGAGTCAGGTAGCCGGGAACGACTTCACTACCGTTCTGGGGAGCGTGAGTCTCGAGACGGATGTCGAACCATTGACCAGGGAGAAATTCGCTCTGATCCGGAGGGAAGATGCAACCCAAGGTAGGACAAGCACCAAGGCGCTGGAAGGTCTGAGCGGTTGCCTGGCCAATGACGGCAGCAGTGCACACGACACAAGCAGTGCTGAAGCGCATCGTGATAACGAGGTAAAGAAATGAAAAGAGACGGAAAAATCAACAAACTTGACCTACATTATCTCGCAGACCCTGGAGCTGCTGCAGCTTTATACCGATCGACTGCTTACCTCGGAGCTATGCCTTCATCAATGCCTCGCCATTGACTCAGCCAATGATTGCAGTAGGTAGTGCCATGCAGGCTAGGAGCTGCGCCTTCACGCTGATATCGCGTGGTGAGCGACGCGAGAAGGAGCAGTCTACCGTTTCCTGCCGTGTGCGCCAAGTAGCGAGGCGCTCAAAGCGTGTTCTTGTCGACAAGAGAGTTTGGAAGCTGGAATGCGGTTTTGGTGAGGAAGTGATATTGTTCTGCTAAAAGTTCAGGGTCCCGCCAAGGCTTGGCAATGGGCGGATGCGATGGAGGCTTGGAAGAGAGTTGCTTGTCGTTCCTTGCATGGAGCGTTTCGGACCAATCGTCTGAAGCACGTTGTGCTTGCTACATATCGACGACCTTCCTTGTTGGAAAGACGGCTGGTCTCGAGGGCTTTGGGGCTGGAGACTGGACGCAGAGCATGTCACCGGTGTGTGGTACATTATGCAAGTATGCGTGTTCGTTCTTGATCTGCTCATTGGTCGCTGCGCTCGTCCTAGAACTTTTTCTTGATCAAGGCAGCTCCGATGTTTGTGGTGGTGAAGGACAGATGCGATCTGGATGCGGAATTCTTGTCTTGGTGGCGCTTATCTCGGTCGGAATTGCTTGGCAGCAGAAAGTCGGGTTTTCGGACAGGGTCGTACCACAAGCCATGGTTTTGAGCAGGATAAACCTTTCAAAATGCCTTACAAAGGGCAAATCAATTTCTATGGCTGCCTGGGATGTCTGGTAGGTATGACCTGTTGGTCCTGAAGAGATTGTCCAGTCAAAGCATAACATGCTGTCTCACTCGTGACTCAGCCGGTGTGTTGACATGCTTATCAGAAGCCTTCTCGAAACTGGAGCAACTCGACCACAGAATACAAAACTCCTGACGGAGAGATCAGCACACCATCTCTCTATCAATGACGACTCCCATCGGATACCTTCTCAGTGACAAACCTATTTTTTGCATAGGTGAAAGCAGTAGTGTCGTGTCATCCGAGGGTCGCTAGCAGATGTTACTCCGCTTCCGCTTCCGCTTCCGCCTTCACTTTTCACCTTCACAAATCCGACAAGCTTCGGGAATCATCGCGACTCCATAGGCATGACATGGCAGACTCGCTCGCTGCAATCCCACTGTCAACAACACCCTCTAGCAAAAGATTGAGCTCTGAGTTTGAGCAGACAGGCTCGCGGCAACGCCAGAAAGTCACGCGAGCTTGCGATGCTTGCAAAGCGAGAAAGAAGCGCTGCACCGGTGACCATCCATGCGCGCCTTGCATCAAGGCGAGAGGCAAATGCAGTTATGACGCTCAGTATAACAGAGGTACGCGAACAACATCTCGCCACGTATGAATCGTGGCAATGGTCGAACGCGACTCAAACGAGACGCGTGATGTCGGAAGCCGGCGGAAAAGCTGTGCTTCGCATCAACACCTTCCAATGCCTCTCTTGGTCGCGAAACCCGTCATCAGAAACTTGTTGACACCAGATGTGGAGGTTAAGCATTTGCTAACAATGATCCAATCAAGGCATTGCGATCCCTCCTTCCCCAGCGCCACAAGCATACAGCCATATAACACCTGGCCCTCGACGTTCAGGCACTAGTGTCACATCACCTACTTACACGACCTCATCTCAGCTTGCAGACGGGGACTTGATCGCTGGCCGGCAATCTGTCCAACATGGTCTAGCATCTGATCTTGAGACAGATCGCGATACGAGCCCTAACCCGCTAGATGACATCGACCCAAGAGCAGTCCCGGTTCGTCCGGAATTGGCGACTCGAAGATCGATATCAGAGCAGCAACAAACCATCGATGGACAGTATCTTGGACCTTCTAGTGCACAATCCTTCTTGGGTCAAGCACTGCAACGCTCCGATCGTGGCTCAGTGCAGAATCTTACCAGAAGGCCTGAGTCGCATTTCGAGACCGAGACTTCAACTCTCTCGTTCGGCGATGCCAAAGTGTGCCAGCCTGGTATCTCACAATCCGTCTGGCCTGAATACAAAACTGCTACTCGGCTTCTTGAAAGATATTTCGAGTTTTCCTCACCAACATATCGTTACATGCATGAGCCTACCGTGAATGGATGGTTGAGAGAAATTTACGACGAGGCTGATGTTCCAGTTGCTACTACAGCATGCATCTTATTGATCTTTGCCTCGGCGGCCGTGTTCACTGTCGACTCTCTTGGCGATACCATTGATGCGAGTCATCAAGGTTGGCATTCGAGTGAGATGTACTATCAAAAAGCCGAAAGTCTGCTTTCACAAGAAGCCGGTCCACCACGACTTGAGTCTGTCCAAGCCAGATTTGCTGCGGTTCAGTATTTGCTTTCATCATCAAGACCGAACAGGGCGTTGTTCACCTTCGGCACTATGATACAACTGATGCAAGCGGTGGGTATACATCGAAGGCGTGCTGAGAGAGCTAATGATCCAACGTGCAACCCGATCATCGTACAGATGCAAAGACGTTTGTTTTGGTGTGCCTTCACCTTGGACAAGTACTTGAGCATTGTCATGGGACGGCTGTCGTTGCTGCACATCGATGACACTAACCAAGAACTCCCTATGGTTGTGAATGATGAAGACCTTACTGCGGAAGGCGTTCGACAGCAAGACAAGACACACGCACGAGACTGTCTTCTTCACGCCACCCTTGCACATATTGAGGTTGGAATCATCCTGGCCAGAGCTTCACAAGAACAAAATCGTTTGCCAAGCACCACAGATCGCTTACACGTCGAAGCAGCTGCCCGGCGAAGTAATGAGATTCGCGACTGGCAGTCAAAGCTTACGCCGATATTGTCTGGCGCCATTCACCCCAGCAGCTTGATTCCATCTTTTCGGCGTCAGCACTCTATCCTCGCTTTGGCACGTCTTCATGCCATAATGTTCGTCACCCGGCCTCTATTGCTCCGGGACCCTTCTACCGAGCTGTCAGAAACAGAAGCCAAGCGGTATCGTGATCAGCTGCGGTCTTGTATCCAGGCAGCACGAGAGGCCATAGAGACCATCAGTGGTACAACCCGCTATCGAGTCTTGTTTCCTGCCTTCTGGTTCTCGCAGTACATCGCCTTTTCCGCCATATCAATCATCCACATATACATCATCCAATTGAGCCGTCAACGCATTCCCACCGATTTGTTTGGCACAACCTCGCACATGGATTGTCATAGTCTATACGAGCTAGCCTCTACCGGACAGAAACGCCTGGCTGAAACAGGGATCAAGAGTGCGCCTGTGTGGCGATATGGTCCAATCTTGGAGGGGTTATCTGCAGAAACAGGCAAATACGTTGCTTCACAGACCAATGAGGCGGTTCACGTAAGAAGTTCCTCGGTCGCACGAACGATGCGAATGACGGATAATAACAATGCTCAACGGTCCACAAACAACACATCTCATGTCAACCAGGATATCGTGGGCACACCTCACTACTCCAGTGTTCAACCTTTCGAGTCGGATGCAATGTGGGTGACCGGGAACGAAAGCCTCTGGAGTGATCTGATGGCGGAGAACCTGGACAACAACAACTTAACCATGGATTTCTGGCCGCAGTTCGACAACTTGCCAGTCGGCATGCTGTGATGATCTCAAAGGGGATTCCCAGTACTGATCTTGGTCCGAGGTTCCGATATGCAATGAACAAATTGACAGTGTTGGGGGCGACCTGATGGCAGGAAGCTCGAGTGCAACAATCTATTCACGGATACCTGGCTGTGACTCGACAATCCATCGACTGGTATGGTCGGTCGTGGTCACTGGTGACCTCTCCAGCGAGCGAAGGGGATGTTTGACACATGACGGAAGCGATCATAGACGACAAACGATCGACTGTGTCTATCCGCAGATTGCGTGTAGGGCACTCCTAGCAAAGCGATATAGAAATGTCTTACAGGAAACGATCTCATGACGAGACGCCAACACATATCGCATACCCAAGCTGAAGGCTAGTACTGTTGGATCCGATGGCGGGGTTCCAATGGAACAATTGCTTGAGTGTGACCCCGAACAAGTTCCTGATCTTGTCACATCCGTCACCTTTTTCCAATAGTGTGGTACTTATTACAGTTGGCTGCTAAGCCAGACTGGGTGGGAGCAGCAGGTGTGCTTGTAGAGCGAGCGTCTACACAATGCTTGTGACCCAGCCTGTGATACTGACAATGCGAGCCGACTATGTGGCTGGTCCAGTGAAGTTCTTTTTTGTGGTGGGGGGTGATAATGCTTACCGCTCGGGTTCCATGTGGGGGGCATGAGAAGAACATCAATGGAACCCGTGAATACGTGATATCCCTCTTCTCGCTCAGTCTGGTATCAAATATACGCGAAAAATCTCGAGAAAAGAAGAGAAAAGAAAGATGAAGAATGAGAATTAATAAAGATTACATTTCACCCCCACTCGGGGTCTCTGGAGTGAACCTACGAGCCTTGTGAGATTGCTGCGTATTTCACAGCGGGCTCAGTTCCCTGTCTCTGCTCGCGCTCCCGGGACTAATCTCTGGCGCAGACATGCGTGGAGAGCTGATCAAACCGTCAATGCTGCCCATGCTGGTCGGGCTCTTGACGCCAGCGGGACTGCGTCCTCTGCCTCTCCATCCAGATTTGTTCTGACTGCGACCTTCTTCTCCCTCAAGCGCACTCGCAGACACTTTTCTGACGACAGCATCGCAAGACCTCTTTCTCAAAGACCCTAAACTGATTCTTCTGAGATTGGCGAGACTGTTTTTTCTAACTGCGGTGGAAATCTGCTTTTCCTTCTAGGATTGTCCTGGTGTGGAGGGCGTGACGCTGCGTTCTCTTCTGCCCATGAAGCTCCGGCGCCCTATACTGCCACCTAGGTTTGCGCCACCGGGACTGCCTCTGATGGAGCCAAGCATGGAAGCAGAGTCCGCAGTGGATGGTCGCCAAGAACTCCTAACCACAACACTGCCACTGCCGACCTTGACTTCCTTTTCGCCGCCGGCGCCCTGGTCGTCGAGGAAGAATTGTGCTTCGCCCAGCTCGGTGCCGTTGCCAAAGGTATGGTGATCCGAGACGACGACGCGGAAGGACGAGTCTGCAGTACACGACAGCTTCTTCTCGAGACGCAGGTCGGACCAACTGACTTCTTCGCCTTTGGTCTTGAGGGGTTTGGTGCGGATGATTTCCTTGAGACCTTGGGGACTGTCGTGCAGGATCTTGACTTCGACCTTTGTACCGGCGGGAAAGCCGGTGGCGGAGANGACGCTGATGGATGCGGTGCCCGTTTCGGAAGTGCCGGGAGAGGTCGTGTTGTTGCCGAAGCTGCGAGTGCGCGAGTGTGGTGTACCGGGTCCTTCGACGTTGACTGTGTATTCAGGACTCTGTTGTTCAATAAGAGGTGCTCCAGTACTCAGGCCAGGCATGGGTGTGTCATCAGTGACGACTCCATCGCCATCTTGCTCTGCATTCGACTTTCTGCGACGGAAGCCGCGACCGAGGAATGAAGCGCCACGGACCACATTCCCGCCAACAAAGACTGCGCCTTTGCCAACGCCTTTGACGGGTGCTCCGACAATCTTGCCGGGTGCTGCGAAAGTGCCGTGGAAGGTGGAGGAGCCTTGACGGGATCTGGTGACATAGTCTGGCTTAAAGAGCATGCCCAATCTGACGCTTCCACTCTTGCCGTCGAGACCAAGAGTGACTTCCTGTCTACGGAAAGGCTCGAGGATATCAAGATTGATGGCTGCCTTACCGAGGAAGTCCGCCTTGTCACCAAAGTCCCAGTCGAACACGTCAATCTGGAAGTTGGCAGCTGTCCGGGAGCGGATGGGAACTTCGAAGAACTCATTCCACGCAGGGTGGAGAGTCTTCTTCTGTGTCTTGCTCTTGAAGACTTCCTTGCCATTGAGCGTGAACTTGCAGTAAGGGTCGGAGTAGCCATTACGGTCAGCAGCTGGAAGATCAGCGGCATCAAGAACCTCGACACGGAGATTGCCCTGGTTGTTGATACTCTCGGAAGGATCCAGCTTCATCTTGACGGGCAGGTACTTCAAGCTGACGGTAACACTGCTATCACGTCCATGGCTGTCCTTGAGTGTGAGCTTGGTAGGTGTGTAAAGCCCAGATTTGAGAACTTCCAAAGTCTGTCCGGTGAGCTTGGCCTTGATGTGTTTGTCGTGGTCATCATCCCCCTTGGAATCAACCTCTTCCACCAGGCGAAGCGTGATTCTGGACAGATCAAGTTCGCGAACCATGGCATCACCGGTTTCGTTGAATGTGTATTGCTTCGAGCGCGTCTTCGATGAAGTGTACGAAGCAAACAGCATATCATCCATGATGACCTCGAGATGGCATCCGGGGGCAGCGAGGTCACCATCGATGATCTTGAAGACGAGCAGACCAGATTNCTGAAGCATGATTAGTGTCTGAGTAGTTACAGAAGACAATGCAGACTTACCGTAGTGTGAGAGCTCTTCCGCACTGATGCGAACCTTGGGGACTTCCTTCTTGACTGGCAAACCATCGTCTTGCTTGTTTTCATTGGCAGCAAGTTGTTGACGCATCTCGGCAGCGGCAGGATTCGATTTGAGAGAAGTGATTGTACCTGCAGTGTTACTACGAGCACGTCCTTCTGGTCGCACCTCGAGAGTAGGAGTGGGAGGCTCCTTGACGGGTTCAGGAACCTCCAGACTGGTCTTCTCCTCCTTCTCCTCATCTTCGGGGTCGACAACATTCAGCGTAGGGAAGAAAGACGCGGTGAAGTTGAGGAGACCCTTGGCTGAGCCTGTAGCGCCAAGACGCAGACCTTGAGACAAGGGCTTCTTGGTGTCGTCAACGAGATATTCGCCAGATTCATCTTGGTGTGCATAGTCCGAGACAGCAAGCTCGACCATACCAAGCAATCTGTCCTTGCCAATCTTTTCCTCATCCATGACCTCAAGACTGAGCTTTTCACGAGTCGAGTGAACAGGAACATAGAGGACCTCGTCGAAATCAGGGTTGAGATTGTTCTTCCAGGTAACTGTTCTTGCCTTCAAGACACCAGAGAGCATGACACGGATGTAAGGATCAGACTTGCCAAGGGTCTCGAGGTTGCGCAAGTCGCGAGCATTCTGGAAGTGGAAACGCATCACACCGATAGGGGTAACGTAACCACCAGAACCACCAAGAGCGCCCTTCAGAGCGACGGGCTTCCATTGTAGCAACATCTTAGCACGACCAGTCTTGACACCAGCGAGATTGTACCATTCTTGGCCTCTCTGCATGAGCTCGAGCATGTCGTCCAATTTGAGTTGGTAGGTACCAATGATAGGATCGGCAGCCATGTCTCTGTCGTCTTTGATGACAAGACCAAGCTTTGCCTTTTTACGGTCGGTGATGAGAAGTTCCTTTGAGGCCTCAATGAAGATGGGGTTGTTTGTTCTCTTGAGCTTCTTGCCGACGTGAATTTCCTTGCCGTTGAGAAGAAGGACTGGGTAAGGGTTGAGTTGACCGATCATGCTCTTGCTACCATCGAGCTCTTTGGCACTCTCGATAGTAAACTTGGCAATACCAGTGTTGCTCTCGGGAGGAGGTTGAACGGTACCGTCTGGGAGCTTATCGCCTTCGAGTACAGGGAAGAAGCGAATATCGGCCTGAATGACACCACGAGCACGTCCATTGGCCATGACTTCGAGGTGTTGAGCCTCGAACTCTGTTTGATGCTCGAGTTGATCGAGAGCGAAAGTAGCAGCACCCAATTCCTTGTCCTTGCGGAATTCGTTGTAATCAAAGACTTGCAGAGTAAGGGCATCCTTGAGACTGGTGAGAATGACATTGATAGTTTCATTCCAACGAGGGTTCTCGTTTTCGTGCACAGTCTTTGTCTTGCCCAAGACATCGCGACCATTGATGGAAACGGCACAGTACGGATCCGGGGTGCCAGAGAACTTGTCGGGGTTTCGGAGACCTTGGGCTCCGTGGAAGGTGATTTGTAGGACACCGATGGCCTGATCAACAGGATTCCCAGCAAGCATCTTTGCAATCTCGATGGGGAAGACGTTGGGTTGGTACATCATAGGACCCAGGTTGGCGTGAATCTGTTCCTGGATGAAGCTTTCCAGACCGGGGATAAAATTGATGTCGAAGCCAAACGTGTCACCACCGAGAGGTTTGCAGACGTAGTCGATGGTTGGGCGCTCGAGGAAACAGATCTCAACCTTTTCGACATAAGGGAAGGGGATTTGCAGCTTCATCTTGACCCGCATGAGGCCAGAAAAGGCCATGTCCTCGACGATGATTTTCATGCCCTTGCTGACCATACCCTTGCCCAAACGGACCTCGAGCACGACTTTGGGGTTGATCTTGTTCTTGACTTGACGAGCAGTCAGATCGGCCGTGTCGTTGGGGGTGAAGCTGAACTTCCAGTCCATGAGAACAATATCGTCCTCGGCCTTGGGGTACGTCTTGACGTGCTCGAGACGAGGGGGCTTTGTGCCAAGGGTGAAAAACTCCATGCGCATACTGTCAAGGAAAGCCGGAGTGGAAGTAGACAGGATCTGATCGACAGTGTTGACAATGGAGGTGCAGATCACGGGGGCGCAGATGGGCCAGAACTTGACGAGGAAGCTGTTGATCCACTCGAGCGACTCGACGTCCGTCTCGATACGAGCTTTTGCCATTTCACGGTGGACGTCGTCGCGGAAGTTGCGACGGACTCTGCGGATCGAGGTGCGGTAGTAGGTTCCGCAGATGGCCATGACGATGAAAAGCCAGCCGAGGCCTCCGCCCAGCACGGCGACGACCCAGGAAGAGAGGCAGGCAAAGATGATGATGCCCGTGTTATGGTACCAATCGCCAAAGAACTTGTCGTCCAGCTTGCCTTCGAGCAAAGTCTGGTGGTCTAGCAGATTGTCGCCCATGGCACTGGCGCTGTCGGGCAGCTGGCCGAAGCGAGGAGCCCAGCCAACCTTTGCCCAGTCCTCCTCTTTTCCTGGACTGGCGCCATTGGTGGGTTCTGCAGTGGATCTGGCGGGCGAGGGAAGCGCAGCACTCAGGGGAGCAGTAGGAATATCGTAGGCGGGTTTGAGGTTGTCGTCTTGGTCGGAAGCGAGGACGGCTGTTTGGTGCTGGCGAATGTGCTGCAGCTCCTGGGGTAGTCGCTGCAGGGAGTCAGTACAGTACGGAGAGTAGATGGAGGAAGAGGGACTCACAGCCTTGACCTGACGGGCCTTTTCGGTGGACGAGGCATCGGCGTCGAAGCGAAAGGCAGCAGCGCCGGCCTTGCGCGACTCTTCGAGGAGCGTCTGCTCGGCGTCCGCAGCCGTGACTTTGCTGTGCGGGTCGCGGGCAGCTTCAATGGCGCCTTGCGACTTGAGCTCCTCCTNTGAGTGGCCGTTGTGCACGCCGTCCAACATTGTCGACTTTAGCCTAAGACCCGCTCAGAGCTGAAAACTGACAAGACCTAGCTTAGAGATGAATGACGGTGCCAGAAGTGACGGTGACGGTATTCATGGATTGAATGGACGGCAGGTACTCATGGATTGAATGGACGGCAGGTATACAAGGGAGGAAAGAGCAAAAGGAGCTTGATAGGAAAGTTGGCACAAGAGGGAACACGCAAGCTTCCAAGCAACAACTGGAAGATGGTCCATGGTCAATACCCCACACTGCCTAGGCCCAAGCCACACCATACCAGCCCCCTATTCCCGGCTGCCATCATTACAACAAACACCGCCATAACTCACTCACACAAGACCCTCTTCATTCTCCTATACCGACACCTCCCAGCACAGCCTCGCCCTGGACTTCTAGAATCTGTGTCAAAATCACACCGCTCATTCTCAGCCACAGCCATAGCAGACGTTGTCCACGCACGCGCTTATCGCAGCGAGACCGAGACCCTTGCGCTGATAGTCTCGGCCGAACAGCTCCAGGGACAAAAACAGGGCAGCCTTTTTCGCTTAATCTGAGAACAGGGTGCTTGTCGCGACATGATTTTTGTGCATTGATCATTCGATATAAGCATGTAGAATGGATATGATGTTGTGGTGTGTCTACTATTTGACGCTGTGCAGATGACACGTTTGAACATCTACGGCATGGATGCTCGAAGAGGCCAAGAAAGGCTGCAGTCACGTTCTTTCTGTTTGGATGCTCCCTGACCATAACCTCTACCTATACGCCGACTCAACCGGATACTTCCGCCCAGTCACTCCTCCAACCGGGGAATCCTGAAATCTTGCCACCTTTGGTCGAGTGCCTCTGTTTCCTCCCCTGTTGCTCCCGACCTCGCTGCCGCTTCCTCCGTCCCCAGACTGCCTTGCTAGCTCGGGCCGCTCGGGGCTGCGCGCCGAGGATTGTCGAGAGCGAGAAGAAGGTCTATGGCCCTCTCGTGCTATGTGCGTGGCAAACAATGGTGATACCGAGGGCATGAAGCCCGACTTTTGCGGACTCGTTGAGCGAGGTTTGAGGTGCGTGGCTGAACTAGATCGCCGCATGTCCACTTCGTCATCAACAGGAGGGAAGTACTCGCGTGGGCTGGTTGGACCATGGGAACGTCTATGCCGCATGTTGGGATCGTGGTACGTCGGACTTGGTCGCAGGCTTGAAGACTCATGGTGGTGAGAGTGATGGTGATGGTGCTCAGGTGGTGAATCTTGGACAGATCCTCGACGGCTGTACTGTCGAACATGATCGCCCTCACTGTCAAGATCTTGGTAGAGGTGCTTGTCAGGCAAACTCTTGCGCCGACGGTGATCGCGGTCTTTTTCCTTTTCTTTGGTAGCTGCGTGACCGTCCCATAGGTGCGGACTGCCCACATTCTTGATGACATTGCCGAACGTCGATGCAACAGTCTTGCTCCTGTGCACAAACGAGTCACGAGGACTGAGAGGAGGTCTGCGGCGGCTGCCGTTCCTCACAACACCGGGTCTACCGTCGATTGTCCTGAAGAGAGGGTCTCGGAAGTAGGCTATTGCAAAGTTTTTGTGGTCTGGTGGTGACTCGTCGTCGGTGAGAGCATTGTCCGAGTACCTGCTGATTTTGCGATGGTGCTTGGAGTTGTTTGGTGTGTCTGGGCGGTCCTCGATGGGTTGGACTCGGATGCGCTCTTGCTCTTCAGCCTCCCGACGCAAACGGCTGCTCATACCTTCATACCACTCGACCATGCTGGTGTCTGGATGCGGAGGAAAACATGATCGCGGCAGGACTTTGGGGAATGCGTCGCCAGTTTCAGGATTTTGGATGTCCCATTTCTGCACAGCTTGCCTCAAGAACTCAGAGTGTTCATCAGGCCCTAACAGGAGTTGCACAGTCTGCCACATGATATACCCCTCAACCTTGAGGGCGGGTACAACAGGATCAGCATAGCGGTCTCTGAGGTTGGCCAGGGGCTGCAGACTGTGCAAGCAGCCCAAGTTCTTGTAGATGAATGCAATGGTCGAGGGAGGAGTCGAGAGAAAGAGTGGGTCGTAGTTGCCATTGACTGCTCGGTAGAAATGGGCCATCTGAGATGGAGTGACATCTGAAGAGTCTGATGAGTCGAATGTGCTTATNNCTGTGCGGGGCGGTCAGTGTTGTGCTGGTATGTGAAGATACATGTCTTGACTCACTATAGTTTTGTGTATGCCTCGCAGTAAGTTCTTGAGCATATCAGTGCCTGTTCGATCTTGCTTGAAGAGATAGCCCCAATACTGATAAGCCTCTTTCTGCTCTGCTTCTGACTGAGAAGAAGCCATGATTGCGGAAATCGCCAAAAAAGTCGGGCAGATGTACAGACTTATAAGGGTGGAAACGTAATGTCTCAGGAATGCAAGTAAGACAGGAGTCAGACGGGCACCTTGTCTTGACTAGATGCAGACTTGAGCCTTGTTATAGGATATGCTTTGTTATAGTTGTGCAGGCGTGACAAGAAAAACAACTTGGCGGGGTGAGCGGGCTTGAAGGCTTAAGCCCTTTTTATTATATACACGCGTCGGCAGAGCGATTGGTGGACAGTAAGGCAGCACTGCAGTTGGTAGTGTGAGCAATCCGAGTGACTTTCGGATTAGCCTGTAGAAGCAGCAGGCAGCAAGGCGCAAAGTGGATCGTGAGTCGTAAAGGTCGTAGAGTCGCGCAAAAGACCAAAGTCGTCAGAGCAGCAGCAGGAAATAGGAATGCGACAAAGCTGCAGCAGCACGAGGGCGCATGGCTGGAGTCAAGGAAGCAGCGCGTGCAGCACAATAATACAAGTAGCCCACTCGGCGGTCGAGCGGTGAGCGTGACTTGCAGTCGCACGCATGCAGACAAGAGTCACTTGCTGCAAGTTCCTGCCGAGCTTGACATCACGCTGCGCGTGGTGCCCTGTGATTTGTCGATCCTGATATACTTGATAGCTAGAGACATGTCATCTTATCTGATCATCAGCGCGCCAAGAAGCACTCTACGCGCCGTCGCGCAAGTCGGACACGCTCGGGCCTGTTATTCTGTCAACAACAGAAACCCTCTCTGCCTGCCAAAGACATACACACACACACATCACATCATGGATGGCCTACAACTACGAGATGAGGCGGTGCGCGATCGCATCCGCGCGGCCGAAGAGTTTCTCGATCCGAGTATGTAGTTGCATTCTTGACTAGTGCCAGACACAATCACTGATGTTCTTGTGCAAGACGACCCCCGAGCGCGCAGCTACAGAGCAGACATTCTGGTCATGCTGGGTCGCTCGTCACGGCGACTCCCTGTATCGCTCGATGAGATCCGCGCACACAGTACCGAGATGGCCGAGGGCATTCTCAACATGCCCTTTGACTTTTCCCAGGCCTTCGACCGCGCCGTCAAGAACATCGTCAACACCCTCCCCGGCAGACCTCCCCATGAGACGGCCGAAGACACCATGTACTACTGCGCCTTCTTTGGCAGCTTCGGACAGTTCGCTACCAANCCCCGCACCCTGAGCTCCCAGCACCTCAACCACATGGTCTCGCTCGAGGGCATCGTCACTAAATGCTCCCTCGTGCGCCCCAAAGTCGTCAAGAGTGTGCATTACAACGAGAACAAGTCGTCGTTCCACTTCCGCGAGTACAGAGATCAGACCATGACCATGAACGGCGCCGCCAGCTCCTCCGTCTACCCCACCGAAGACGACGAGGGCAACCCGCTCGTCACCGAATACGGCTTTTGCACCTACCGCGACCACCAGACCATCTCCATTCAGGAAATGCCCGAGCGTGCCCCCGCAGGCCAACTCCCAAGAAGCGTTGATGTCATCATGGACGACGACATGGTCGACAGAGTCAAGCCTGGCGACCGTATCCAGCTCGTCGGCATCTACAGGTCGCTCGGAAACCGCAACGCCGGTGCGGGAAGCTCGACCTTCCGCACGCTGGTCCTCGCCAACAACATCATCCTTCTCTCGTCCAAGTCTGGCGGCGGCATTGCCCAGGCCACAATCACCGACACGGACATTCGCAACATCAACAGAATCTCAAAACAACGCAAGGTCTTTGAACTGCTCTCCCAATCTCTGGCTCCCAGCATCTACGGCCATGACTACATCAAGAAGGCCATCCTTCTCATGCTCCTGGGAGGTATGGAAAAGAATCTGGACAACGGCACACATCTGAGAGGAGACATCAACATCTTGATGGTCGGCGACCCGTCCACTGCAAAGTCGCAACTCTTGCGTTTCGTCCTGAACACGGCCCCGCTCGCAATCGCCACGACCGGTCGTGGTTCTTCCGGTGTCGGTCTGACGGCTGCAGTCACCTCTGACAAGGAGACTGGCGAGCGCAGACTCGAAGCCGGCGCCATGGTTCTTGCTGATCGTGGTGTCGTCTGTATCGATGAGTTTGACAAGATGTCCGACGTCGATCGTGTCGCCATTCACGAAGTCATGGAACAGCAAACCGTCACCATCGCCAAAGCCGGTATCCATACCTCCCTCAATGCCCGTTGCTCGGTCGTGGCAGCTGCCAACCCCATCTACGGTCAATACGACACTCACAAGGATCCTCATCGCAACATTGCTCTGCCTGACTCTTTGCTCTCTCGTTTCGATTTGCTGTTCATCGTGACAGATGACATTGAGGACGTACGAGACAGACAAGTGTCTGAACACGTCCTCCGAATGCACAGATACCGTCAGCCAGGCACGGAAGAAGGCGCTCCAGTCCGCGAACAAGCCACTCAGTCCCTCGGCGTTGGTCTCGAAGAAGAAGCCGACGCTGACAAGACGTCGGAAGTCTACGAAAAGTTCAACGTCATGCTTCACGCTGGTGTCACGGTTACTGTTGGCCGCGGGTCTGGTCGCAAGGTTGAAGTCCTCAGCATTCCCTTCATCAAGAAGTATATTCAATATGCCAAGTCGAGAGTCAAGCCCATCCTCACTTCTGGAGCGGCAAATCACATCATTGCCACATACTCTTCCCTCCGCAACGACGAGATCGAAAGCAACCAGCGCAAGACTTCACCAATGACTGCTCGTACTCTGGAGACTCTTATTCGTCTGAGTACCGCACATGCCAAATCTCGCTTGTCCAATCGTGTAGAACAAAAAGATGCCGAAGTCGCCGAGGGCATCCTCCGCTTTGCCCTCTTCAAAGAAGTCGCCGAAGACGAGCGCAGGAAACGCAGGAAGACCCGCGCGACCACTGAGCCACTCTCCTCGGATGACGATTCGTCCGATGATGAAGACATGGACGCTACAACCACCAACCGCAGCTCCACCCGGCGCGGCACCACTCCAGCCAGACGAGGCGCACGAAGAACACCAGCCAACGGAGAGGATCACACAGTCTCCGGTGCTCTACCAGACGAAGACGACGACCTCTACACCGCAACGCCCCGCGCGAATCGGACGAGAAACACGACGCACACACAATCTTCCCTCCCACCACCCTCCTCCTCACAATTCTCTCTTGCGTCCTCACGTCCTGCATCCCAACTTCTCGATTCGCAATCTCAATCTGCCGCCCCTGAATCACAAGAAATGGCGGAGACTCAAGAAGAGGGAATCTCGGCACATCGACTTTCGGTGTTCCAGACGGCACTTGGGCAGCTTATCGATGGACCATTGTTTGCCAACGATGCGGCGGATGTGGCGCCATTGGTTGCTGCTGTAAATGCGAGAGTAGGGGCCAGGGAAGAGGAGTTCAGTGCTCAAGAAGCGGAACAAGCGTTGACAGAGCTGAATGAGGCCAACAAGGTCATGTATAGTGGTGGTGTGGTGTATAAGATCTAGGCAAAGGAAATTGGTGGTGACAAAAGGTGTTTTTCTGGCGTCAGAGAGAGAGGGAATGATTGTATGGGAGTTTTTGGGTTTTGGGAGTCTTCAAGGGTGTGAATGGTATATGCTGATTACTTGTCTTGTGTTGACACGTCCTTTGTTCCTCCTTGTAGCTTTGTGTGATTTTTCTGCGAGTTGTGTTCGTGAGGGTATCCACGGGGTGGCCCTAGTCGCTGCCTTTTGATCTTTCTTCCATCCACAGAGTTCTGCCATGTCTTCTTCATCTTTTTGGACAAATTCTCATGGTGACTCGGGAGCGATGGTTCTTGGACTGCGTGTACAACCTTTTTTTTTCCCTCACAGGAATTGACGCTCTCATCGACCCAATCGTCTTTTTTCCTTCATCTCCCACGCGGGCGCACTCTCGGTAGCGGAAATTGTTGCCTGCGAGAGGTATTTCCGGACATTTTATCAATGGATGCATGCATGGGGCAGTGACTGTCTGGGCATCCTAGGTTGGTGGAAGGTGCTCATGGTCGTGGCTCGGGGGTGAATTCGAGTATCATTGCGGGACAGCACCTCTGCATCACTGCTGAACCATCCTCTTGATGCGATCGAGCAAGACGGTGCTCTCTCTTCCCAGCTTCCTCTGGCCGTTTTTGCCGCCACTCCTTGCTTTTGCCATTGCTTTTCTGAATCTTTCTCTTTCTTCCGTCTTTTCCGCTCTTTCTTGTTGTGAGCGCTCGTAGGCGGCGCGACGGTCCTCGGTTTCTCTCTTTTGACGCTGGGCGGCGCGGTGTTCTTTGGCGAAGGGGATGATCTTTTGACGGCGACTGTGGTGTATGCCCGAGAGATTTGACTCGGTGTTTTCTGAAGGTGCTTCTGCGACTGGGGCAGGGGCTGGCGATGGAGATTTTCGCTTCGGTCTTGCTTGTCGCGGCGCTTTCACCTCCTCTTGGACCCCTTGTTCGGCGTCGACCTCATCTGGCGAGTCTTGTTCATCGTCCTCTGTGGTGGCATATGTTGCTGGTCGCTTTGGTTGATGGTCGTCTCCAGCTTGTTGCTTTTGCTTTGCATATTCCTTCTTCAGTTTCGCCTTTTCGATCAGATTGCGCTTGATCTGGATGGCTGTGAGGGAAAGATTGTCAGCGTGTGTGACGGCGCCATGTGAAGACACGGGCGCGTACGTACTCTTGCGACGATGGGTGCCGTCGGGCAGATTTTGAGGGCCGACGATGAAACCCTTCTTGTGCTTCTTTGCGGCGCGGTCGGTGGACGCATTGTCGCGCGGGCGTTTCGTTATGGCCATGATGTGAATATTTTAGTATTGCTTGTGATGGATTTTGGTTGTTATTATTGTGAAGCTCTTCCAAGTTTGATGGTTTCCCTTTTCCCCACAGTCTGGAATTTCTTTGATGGAAATCGCGGGAGAGAAAAAACGCTCCGCCTCGGCCTTTGGGCTGATTGCATCAGATGACTCGGACAGCGTAACGACGAGTCTTTTTCTTTCTTTTTGTTTCGTCTTGTAATCCTGAGCCTGGCAACCTGTGACATCCTACAACAAGCGACTTGGACTCCATACTCTGCCAGCCCTCTTGCAGGCGGCCAACTTGACCACCGTTCGAGCCCCGACAGAGTCATTCTGACGTCGCCGGTTCTTTATCAGATTGCGAAACCATCAGGGTCTTTTAGGCCTTCACCTCCCGGACAAGAGGGGGACACACGACACTTTGTTCCAACTCTGAATATTCTCTACGTAGACACGCAGCTCGGAGCTGGACCAATGTGCTCTGAGCTGCAGAATGCCGCACTCCAAGTACGACAGCCCCGACAATGACCCCGACGACGCTCATGTCTTCAATCCATTCTTCACCAACGACACACGCCATGGCTTCAATCGCCAACCGCTTGAAAATAGGCAGCATGTCATCAGACGCTTAAAGACAAGGGCAACTGTCGACACACATCAGGAACCACCCCCGTCGCCCACGCGGACACTCCTGGACCACGACAGCAATGCCCTGGGCCTCGACATCCCACGACCACGCTCTGCCTTGCACCGTGGCGACTTTCGAGAAGACGACGATTCGCAAAATACTATCGCGACATCTCCCGTAGTCCCATGGCATACCCAGTCGCAACTCCTGCCCCGCCCGCGAGCTGCTTCTCAGGCTTCCCTGTCTGGCAGCTTCTCTTACCAGCCGCCCACAAGTCCGCTCGTCCACCAGGCCAATGCCAACGACATGCCCGACCACGACTCACCTCACTTCACCCCAACGAGAAACCCCCATGTTTCTCTGCACCGGCATTCCTCGTTGCGTGCTTTTCCCTATCAGGCACATCAGCCTCGCCGCTCTATCGGCTCAATCTCCTCTTTGACCATGTCACCATATCCCTCAGCTCGGCGTCCGTCCATCTCGGATGCATCACCCCTACAACACGCACCCATGGTTGGTTCATACGAGGAGAGCATTCTTAGGGGTCGCATGTCTACGACCCCGTCAAAGCCCCTTGACTTTGTCGCTCAGATCGGTGTGCTCGGAAAAGGTGACTGCAAGCCAAGTCTGAAATGTCCGCCTCACCTCTCGATTCCATTTCCTGCCGTCTTCTACAGCTATGCATCTGGAACAACCACGGACCCAGAACCAAGCCCATACGTCGGCATGCTGGACTTGGAAAACACCTTGAAAAAGGCTGATGACCCTGAGACTGCTGCGCCTCGCCGACGACGAAGACATCATCACGACCAAGACCACAACAAAACTATATCACACAGTTCAACGGAGATCAACAACTTGGATCATGATAAAATGCATCGACGTCAGCACAAACTCCAAAAGAGGACAAACACAGCAGCACCAGTAGGATCATATCGCATTCCTGAAGTCGGCCAACTGCAGATCGTCATCAAGAATCCAAACAAGACTGCTGTCAAACTCTTTCTTGTCCCATATGACCTGTCGGACATGCCTCCCGGTACAAAGACATTCATTCGCCAACGATCATACTCTGCTGGTCCCATCATTGATCAGCCAATCTCCAATCTTAGCCGGTTTCCAGATGTCAGCATCACCGATAAACCAATTCTCCGATATCTGATTCATCTGAACATTTGCTCCACGCAGAAAGGACGATACTACCTCTATGGCGGTGTGAGAGTCGTCTTTGCAAATCGAGTACCAGACGGAAAAGAAAAGCTACGCACAGAGATGCAAATGCCCGAGCCAAGATATGTTGCCTGGAAACCAGCAACTGCCACAACAGACATCATCGATGTGGCAACCAAGGCAAAGGAAGATGCAAAGAGACGTCGTAGCGCTGTCTTTCCCTCGCATGCTTCGTCCTTTGACATGTTCCCCCAGCCTTCTTCTGGCTCGGTCGACAGCACAACATCGTTCCAGCACTTCTCCTTCGGGCCTCAGCACGAGCATCTGCCAACGCTGGAAAGCCGACCTCAGAGTCGCGGCGCCATGGACGTTGACAGCGAAGCCTTCAACACTGTCCACAGCATCGCGCGGGCAAGAGAAGAAAGAGGCGAAGAAGCATTCATCTTTGGAAGACGGGACGGAAATGTTGACGTTAAGACGCGACAGGAGAGTCTGCTATCCAGAAAGCTCAGAGATCTGGAAGTCAGGGGGCACAAGTGACCTCGAGAGCTTTGCAAAGTGTCAGATCGCGTATCGGTCGGGGGTTTGGGGGCGCTTATTCAGTTTATATTGCATATGTATGGCAGGTCGGAAACTCGGGAACTCTTGAGGACTGGCGTTTGGAAGAACACTCTTGCTGGCAAGGGACTCTCGTTTATCGTACAAAGTCAATTGCTTGCTATCAACATTCGAGCTTCGGGCCACAATATCCGTTATCAGATGGCTTGCAACATTCGCCCAATCGTGCCAAAGTTTTGAACAAACTCTCCATCTGCTTCGTATCTGGCCTCGGGTACGACCACGGATATTCCGGGTCAGTATCGGGGACGCGTGGCTCCACTTCCCCTCTGTCCACTGCACGCGCTCAGTTCCTGCTTTTGCAGGACTCGATTTGGCAAGAACAACCCAATACCGAGATCGTCGGTCCTTGCAGAACGGCTGCATGTCATGGAGACCTACGTCGCGCATGACAGCAAGGAAGACTGGAGGTGGCAGATTTTGAATGAGCGAGTCGTGAAATTAATCATCTAGTCGAGCATCCAGCCATTTCCCCGCTCGTTCATGTTCTCAAGCCTTGCTAAGCTTTTGAGGGATATTATTCCCGCCTTGGCCCGTGTCTTGTAAGGAAGATACGAGGTGTGCCCTCCTTCCTTTTCAGGTTAGCATCGGCCGGATAGCGAGGCCGAGTGACGACAATGTACTGGTGCTTGTATCTCTCGCGCAACCATAGATAAATACCTCCATCCCAGACACGAACCCGTCCCTCTCCTGTTGTTTCCACAGTCAATCGCGAGCGTCAATCCACGCAACTTTAACTTCTCAGAGACCATGGGCTCACAGAACCTCGCCAATCTCACCTTGGGCGGCGGTGATCCTCGAGAAGGGGAGAAGAACCCCGCGCTCTTTGCTCTCGACAATGGGCATGAAGCTCCCACCGATACTGCTGTTGGGTTCAGCATTGAAGCAGCCTTGGTTCACAACGACCCCAACGTTTTGTTCGAGGAGTACCTCCACTATGCTGCCATCACACGCGCCGAGGAGAAAGAGTACGAGAAGACTATCGAGAAGAAGTCGTTCACATTCAAAGGCATGATCAAGAGTCGCTTCTCCACTGGACATCACCAAACGTTCGAAGAGGACGACAAAAATGGCGGACGCCCGGTAGCCTATGCAAACGCTGCCGAAGTCACTGATCTCGATTGGAGGCGTGCCTCTCGCGCTACCAGAACGGCTACATGGACTTCGATCTTTTTCCTGGTCACTACTGATATTCTTGGTCCCACAGGTGCTCCGTAGGTGTACCTCAAAATGGTCGTGCACATAGACCTCAATGTTGACTGATTTAATCACAGTTGGGCTTTTGCAAACACTGGCTTCGGTCCTGGTGTCGCACTCTACACCGTATTTGGCGGCTTTGCTGCTCTGTCTGGTTGGTACGTCTACTGGACCTTCTTGAGCCTGGACTCGGATCGTTATCCCATCCGTGACTTTGGACAAGCCTTCTATCGTGTCTTTGGCGCTCCCATGCGACATACTGTCAACATTCTCCAGACCTTGCAAATGTTCCTCTTGGTCGCTGTGTTGATTCTTAATAATGGTGGTGCCGTCTCCGAAATCTCAATCGGTAACAATGGCAAGAATGGTAACGGCCTTTGCTTCATTGTCTGCCTCTTGATCATCGCAATCATCGGTGTCGTCCTTGGTCAGATTCGAACCCTGCAGCGCTTTGGCTGGCTTGCAAATCTATCTGTTTGGACCACCGTACTCTGCGCCTTCCTTGCCATCGGTGCCAGCGCCACTTCGCCACCTAACTATGCAACCATGTTCAGTACTTTTGGTGGAAAGGGCACAGCATTCGGTGACACCAATTTCCCCGACGGCACGGTCGACAGTCACATCCCGATCAAGACATTCGGCGGCACTCCCCCCTATGGCTACCAATCCGGTGGCACTGGTTTCCTGGGCAGTTTCCAGGGTATCGACCAAATCATCTATGCCTACGGTGGTGCCATGTTGTTCTTCAATCTACTTGCAGAGATGCGTCACCCTTGGGACTTTTGGAAGGGCATGCTTGCCGCTGACATTTTCATCTACTTTGTGTACATGTTCTTCGGTTTGTTCCAGTATGCCTACCAGGGTCAATATACGTACAATACTGCGATCCAGAGTGTTGGATCCTACAGTCTCCAGACTGCTGGCAACATCCTGTCGATTATCGGTAAGCAGCGACTTTATCCCAACACAATGTTCGATCTAGACTAACACATGGATGTTTTAGGTGGTCTCATTGCCGCCGCGCTCTACGGCAACATTGGCATCAAAGTCATTTACAGCAACGTTCTGATGGAACTGTTCCGTAAGTCACCATCGCCACTTGCGCTGAAATCAACATTCGCTGACCAATTCTCACAGACNTTCCCACCCCTCACTGCAAAAGCCGGCAAACTCATCTGGATCGTCCTCGTCCCGGTCTACTGGGCNCTCGCCTTCGTCGTCGCCGCCGCGGTCCCGCTTCTCGGCGACTTCAGTTCGCTCGTGGGCGCCATCTGCATCGGCAACTTCACCTACACCTTCCCATGCCTTTTACGCATTGGCTTCATGGTCAAGCAAGCCGCCATGCTGCCTGAAGAGCACTTTGACCCCCAAACAGGCAGATATCATCGTGTGGATGGTGGTATCAAGAGATGGATGCGCGGATATAGAAAGACGTTTGTCATTACCTCGCTGAACCTCATCTATTTCTTGGGCGCGTTGGTTGTGTGTGGGTTGGGCTGTTATGCGGCCATCGAAGCGCTGATTTCTGCGCTTTCTGGGGGTAGTGTCACGACTAGTTTTAGTTGCAAGTCGCCTTATGCTGCTTAGTAAGAGGTAGCTATACCAGTCAAGGCAGCAGTCAAAGGCACGCGGGTGCTGCGATGCGCGTTATCTCTAAAGTCCTGCAATAGAGAATTGTCTCCCCTCTTCCATCGAAATCCTTTGCATATCTTTCTTGTCAAGGTCTTATTTTTCCACAAGTATGCCCTTGCAAAAGCATATCAAAAACCAAACACTCGAGCCCTTCGCAACTAGCAGAAGAAACTTGCTACCAGCCACCAGAAACAAGCAACAAAGAGCACACATGCAGCTTGGAATTCAACGACACGTCAATTTTTGAGAATGGCCGATGTTTCGAGTTCTATGGTGCTTTTGTATGATGCAATTGATTTTCTGATCCAAAGTATTCTCCGCAGAGCTTTGCTGATCAGGAAGAAGCTCATTACGCCCATGTCCTGCACCGCCGCAGAGGAGGAAGATCTTATGTGGCGTGCGCCTCCAGGAGCCACCAAAGAGTTTCCGAGACTGTATATCTCATGTGGCGAAGTGTCCACTACGGAACGCATACTGGACTATCTCTCTGCCTTTTATACTGGCCTGAGAGTCGAGATGCTGCCAAGCGACACACTCATCTTCGACAGATGAACCGAAGAAGGCGGAGACAGAGTCCAGTAAGGTCTTTGTCGCGCTCGACTCTCCCAAAGAGAGTATTCGGATTTGTAAAAGACGCAAGAACAATAGTCACCAGTTCAACCTCGACGATTGGCTAGATGCTGTCATTGCTGTTTTCCCTTCCGACGCATTGGCTTTGCTCTTATTGATGAAGTTACGACGTGTATGAAGATGACGACGACGACGGATTTGCTTGCGGCCGCGCATACGGAGGTAGCCATGTCTGCGTGCTGTCGTGTGCGCGATATGTACCCTCTCGCAGCGACATCAACGACATTGACCGCCATCGATCATGGCCGGCGAGCCATTGTGCTGATCACGTCGAAGATCAAGTATGCGAGTCTCTCGGCCAGCCTGACTTGCCGCGCAAACGCCACACGAAGAGGCCTCTTGCCATCGTTGTCGCAGCCGTCTGCGCCTCTGACTATTATGCCATACAAGCACTTCCCGAACGCGAATGATTCTATAGCTTTTCCCACGTGGCTAGGAGAGAGTTTGCCGTGCCGCAAAGTCATTGAAAATTGGACATTGCTTGGGTATGCATCGTTGCATAAACTCATGCGTGCATCATGTAAAGAAGCAATTCCATTCCCGCGGACCTCAGGCAATCCTCTTATCTCTGTGCCTCTCGACGATGTCAAACTCGATGCTCTGATGCTGTTAAGAGGGCTTCCACCCTAGGCAAGTACAGTGCATAGAGAGCTTGCTCTACTGGAATTTGCGAGAGAGCATGAGGGAGATGGCTACGGTTTGACGAAGTAAATACTTTACTTAGTCTAACCTTGTTGGCATTCTACTCAAGGGCACATAGCAAGTACCTTTCACCCGTTCTCCTCATGAGGATGCTTTACATGGTTCAAAACCTCAAGTCCAATTAACAGCATTTTCACCGGACACTTTGATGAACGATATCCGGTTGTGGCTAGAAAACTCCCATAACGTGACCGAAAAGCATATATAACAGACTATTAGGCGCAGGAAACCAAGAGCTTGTGTAAGGAGTGCAGCGGCCGATAAAATAAAAACGAGAAAACCCTCACTTCGCCTTCTGGCGATGACGATCCTGGGTTTTGGTATAGTCGTGAGCTTTATTGTCGTTGATCCACAGACCTTTTTTATTGTATGTGATTGATCCAGTGGGTCCGCCACTCAGATCCACGATTCCAGTGGTGCTAGTGTCGATGGTCATCATTGTGCTAGATTGAGTGGCATTTGAGAACCAAAAGCACACAGAAGGCAGGGGTGTCAGGACTTGTTGTCCGGGCGGCAACTCTGTGCCGCTAATGTAGACTGAATGCTGGTATGAGTCATTGCTTTTTTTTTGTATCAAACTGTGAAGTTTTACCTGGATTGTAGGCGCCTTTGATCTTGAGGGACACTACGCTTGATGCGCCAATGTCATTTTTGAAAATCCAGCCGTCCACGGGTGCTTTTGCGTCTTTCTGGACTGATGCCCCCGTCCAAGATTTCAGATGGTACTCATTACCGAATGGGGCATTCAGTGCTTCGGAAAGACCTTGGATGTTCATGTTCTCTGGTGCTCTGATTAGTGTTGGGATAGCGACGCAGCGTATCTTGTACATACCTCCGTCTGTAAAGACCTCTTGAGTAGCGGAGATTTGGTACTCATCGGTCCATTGAGCAATCATCGTAGGCATAATATCTATCGGAAACATGAGAAGTGCAGTGCGTCGCGAGCCATCAATACTTACTGCCGTCCTCGCCTATATGGGATGATGTTAGCTTCAAGACCGCCAGGACTCTGAGCTCCATCACTGGTTGGGACGTACCATAAGTCTGAGCAACAACGTTGTAAGTAGGCGAGCCATCGGTGGAGGAACCCATAGCCTTGGCCATGACCAGAGCATAGTTTCCTTTGTTGAAGATATCGACCCAATGGTCATCTATTGCAATCAGCCACCTGCAGAGCCGCGTACATCCAAGACCAGATACACACCGATGTTGATGTTCACGGTGTAGGAGGTCATTGTGAAGGGCAAAGTATAGATTCCTCTGGATAATTTGAGCTTTGATGTACTTTTGAAATGGATGCCACGTTTGACGAACAGCTAGCAGATATTTATATTCTACACGCGTCCGCAATTCCTCTTCTGTACCTACAATTTGGTGAGGCATTTTTTCGACATCTTTCTCATGACTCTGAGACCTTTTCGCCGCTCTCAAAGCTCAGATCGATGCAAGTGTTTGCACAAGTACAAGGTAACGATCTCTTCTTTGAGCAAAAGGTATGCAATTCGTCGGAGCTGACATGGTTGCAGAGTTGTGACCAACATCCGCGAGACAATTGCCAAGGTTGATAGGGTGAACCGTGTAGTCGGCGCAATATTGTAGTTGTCAAGCCATGTGTAGCTCTGTGTCCAGCTCCAGTCAGGCAACCGATCCTTCCTTGAGGATATGGTACGCAATGCCGACATCATGGCTACTCTCCATCAGATGTTGTGTCGATGCGGGGGGATGAACGCGGGACCTCCAAGCGAGCTGAATCCTTAGACACTAATCCCTGTTTCAATCCTCAGCTGAGACGATGGTTCAGACGACGGCTGCATTTGGCGCAAGCGAATGTGCGACATGCTACAAAATTGCAGAGCTGCCTCCGTCGGCCACATTTTGCTACAAGAATACTCCTCAATGGAGACATGTACATGGTCGCTTGAGCTGCATGTAAGACAGCGGTACCCATATCAGCTCCGAACTTTCCATCTAATTGGACATAGTCTTCACATCACATGTTGTCTTTCAGCTCGAGAAATCTAAGTTCACCCCTCTTTCGACGAGGCTGACGACTACCCTATCCTGGAACGTCGAGATTGGAACATGTATATTGTCGTGGGATTGACATGTGTCTATGGCTTTTCACTCAGAAAAGCGGGACAAAGGGTCAAGGGGTCACTGTGGAACCACCCATACTCGAAGTGTAGCTTCGACTCCTGCCTCGCGAGGTCTGGATAGCGCGCAGATACAAGAGTCAGGCAACCGCCCAGACAGTTCTCCAACTCTTGTTTAAGTCTCTATCTTGTCTGCATCCGAATGCACTATCTTTGAATAGATCATGGCAAATTTCATGATATCCTCTTTGTCTGCAACTCCCGACTTCAGTACCCAGAATCGACAACAGCAGACATGGCCTCATGGCTTGTCACAAACGATTTGGAGCTCGATTTCTGTTCCGAATAATGATGGCTCCGCTACAGGCTCAGTTTTCTGCACCACTTTCGTTATCCCTGTCACGCCAGATGTTCCTTTTTCAATGGGTCTCGCTGGGGTCTGCTCGAGTCTGATCTTGGATAATGGCGATTACGTGCAGGTGACAGGATCTTTAGGTGGGACAGCGCTTATCAGATCAACCTTGGGACCCTTCCCCTCTGGTCCCTTCACTTTAATCAACTGTCCAGGATTCAAGTTCATCACATTGCCCAAGTTGCCAGTCAGGCTTGCCGGTGATTGGGCATGGAGTTTAGGTGTTCTCAAAGGCTGTAAGTCCATCGAGTCTTCTCAAGGTGCTTATCTGAGTCAAGACGCTAGCAACGGCCGTCAAAGTCGTCAACTGTTCTACGACGACCCGTCTCGAGCTCTGCTTCACGTGGTTTGCTCCCCCTGCAGGTCCGAGTGTATCTCTGAATGCACCGCGGCCTGATTTTGGGGGTCTCTTCCCAATAGATATATTCCGGCTATTCTTACCGACATGGACCGAGGCTTCTACAATGTCCAATCCCCCCTGGTCTGATTACCTCAAGAGGAGTCTCAAAGTCATCTGGGATCTTGGTCTGACCGCCCCGCCCGAGTTTGAATGGGGCAATCGGCTGGTCTCGTACGAAACCATCAGCGGTGCTTCAGCATATATCGATGGTTCTTTCGGCGGTACGTTCCAGCTCCAGAGATTTGCAAGATGTCTGTTTGATAGCGTCAACTGCTATGATCTAGCTGCGCTCGCACAGCTTGCAGCTTGTATCATGATTGATCGAAGCACGAAAGAGATCCTCGATTCCAAATGGATACTTTGTCAGAACTATGGCTACATACGATCAGGTCCATTGATTGGGTGGCTCCAGTTTCCAAACTGCAACTCGCCTTTCTTCGCTGTTGGAAACCTCCCCTACTACACCAATCCCAATGATCCTAGTAGGAAGAGCTTCGGTAACCATGCATGGGTAGAAGTGCAACTCAACCCTGCGATGAACAGGACTGTACTGGATGCAACACACTGCTTGCAAGGTCTCGGTCCACCATATACGCCGAGCTCGGGAACTCAAGATCGACCAACTTATCTAGCCGCCCAGACCGACAGGGATTTTTCAGCGTCCGGAAACTATCGCGATTTCTGTAAGCCCGTGTCAGCATTTGTATCCACAACTCGG